AGAGAGGTGATGGCGTGGGCGGAGAGTCGTCCTCTGCAAGCTCGGCTGCGCTTCGGACGTGATCGCGCGTGGACGTGGTGTCCGGTCCAGCTAGCCCTGTCCGAGGATGCCCAGGTCGGTAGTGTTGGCACTGCCATGCTCATTGTTCGACGTTGCATGATGATTTCGAAATGCACATCTGTCAACTCAGTCCGCAATCCACAATCGAATCAGCCAACTTTGACTCAGTTTGAGATATTGTTCACAGTTGCGAAATCGTTAACCAAGCGAGGAAGCGTTGTTGAAATGCGGATTAAATTATTTTGCGGGCATTTAGCGTACGCATGTGAAGCTGTCACTCCCTTCGCAGGTGCGCCAGGCGCTTTTCGAAGATACCCGTTGTTTGCTGGTGGAGGCGGAGTGGGAGGGTGCGCGCGTGAAGGAGCTGGTCCCTCGGTGGCAGATCCGCGCTGTGCCGTCCCTTCATGAGCTGCAGGGGCGCCGCGTGACCCCGGAGTGTTTTGTCCGCCGTGAGTGCCGTCTGCCCGGCGGATACTGGTCTGTGCACCCAGAGTCTGTGGAAGGGCTGTGGTACGAGCTCGGTCGGAGGTTCGATGCCCGCTGCATCGCCGTTCGTTCTGACACCGTCACGTTCTTCCAGCGCCACGATGAACGACGGGCTGTTTCTCTCGAGCGCTTGGTAAGTCGGGCACTACAGAATGTTTTTCGTAACAGAATGTTTTGCCAGTGTGGCACTACGGAATGTGGCAGAATGTTTTTCTTCGACTTCTGCGACTCTCCAGCAAATAGTTGCAGTGAACTGAAAAAACTGCAATGTGTTTATCTGTACTTTGAAGTATGCCGATATACAATATCTGTGAAAAATTGTTATGGGATAATTAATAGTCTATGCACTTCACAGAATCGTACAGTCGTTCAATTACTAACAATAATTTTTATATGGAATTTTGAAGGAAGAGATTTTGGCCTTCCTCGTAAAGTACCGGGCCAAACCCACTGACGTCCTAAGTGAAGAACGCCGAGAAGAAGGGGAATGGACTGCCAAGCGTTGCGTTCCCCCTTTAACAAGGCTCGAAGGTCCATCGACGTCCACCGAAAGACTGCAAGCGGGACGCGGCATTCCTTTGGCACGGGAAATCCTGGCGGAAGTCTTCCAGTCGCTGGACAGCAACGAGCGGGTGCGGGTGCGGCGCGTCTGCCGCCTGTGGGAGGCCATGCTGGATGCGGGGGCCATCGGGAAGCATCTGTGGATCTCCCGACAGCCCTTCCTGGGGAAGTACGATACACTGACAAAGCGGTTCCTGGTGGCGGCTGGTATGCTCAAGTACGCCACTTGCGCCACGCACACCGTCGTACTGGACAACCCGTCAGCGTTACCGGAGTGGAAATGGGGCGGCGTGTATGGAGTGTTTGTGAATCAATTGCGGCAGCTTCGCTTGAAGACGCTGGTTTTCTCGCGTTGTGAATTCAGTCAGCGCGACAACCGGATTGATAACTTGGACTATCTCCATGAGGAGCTGTCCAACCTGGGAGCGACGTGCAATGTGGTGGTGTCGGTGTCAGTGGCCCGGACCAGCGTCCTAGTCAATGTTAAATTCCACCTGCGAGATGCCGCTGCAGACCGGCTGACGCAGTTGCGGGATGTCTGTGAGAAGTCACTAGTGCGGCCAGGCAGTGTCGGCTTGCCCCGCTGGTCCAACGAGTGGCGCGTTTGGCTCTGTGACAAGTCGTCGCGACACGTTTCGTTTAGAGGACTTTTGGTCGGAAGACAAAATTTAATGGTATCAGGACGGTTCGTTGTATGGACATTTTGTTTTTGGATGTTTCTGTGATGTAACTACTGGTGACAACTAGCGATGTGATGTTTCGTTGAAGTGATAACTAGCAGAACTATTCGTTGCCGAACTGGGACATTTTGCCGCATGGACCTATCGTTGTGTGGAGCTTTTTTGGTTTTTCGAATAGAAATTATTAACAGATCAGTATATCAAGAAGAAAGTAGTATTGAATGCCGAAATACAGAAAACTAGAAATATAGAAAAGAAATACAGAAATATAGAAATACAGAAATGTATATATAATGCGCGTTGCATATAAACCGGATGCAATGTATATACGACCGGTTTCGCGCGCCGCATTGTTGCCCGCGGGTTACAGCGGGACCGTCGACAGCGCCGAGCTACGCTTCCATGTGCATATATACAGGGTGCACCGCATTTATACCGGATGCGCTATAGAGACGACCGGTTTCGCGCGCCCGTCGATCAGCACGTCCACGCTGTTCCACTCGTGCCCAATATTCCCGTTTCCCCAGTATCCCCTTCTAATGTCACTGAGAAGCTGCATTTCGCGGGATACAAGAAAAAATCAAGGCCAAAGGAGGTCGCTGGATCGAGCTGTGGAAAAACAACGTGCAAACTGCAAAGACTAATAAAACTAGAAACAGAAACAGCTCCAGACTGATGGAGATATCTTGTTTCAGATTGCTGGCTGCACTGGATCGCAGAATTACAACACCTCACCTTTACCCTTTACCTTTGTAAGGAATGCAGGTGTTCAAAATAAACAGAATTTTTGACGTACACTGTACGTTGGACGCCATAAAAGTGGTAATGCCCACAGCGATAGCGCTATACGCACCGGTGGTTAATGGGTATGCGTTGACAGAGTCATTTTGAAGCCCAGTGTACTGTACAAGTACGGTACTTGTACCCGACTGAAGACTGCAGCGAAAAATAGTTGGTTATAAATGACTTATAATCTAGTCATAGTGTGTGTAAGGGCGGGACGCCCCGCCCTCCTGAGTAGCTATTCGCTGTTTCTGGGGATTTCCACCCCGCACATTGCTGCGCTGTTTTGACGGATCTGCAGCACAGTTGCACTGGCTGCAGAATCCTTCCTTGTTAGTCTGGTGTTGCTGCGCCACGGTGCGCATTAGATTCGGCAATAAAGCCTCATCCGGGTTCACCGCTGTCCGCTGTCGAGGATACGCGTGGCGCCCATACGGCCCCGCGTTATATGGTCGCAGATCATGGTTGCGAGCCAGGCCGTGCGCGCTGCCCGCGCGCACGGCTCCTCTGATTATTTGAGCCAATTTAACCCCCACGTGTGGAGCTACAAATGCCCCCCCCCATTCCCGCGGGACGGACGCCTCCCCGCGACGGATGCTTCCCAAACTGGACGGAGATGCCGCGGAGCGAGAAACGCCTCCTGCGATGCCGTGGAGCGAGAATTGCCTCCTGCGATGCCGACGGCGAACGCGACCCGGACCAGCGGGAAACCAGAACGGATACACCGCCAACAGCAGCACCAACTCCGATCCCAACGGCACGGATCGACCACCAGCACCACGCCGAAGAATTCCCCCACCAAAACACTGCCCGAACTTCCTGGGACGGCGACCTCCCCCCGGACGGAGCAGTGGATTTCACCGCGGATTTGCGTGTTTTATTTTTTTTGCAGGGGTCACGGGCCACATAGACCCCAAACCCCTGCCCAAATTTCCCCAGAACGTGACCTTTCCCCTGCTGAAGAAACCACGGAATTTACCCGTTTCCGGGTTGGACCCTGGATCTGGCGCGACAGTGCGAGGATACGCGGGGCGCCCATACGGCCCCGCGTTATATGTGTGAATATGGCAAAAATACACCGATGAAGATACGATGAAAACACCTGTGTGCGTATTTAATAAAAAATCCGTTAAATGACCGTGCCTAAATTGATCATACAAAACATTAAAATTCCCACCGTACAGAAAAGTAATAAACTAACTGAGTAAAATACTAAACTACGCTCCGGAATCCGTTAGAATAAATGACGGCCATAAATCAGAAACAATTATCAGAACATTCCGTTAAAAAGAAATTATGGTAATATTAATAAGTAATAAATGGCGTTGAAGATGGATGAGAATACATGTAGATGCGCTAACCGGTGCCGTTGGGGCAGATGTAGGAGAACATGAAGTTGTTGGCCTCGCAGCGGCGGAAGACCTGGCAGCGCGTCTCGGGATCGGCGTAGTAGCCGAACTGTCTGACCTGCGTGCAGCTGAAGGAGGTCTGCGGGATGTAGCTGTAGGTGGTACGACTGGCCGGGGTAGGCGCCCGCCAGCACCTGCCGTTTCACCACCTGCAATGCCACGTTCGCTTAATTATACCACTGTACGTGCTGTAATACAATAAATATAGTGCATATGCCATTTATAGGTACGCCCATTACTATATATATAAGTGTATCAATAGATTTATATATCTTTGTTATATTTAATGCATGCAGTCATGTACATCTATTCGTTCATATTATGCAATTTATGTACTCGTACATCAATTAACATAATTATACATCCCCATGTTTTATTAATTTTTTACATGTATAAAACATCAATTTATACATGTAAACATAGAGGATTCTATAGTATTCTATTCTATACACGCTGCTCAATAATAATATAGTATTATACGAGTTATGTACATAAATGTATTGCGTATTTTATCACACATTATACGATACGTACTGTCGCAATGCTGTATCTGTTTCCATGAGCAGAAGGTACATATAACGCCGCTACGATGATAGGCGCAGGAAACGCGGGATGCCGTCCGTGGTGGCAGTGCGTTCACTGCGAATTGCCGGTCAGGTCAGTCTGCGTGGACGTTGTTGTGTTGCGCCGGAGCGGGGGAAATGCCGGTTGATGGAGGGAATGAGAATGTGGATTGGGGGCAGGCGTAAACAATGCAGTAAAGTTGTACAATAATAATCGAACGGGATCAGCGGATCCAGAATTCCACGGAAGGGAATTACAGGTGAAGCATGATAACGCTGCGGTGCGCTGCGGTGAAGTATCTCAGCACTTCTGGTGGGATATAGATGGACTTCGGTACTTCCGGTTGAGCCTGACAAATAATCTTCAATATGCCAGTTGGCCAGGGCGTGCAGTCCGCATTATCGCTGGGAACATATATATAACTCCGATGGCACGTACAGGATGCGCATAAGGATATGCAGGATCAAACATTGAATATAACTGATGTCGCTAGATGGAGTGATTGCTGAGGATGGCCGCGTGTAAGATGGAGTGGAGCGCATAAGACTGATGCTGGTCGAGGATCGAGGAAGCGTTAAATATGCTTAAATGCGCCGGCATAATACGCGCTAGTACTGATGCCACAGCGGCTGTGTGTTAAATTTTTGATTCCTGAGTAGCGGCCAGAATAATTAATTAATGCCATATTAAAATTAGATAATTAATGCCGGGGAAAGCCGGTCGCACGGGAGGGCTAAACTGTGCAGACGGGACATTCGCCGCAGCTGCGGTGTCTGCTGCGACTGCGACGTCGGCCTTCGCTTATCGGCTAAACGACCGACAAGTCGTCAGGCAGTTCCACAAGACAAGTCGCAGCTATTGGGCCTATTGAGCGGATAACTTTGCAAACTTATTGCCAGTATTTTGCAGATTAAATGTTGGTAATTTATTTGCTTAACTGTGTCATTTATTACGGAATACTCTCATGGTTGGCCGTCGGCGGTTGGATCAGTTACGGTGGTTTACAATGACCTTTCTCATGAAATGTGCAGCAACTAGTAAGCGAGCATTTGCAGCCGTTAAGTCAATGGTCCCCCACTTTAATAAAAACTCCAAGTCAAAGAAAACTTATACCATACTAGCAACTGACCAGTGCAGTACACGAGGTGCAAATGAAACGAAACTGCGGTCCAAAATCAACATCAAACTCAGCGAAGACCGGCGCAGTGCATGATTAGGGCGGGTGAGGACAAACTCGTGCACCAACTGTCAGATAAAACCAGCCACGGACAACACCAACACACTGACTGACACTATCCGCCTTGATCTCGCTCTGCGCTGCCGTTGTTTTCTCATCGTTGTCGTCGTCGTCCTCCTCTTCCTCTTCCGCCGGCGACCTGGTAGCATCCGTTCAGCGCGGCGAAGGTCAGCTTGTTCAGCGTGGCCACATCCAGCTGGCGCAGGTCCAGCGTCTCCCAGCGCCGCGGATCGTCACCGGGACCCAGACTGTTGAACCTGATTCAGCGAGAAACCAACTTCTGCTGCACACAATGTCACGTTATAAGCACAGCTGGGAACGGCTCAGCCAGGCCTCCATCAAACAGCGCTGTGTCTCCTCCGATACAGCGGTACACGCCGCCGGCAACTGCAGCCGGCCGAAGACGAACGACTCCGGACCGACCAAGAGATCGGCGTAACCATCCCTGTAACCACTCCCGTAATAGCGCCGCAACTCCTCTTCCCCGGGGGGTCGTCCGTTCGCAGCAGCCGCTAGAACGCTGCTGCCGCTGCCGCTGCGGCGGACCGCATCCCAGCCAGCGTCGCGGATGCGGGGACAGGGGACGACCTGCAAAGGCCCTCTCGCCCGGCCGGCCGCGTCGCACAGCCGTACTAATCCGGCGCTCGTTCGTGGATAGTCGTCGTCCCTGGCCGTCACCACCAGCTGCGCCCCCCGCCAGGTCCAAGGTTCGTGGGGATGGCAGCGCCAAAGCACCTCCACCGGCCACAACGTCCTCCCGTAGACGCGCTTCCAGTCTGGCACGATGCCATTCCCCCGCATCCAGAAGACGCGCCCGAAGGGGACGAAGTGGCGGCGCCACCCCGGGCAGAGCAAATCGACAAACAGGCCGCCGGAGCCCGCGTCCACCACCCGCCCGAACTGCAGCGGTCCCTCGTCGCTCCACACGTCCACGCAGTCATAGCGCTCGTTCAGCCTAATCGCATGCTCCCGCGACATTTCCTGCAGCGATGCCAGGCTGATGCGACGGCGCTGCAACTACAACGAGATGAGCACTTCACGCTTCGTCTTCATGGTGAAAACAGGCAATCGATCGTTGCAAGCAAAAAGCAGCTGTGCAGAGTGTGCGAGACACTGCCTTCACGTAGCTCCTTGCGAGGTTGTGCAGAACTTCCCTGCTGTCAGGGTGTGCTACTCTCTTAACAGCCTACTCTGTTACTTATGCATAGTCTTTCTTAGCATTTACAGAAGGGACAACCGAACAAACACGGAAGAAAAGGAAGAAAACGCTGCCAGCGAAAAGGCGCTGTGCGAAGTCAGTGCGAAGTCTGCGGACTGCGCAGCACTGCGCTCACGTACCTTTCCACAATCCATTGTGCAGTGAGCGAGAAACGATCACAAATCCAGTAACTTAATCACGTCGAGGTTAAGCGCAGGTAGTCTGGAGGAATATCGTGACGAGATAAAGAAGAGCACACAAAGCTACACCCGAAAAACTCGAAAGCGGAAGGAAAATGGTGAGCCTGACAAGTGAGCAAGCGAGAAAAAACTGATGGACAATTTCCAGCGCAAAATTCAAATGGACAGTTTGTAGTGTCGATGAGCTTGTGGAAAGCTGGCTTGGCCGAAAATGGTGAGCCGATTGTCGTAACACTTCCGCAATATATTTTATCGCTGATTCGATGCTCTTTGAATCGCTAATTAATCGAGCTGTCACCTGGTAGCGGTGGGCTGTGTCGCCGGCAGCAGTACCAGTTGCCATACTCTTACACATATGACATAATTAATTTGGCGATTTTTGGCTCTAATCGAAAACTGGGATTCCAGTTGGTTCGATTAGCTGAAAAATAGTTTAACGCCTTTCTTCTGCCAATGTTCGTTACTGATTAATTACATAATAAATAGAAAAATGTGGATAAGAATTTAGAAAATCGCCAAAGAAAGCCAGAGTGTAGCGACAGGGAATTCGTTGCGTGCGATTAATTCACAGCGGGAGTAGAAATAAACAATAATCGGGGAATTCACAAAATTTTCAAAACATTTTCAAAATAAAGCTGATCAACAAGACTGCTGAAGAAGCGCGGAATCGAAAGGGGCTGAGATCCGGGAAGAGCGGGGACTGGCGTCCGCGGGCGGTTGGCCATCGGTTTAGTCCGTCAAATGGGCGCTGCTCTCGGCCAGTTTGTAGAAGATGCCGTCTTTCACGATGGCCGTCAGCTTCTCGCCGAACAGGCCTTTGTACCTATTTAATAACACACTTCAGTTATCATCTTTTTCGATTTCTTCCTAAAGGTTACTGCGTTTCTTAGGTTTCTTAGGTCATTATTATATTACTGATTTAATTTTTTTGGTTGTTGCATTTTGTAGATCAGTTTCGTTAGATTATTTACTAATTAAATCTATTTTTTTGTTTTTCATTTTTGTTTACCACAGAAGTATCTACAAATAATGCGTAGAAAGCGTTGAATCCAGCCAGCCAATGAGAAAAAGAGGTGGGCTGGTCTTACAGGTTGCGGATGATGGAGGGGCGGGGCTTGCTGCGACTGCGGCGCCGGCGAGTTTGTCGTCGGGCTCGCGGCCCTGCACGCTCCTCGTCGTCCGTCTGGCTGGCCACACTGTCCGCCTCCGTCGACGCCAGCGCGCTTGACTCCGCCTCGTCGGCAACGCTGCATCGGCGCCGTGCTGCCCGACGCCGGATTTCTGCAATTTCCATTTTGCGTTGCATTATCTAACCATCAAGTCTTCCATTATATTTTTATTGCCTTTTTGAATTAATATTGTAGTACTGTACATACATTATTTCTAATTTATACCTTTAATTCGTAATAATTTTTTAACCTTATTTTTTTATTTTTTATTTAATTGTACATACATATCGATTTGTAATTTTTAAAACTTTTATTTAATATTTTCACTGTTACAATCTGTTTTTACGCCCTAATCCTTTTCAATTTTATTATTTCATTTAAGTATTTTAATGTTTAGAATGTTTAGAGTAGTTGAATGTTTCATGAAAAAAAACGCGTACTCGTTACGCCACGGCTGCAGATGGGCGTCCAAGGCGGCGCGCGGCGTCTTCCCGGCGGCCAGCTCATCCTGGAGCTCCATGACCTTTGCCTTGAGGTGGTTGCGCTCGTTCAGCATCCGGCGCAGTTCGTTCAGCGTGAACCGCGGCATATCCCCGTTATCCACCGCCCCGCCCACCTCCCGCTGGCTCTGCACCAGCCGCAACGGCTCCTGGGTCTCAGGGACCTCGGGGACCTCCTCCGGGGATACCAGCGGTGTCCCGGTCTTCTCAAACAATGCCTGGAGGTAAGATTTTTCCGTGGCCACCGCCGGGACGCTGGTCGGGATCCCGGCGGTCCGCAGACGGGCCTCCAAGTCCGCCGGGGTCAGGAGGCTCTGCCGCAGGAGCCCCGTCAGCGCGTTGCGCTCCTCCATCAACTTACGGGCCTGTTTGTGCAGGGTGTTGTGGCGCTGCTTGCGGTTGAGCAGCGCGGTGCGCTCCCGTTGCAGGTCAGCGCGGAGGGTCGCCGCTTCGGTCTCGCGGTCCTGGAGGTGGGCGGCGGTCTCCCGGAGGTCGTCTTTGACCTTGGCGAGGTTGTCCTTTAACTGTCACAGTATTATCAGTAATTACACCTTATAGTGACTGCGCAGGTTTAAATTTCTTAAATTCCCCTTTTCTCTAATTCCTACTCGTGTAAAAACTGCATGGTCGGCAGGATGGAGTATACCTTGTACTTGTGCGAATGGGTTTAATCTCGTATGGGACCGTTTCATTTTGCTGGCGGTAAATGCAAAATATGAATTTTTGTATGCTTCGGCAAAATAATGGATTCCATTTCGACGCACGCCGCGTCTGTTTATCGGAAGTTACGTTCTCGTCGGGTTGCCATTCTTTTGGCCAGTGCATTCGTCACTTGTAAGCAGTTTCTCTCATCCTGGTACGGCGCGTGACGGTATGATGCAACACGCATGCTGCAACTCTTCAACGACAGAGCCGACCGACACCGAAGCTAACTCCCACATTCACCGCTACATGGCGCGCAGAGGCGTTATACGGCTATCGATGCTGGTTGCGGCGCGCTTCTGCGCGCTTAGTGCGGCGCACGCGCTGGAGACACCAGGTGACCAGCAGTACGGACAGCATCGCCACAACCGGCGCAGCACATCCATGAAGACGAGGACAATGTGGTTAGCTATGCAATACGAGATTAACTAGGAGTGTTATTAGTTTTACGGTAAAGTTCCTTGGCGGCATCTTCAGTTGCATAGTGTAACGGTAACGGTCACGTACATACGGGGTGCGGGGGCACCTACTAGATTTCACAGACACTATCAATGTGGACTCTGCTGAGTTTGGAGGAATGTAGGACATGACTTTTTAAGTCAATCGCGTTGCCGCTGCAGTGCAGTGCACATTACACGTAGTTCAGCGATACCATTAATTGCTGAACTGTATAGTGTTATTGCAATCCAATGGGATGCGCATTGATAGTGCTCGTACAACGCAGGAGTGCGTAAAGTAAAACTCGCAATCGAGTTCCTCTTTGTAATCCATTTTATCATGCCGTAGTTTCCCTAGTAGGTGCACGCAGTAGGTCTCGTACTGATCATTTTGGCTTCTTGTGAAAGTTCTTGTGCTTTGTGGCACAAAGTTTGTGCGACCGCGTCTGTAACAGTATTTCGTTCATATCAGTCTGCACCACGAAGCACAAGTGACAAGTCATTCCGTTGACAATTATTACAATGTTCCGTCAAGTACTATAACTAAACGCTCCAAATCCATTTTAATACAATGCGCCAGTCTCGGATCCGCTACCTTCTCGTCGCCTCCTGCTGATGTACCCGTTGGTCTTAATAAAGGAGCGCAAACACCGCCGCCCAGGAAGCGGAGCCCGGATGGCTGCCGCAGGTCTCGCAGGAATTCGCAGGACAGAGTACCGCGCGCACTAGTTGCCACTACCTCCCATCCGGCATATATATGAGTAAATATATATACGGCGCCGCCTATATATACGGGAGCGTGGCCCGGCGCCGCCTACGGTCCCGTAAGAGTGTAGAGTCGCGCTCTGCGATCTACATATTTGGCATTGTCTATTTCCGGTGCATGCTGACGCATGCACGCTGTTCTAGAACATTCTGATGTGCAGTAAGAAAGTATATAAGCAGTTCAAGGCTGCTGTTAGACCTTGGGAGTTGCATGAGTTTAGATCTATGTATCAGAAGACCAAGATGAGTAAAGATACCGGTATCCAGTCAGACGCAGACGCTTCGTTTACGTGCAGTAGTTTAGACATACAGTACAGCACTTCCCCTGACCACTCTGAGCCCTTACAAGAGTACGCACGCCACAGTTCTGCGCGCGATCCTGGTCGCCTCCACATCCGATCAGCGTATACTGTAACAGTAGCCGATCTGGCTGCTGTTCTAGTGGGTTGGCGTGTTGACCGTACCACGATGTTGTGTGGACTGTTGGGATGAAAGGTTGGCACGACCGGCAACGGTGCGGTCGTGGGCGCTCTTACTAACTCTGTAACTCAACGACGTAACAACGGAAGTCCACGGCATGTTTAATGACAAGAACAATGCAAGACAGGGACCAAGGTTTAGACAAGAGTTTAACAAGCGGAACAAGCTAATCACGCTGATGCAAGCTGTAACAAGCGAATCCAAGACCGAATTCTAGAAATCGTGAAGAAGAACAGCTAGCCGGTAAAATGGACAGAAATTCATAACGCAATGATGAATCATAACTGGGTGGTGTTATGGTTGTACAACTTCTATCGCTAGGACGCCGCTGGGCCACGCTCCCGTATATACAAGCGGCGTCGTATGTATAGACGCCGATTGGATGTAAAGACGACCGGTTTCGACCGCGCCCTTGTGGCCCGCCTATTACACTGGGAGTGGGATCATCGGCAGCGCCGGGCTACGCTATCGCAGATATAGGCGGCGTCGTATGTACATTACTACATTGTATTCGCGAATGGGATGTAGGATAAGCCGTGGTGACCATGCACATAAACGGGCTTGTGGTATTTGGAGCACGAATGTCACTTGCTGAGATTGACACCCAGTATTCAATTTGACTCCCAATCAATATTAAATGCACCTCAAGCGACAATATTATCTTTACGGCTGTACCAGAAAGAAACCACATTCGTCTTGCTGTAAGCACCGAATAAACAATCTCATTCAATGACCATCTCATCTAAGCTTTCAATCGTAAAACTATTTGTTATCACACTGGTTAATTTTGCATTCGTTTCGAAAAAACACTAGAAAATTAGGAATCTGTACTAACAGCAACACCCCATCGGGCTGTCAGCCGGAAACGCCCGCAAAACAAAACATCAAATTACCAACGCAAAACTCCGTTGGAAAAAACCGAAAACAACATAAAGAAGAAAAATGCTTCCATAAGGAAAGAACCGAGGTGTTACTGGCATCTCTTGCACAGGACGAGAAGGAAGCACAAGGCAGTACGCGAGAGATTCGGCACGCACAGGTTGTACAGTCCGTCCGAGCACCACTTCTTCCCGCGGTAGTGCAAGGAGGAACGCGGATCAGCGGTCTGCGTCGCACACAGGAGCTGAAAACACACAATGCGCTGCACTGAAAATGGAGAACTTGCACGTTTTTCGCATTCCGGCCATAGAAGTATCCATATTAAGAATTCGCTTGCCGCATGCCAGAAACCCGGCAATCTGCGCATGCGCCTCGTTTCACGTGGCAAAAACTTTGCAAAATTCAGTATCACGTGATAATCAGTGCGGTCTTGTACAAGCTTGTACACCATGCAAGCTTCTACACCATTATCTAGTTCAAAGATTTTTTGGTTGTTTTTTTAATGTTTAAATTTTAACTATTAAGTAGTGTACCGGCGCTTGCAGTCATTGTCATCGTGGTGGCTATTGCCCATTAAATTGGTTGCAATGAGCAATAACGCAGGCGAACGCGAGTTCGTACTGCGAAAGTGTCCGGAATGCGAAAACGTCCAAGCACACTTATATTCCTAACGTATTCTTGTTATTTTCATTTGGGAAAGATTCAACGCCGGCACTTACGTTACAGACTGCCATTCGGTGCCCCTGGTGGCGCTCGTCTGCCGACGTAGAGATGGACGCCAACCACGCCGATAACGCTCGCACCTCACCGTCGCTGGGCGCCGGCAGCAGCGCCTCCACTGCATTCCACACCGTGGCCGCGAAATCCCCGCTCAACGACAGACGCACCTTGGCCATGTCGACATTCAGCGCCAGGGACATCGAGCTCTGCTGCCGGAAATCCAGATTGTATTCCAACTTCACCGGGCAGCGCACCAGACTGATGGTCTCACACGTCACACTGCGGGAGACCGCGATGAATTCTTGTAGAAAGCCCTTGAAAAAAGTGGACCGGTTGTGGTCTCGGGGATGCTCGTGCACATCGCAGGATTCAATTGGGTCACGGAGACGCTGATAAACTTTCGACGGCAAGTCAGAGAAGCCGACCACATACAGCGCTGTCAGACGGATCGCGGGCTGGCAATTACGCGACACGTGGCGGATCATTTTCAAGACAGTGTAGAACTGGGCACGGTTGATGCAGGCAGCGCGATCGTGCAGCACAACGTACTGGGTGGAGGAGCGCAGGCATTTGAAGAGCGGCGCGGTGAGGGCGTAGGAAAGATCAGGCAAGTCTTTGCTGCGAGCCTCCGTCTCCACGATGATGCTGGCCGTCAAAGTAGGTAAGTCCAGAATAGCGTCCCATGCTGGGCACACGACGCGCAGCTTCTGCCGTGTCAGCGTAACCAGATGGGCGAACACTTCCTGCCACTCGTCCGCTCCCAGTGCCAGCGATTCATCCGACGTCGCGCCGAGATCCATAGCTTCAACCGGCGCTTGCACTGCACGCAGGATGCCGGGAAGGCGACCAAACAACGGCTCGAGCAAAGTCCCAACAATTTTCTACAACACATCAGCGTATACCATTCCGTGAGAATAATCCTCTGATAATCACGAATCCTTGCTCCATCCGAACAGAGTGAGACAAAGTTCAAGAAAGAAAAACTGACATTATTACAGTACGTACTCTTGCAGTGGGCTACAACTTAAACCAACGTTTTAAAATGGCCAGGAACTGCAAAACCTCGCATTACCTGTGCCATGTGTTCGGCTTGCCGCTGCGCACACCCATCGCCGCCGTGTAGCTTCACTTTCAAAAGCAAATGCTCATCAGCGACATCGACCCAGACCACCCGTCCCCTGGAGGCCAGCGGCTGCTCAGCCTGCTGGCTCTGACACTCCCGGATCACCTCAACAACCTGTGCCACTGATGCCCCACGACACTCGGCCGGCAGTGGCAGACGGCGCTGGATGAAGCGTGCCGGGGCAACTGGCAGCAGACGCGTCACTGGCCACCACTTGGGCGATGGTGCTTGCGGTTTACCCGTCCAAAAAGAATCCGACACGGGGTAGCGAAGACGCTGCTTTGGCACCACGTCCGTCCAGCTGGCACCCTCGTCATCCTGGCCCTGGACGACGACCACAGTGGCGTAGTTATCGCTCAGCGTGGGAATGGTGGGATCCCCTTCCTGCGTCAGGGTGAGCATCTTCCCCGGCCACCAGCGCCACGCACCACCCGGACATTCACGCCGCAGTATTTCCACTGGAACCGTCTCGTTAGGGCGCTGTTTTTTCAAGTATTTGTAAGCCCAGTCGCTGAATTCTTCGGACTTGGATAGGAAAAGGCGGGGGAACGGGATGAGTTCGCGTCGACGGCCGTGGCACATCAGGTCGATGTACATCCCGTTGTTCGCCACGTCCACCACACGGCCGTGCAGCAGGACGCTGCCGTACACAACGTTGACGTCACAGGGCCGTTGCACGAACATGGCTCGGGACGGAGTTGCAAGGAAACCTGCCAAAGCGCAATAAAGCCGTAGAAGGTATTAGGTACTTCACAAATCTACAACACAATCATTCCGCATACAGCACGGGTAGTTTTCGCCCTACCTGCTTGGCTGTTTCGACTGCAGTGTGATAACACTGATCATTAGGATCGTTAGAAAAGGGACAGCAACGCTGCAACACTGCAAGGACGAACAAGTTCTTAAAATGGTAAAACTGCAACTGCAAACACACAATCAAGAAACAGTGCACGATAAGGAGAACGCAATAACTGCTGAATTTTCGAACCTTTTCTATCCACAGCCAGCACTGAACGCAATTTCAACAGCCTGGATTCCGCGCTGCTTCGTCTTTCGATCCACCAACAACGCAACACGCTCCCCGATAAATGTAGAACGCAAATAATCCTAATTAAATCGCTCGGCGCACAAACATTCCTGATAACGAGTCCTAAATCAGAATCAACACAAGTGCAGCGTGCTCTGCCAACGATAACTGCAATCTGCAAGCGAGTCAGCTGTCTGTTTGACTGGCGCAGTCACATCGCAAATTTTGGTCAGTGGTCACCGACAACGATGCACGCCTGGCGCTGCTGGTGCGGAATGCGGATCCACATCGTTTTCTTACTTGTTGCGAGAGAGCGTTGTGCTATTAAACGTTTCATGCATGGCAGAAATCCTCAAGCTAAGCAATTGGTATTTAATGTGAATTTCACGCTTTAATAGAGAAATATCAAGCGGGATGCTAATAAATTCACGCTTCTCATACTGGAAAGTGGAAATATCGTTTCGTAACGCATAAGAAGGTTCGCCTCGCTACACCGCCCCTACCGTCCAACACCGTATCTTGGCTTCTTCCCGGATGCATTTTTTCCATTTCATCCGATTTTTAATTTTATTTTGGTTTTATTCTATTTAAAAAGTTCAACTAAAGTTGAATGATTAGTAAAAATTGTTGTATCGAAAATTTCACCAACATTACCGAAATATCCGCTAATCCCGTAGAAGAGAATTCTGGTTATGGCCTTGGTGAAAACAGCTGCAGTGGTTTGAGAGTTAACGGAAAATCGCAAAAATATGGCCAAATCGGAAAGAGCCGCGACAGCGCTGAGCAGAACAACGCCCGTGTCGGCGTAGAACCACAAGAAAGCCAAGAAAAATGTGTCAAATATCAAGAAAAAGGAAGTTGCCGACATGCCGCCGGTGGTGGTGGAGATGGAGAACGAAGCGGAGCCGGCGGGGTCTCTGAGGAAAGGCGCGAGTCCCCGCGTCAAGAACCCTTCCAGTTCCAGCGTTAACAGCAGCTGATGGAGCGCAGCGAGAGCGCCTTCTCCGCCTGCATGCCGTTGGTCAACCGTTTGCCGCGCTGACGCGTCATGGCCGACGAAAGTCTTTCCCCCGCCCTAGCCAATCCGCTTTTCCAGAATTACTGCGGTGAGTTCGATGCAACACGCGACTCTAATCTTAACTGTTCGCCACTTTCCTGTTTTCTAGTTAATTTTTACAGTTAATTTCTTTACTAAATAATCGGTTTTTTCATTTGAAGAATTGCCGTCGTATTTATTGTTGAATTTACCATATTGTTTGTTTTCACATTTATTTTTAAATTTAAATTAAATTTAAATTATTATCTTCGACTCTTTCATATTTATTTTTATGTTCAGATTAATTCGTCTTGCGATTATGATTACGCTTGGAATGAATTTAGGTCTTTTGACTGAATTAAATGTTGGCAATTTTGTGACAAACTCTTGAAATCGTTTCCAGTCGTCGATTTCCAGGTAGCCCGCAACAACGCCTGTCAACCAGTTAACGTCAAAAAATACAACCGAATTTTCATTAAATTATTTATTAATAAATTGATTGGCGAGTGGTTTCAGCGAAGCGCAAGGCCCTGCTGAGTCCCGAGGAATCGCACGAGGCGCCACGTGGTGCGCGGGAAACTGCGCAAACTGACGAAGAAGACGCGCGAAAAGAAGCGCCAGAACCAGAAGGAGACAGCGGTCGGCGAGGGATCCTGTTCCTGGCATTCGCAGCCGGTCACGGCCACGCCCATCTCGCAGCGCTCCTCCAGCATGGTCAGCGAGGAGGGCCGCACGATCTGCAGCCGCTTTGACTCCTTCCCGACGGACGCCGACGCCGTCCATCGCAAGCAGGCCTAGCGCAAGACGCTGACGCACCTCCTCCTCAACAAGGCCGAGGCCGACAAACGCAAACTGCCGCTAGCGGAGGTCCGCGCCTGCATTATTTATTGACTTATTTTCACTGGATTTATTATGTTTTTGTTGTAATATGCACGAAGAAGACGAGGAAAAAGGTTAAAGGGCGGCGGCAGAAGAAGGCCTGGCTGGAGGCGCCGCTGAAGGCGCAGGTCGAGCTGAAGAAGGACCCGGACAAGCTGCGACGAGAGCTGGAGGAGCAGAAGAAGGGCATGAAACGCTTGGAGCGCAAATGGATGAAGCGGACGGGGCACGTGCACAAGGAGCAGGACTGCAGGAGAGGAGCGGCAGGACAAGCTCCAGAAGAATCTGGACCAGCGCAAGGAGGCCAAGCAGGCGAAGAAACGCCACAAGGCCATCAGCAGAGCCACCTCATCCCGGCTTCAGCTTGCTAGTCATTTTACTGATTTAATAATGAGAAAATGACTGACTTGATAATGGGATTTATTGATTTCATCAAAGGGAAATTTGTGTACAGTATTGTGCTACTGGTTGTTCGTTTGCTGGTATTTATTGCCAACCGTTATTGTAACGAAATGCAGACAGAAAGCAAGTGTTGTCCGATGCGAGTAATGGCCGATAACGAGAAGCAACAGGGTTGCAAAATTATGAGTGCTGATTTATTTGCTTAAAATCTATCGCATTTTCTACGAAACATGTGCTTACTCTCATCATGTCTGCTGTTAATTCTTGTTTACTCTCCCTGTTGCTGTTATTACAACGGTTACAATCGCTTTAATAATTAAAGCAATTAATATTAATTATTATTATTATACTAACAATTACGTAACTTTCTACATCTACGGTAGGCCAGCATTACTAGTACGACGGTGCACAATTGCACTCTTCGCGAACGGTTACGATTCATGATCATGTCGCAATTCTTTAATTTTTATTTATTACGTTATTGTGCAAGTAAGATAGTGAAGTTTAGCGGATGTTTTTTGTGTGGCCCTGTTTTCCAGTGTTAGTAATACACACGTATAAAGTTTTATTATCTTGCAGACAGAAATTCTTGAATGTAATAAATTCTGCACCGGTAGTTAGTACAGTAATACTACTAACCGCCCAGACGCCTCCGTCAATCACATGCGTTTGTCGTAATACAAAAAACCAGTAGTGCGTGCTACAGCGTGACCTTTGGAGGCTACTGCTCCGGCTCGGTCGGCGCACCGCCGCCGGCATCGCCGTCGGCCGCCTCCGGCACGGGATTGAGGTTGAGGTAGTAGCCCCAGTAGATGATGTTGAAGAGCAGGAAGACCAGCGGGTACAGCCAGCGCGCGTACACGTCGATGCGCTTGGCGCGGTCCTTGGCATTGCTGGGCGCCACGAAGCAGGCGCACCGGCAGCTGCAGGGACTGCAGAACTTCTTGCGCCGCGGCAGCACGCCGCTGACCACCGGCGAGTGCTCCAGCGGCGACAGCTGCTCGTCCGACACGCCCACGTCCGCCGCCGACTCGCGCTGGAAGTGGCCGCCGCGCTCGGCGGCGGAGCGTTCCGCGGCGGCGGCGGCCTTCGCGGCCATCAGCTCCGCCCTCTGCAATCAGCCAGTGTGCACACATAGTCTTAAACCTAGAACTTTTATATAGCTATATATGTATGTCATATAGCTATATATAACTACGAGTATATATAAATTTGATAACCTTATTTATCAATAAAATGAATACAGCGAATCGAAAAAGAAACGTTACCAGGACCCATATGGGTTCGTTGGAGAAGTTGGAGTCCGAGCGCTCCTTTATATAATCCAGCTCGCCCATCTCGGGAGCGCTGGAGTAGGTGTTGCGGCCCTGGTCGAGCTCGGTCTGCGTGTACGTGCCGGTAGCCGTGGTTTCCGGTGAGGTAACAGCTGCCTTATTGTTGCTGCAACTGTACTGTGTCACCGACTTCTGGCCGAAGGACAGCGGCGACATGTTCTGGTAGAGTGCCGACTTGTTGCGGCGCTGCAGGAGGTTGGCGTGGGCCGCCGGCAGACTGCTGCCCACGGTAGAGGCCGAGCGGGCGTTGGGGAGGTGGGCGTGAGGACTGGAGAGCTGCAGCGACTGCCCGACGGCCGTGTGGCCGGCGCAGAAGGAGGCCGACGCCGAGCCGGAAGTGAGGCCGACGGTGCGCTCGCGGGAGTGCGGCATGGGCCGGCGCGACATGACGCACACGAGGACAAAGTGCCACAGCGTGGAGAAGACGAAGAAGGTGCAGGCCAGCATCCAGATGTCGATGGCCTGTTGTAAAGACAAACGGCTGCATATACTGTATGCATACACATATGCATATATAGAATATATACATGTACATGTACATACATACTCTTATATATACATATAGTATACATATTTATATATACATATACATAATATATGTTGAATTCCCTTTATTGGGCAAAAGCGATCAATACAATAAAAAGTGCATACGCAGAATACTACGAAAAATGATTCACATTTTAACGTTGAATAATGTATGTACATAATCGTCAGTACTTGTACATATAACTATGCATACACACACATATCTGTATATATAATATGATATATAAATATACATAATTATATACACATAAATACATACGCTTATGCATACATATTATACATACTGCATAATTATACATATACTACTTGTATGGAAGGCTACCTTGACGTAGGAGACGGGCGGGAGGCCGACTTTGGCGCCGCTGTTGAGCGTGATCATGGTGAGGAAGGTGGTGATGCCGAGGGAGACGCGGGCGGGCACGGCGCCGGCCTCCAGGAAGAAGCTGACCCAGGAGATGGTGACGATGAGGACGGTGGGCAGGTAGGTCTGGATGAGGTGGTGGCCGAAGTTGCGCTGGAAGCGGAACTTGACTTGCAGCGCCGGGTAGAGACCTGTCGAGGGCACACTGATTACTCTGCCTACTGGCGCCCGGGGGCGGCTGGCTGCACCACTGACCGTCGGGATACTTGTCGGGCTTGTTGTCGGTGTACTTGTTGGCCAGCGTGAACTGGTTGAGATCCGTGGTGCCGGTGTACTCCACGGAGCCGTTCTCGCGCCAGTGATACTCCAGGTAGATCATGGGATAGGCATCTGCACAGGCACAATGACGGGCCTCTCGTGTTATATTACCCGGAAATTGCTACTCGAGTAGATGCCGGTTTACATATACGAGTACATGCAGCCTTACAGGAAGCCAGGTGCAGCGTGCACACTTGCGTATCCACCGGGTACATGGCGAAGTGCATTTCGCACGCCAGCTTGGCCGTTATCCTGTACGAACCAGCGACAACAAGTTGCGTTACGTCTTTCCCGTGCGATGCAATTTCTACACCGGAAAAGAGATTTCCGTCGATAGCTGTGAGCTGGCAGTTACCTGGCACTGTACATGACGTCCCCGTTATGGTCTGCAAATTAACACTCATGCATCTGCGTTGTGCATTATTCTTCTTCCCGTTGGCAGGCAGCACTTTCCCTTACCTATGTACACCAACCTGCAACGTTCGACAGAATAAATCTTGATGCAATTAAAATTCACGCAACTGTACGTAAACGTGCAAAAGCGCACGCAACTGGGCGGTACTAGCTGTTACCATATTATTCACGCCTGTAACTATAATTTTAACAATTTTGTAAAAAACAATATACACACAACCTAGAATGAAAAGAAATACGCAAATAAAAAAATATTTTGCGCCGTCAAGAATGACACATTATACATATAAATAAAGCCTAATAATACTGTAAATGCAAATATTTTGTAATAGTGGTCTTTTAGTAACTGGATGTACTAAAGGTCATGTCTCACCTATTGGGAGTTGTGACGTCATGGAAGTTGGCTGCAAAGCACAAGCAAGACCTTTTCGACATGCGTCAGAGAAGCGGTGTTAAATCGTTAATCGATGCTGCACGTGCGCTGCCCACCTGATTTGGCGTTGACCATGTAGGTGTCTGCAAGAGCAAAGGTCACGGTCACATCCGGCTCGCATGCGCATAAATTAAAGACAAACATCCATGTTTATATATGTGTCGGCGTAGACTAGATAAATATTCAACCACTGCGAACAGACGACGAACTGAACTGTCGGCAGCCTACACAACGCCGCCGTGCCGACCGCACCGAGACGCGGATCCCTCAGGTCAGCTAGCAGTCAGCTCTTACCGGGTGTCCACACTCCTGCGCAGCAAAGAACAACACTCGTTGAGCACATTAATATTGACTGCATTGATTGTGTCGCCGGTACTCACGCTTGATTTGCTCGACGGTGCGCAGGACGATCTTGCGTTTGGAGCGCGACTCGGAGTAGGCCAGCCGGGCGTCGCGCCAGCGCTGGTTGAGGTAGAAATCGATGGTCAAGTCCTGTGTGGCGCGTGCGCGAAGGAAAAAACGGGGAATTAATAGATTAAGAGCAGAACACACAGTACCCACTTGCGCCGCAATCACGCCAGTAAGGGTCTTAATTAAATTTCCACCACAAGACAAAAAACACACCACCACGCTCTCCGCTTGCCGGTTCCCCTCCCCAACGCCACAGTCAAAGACAAACACGCCAATCGATCCCTGTGTCATCTGCACTGCGGCCAGCTGCCTATCTGCCCATTTCCGCAATCTCCCTCCCCTCCAACCCTTGACGCTGTCCCGCTTAGCCGACAGTCCTTGCACAACTCACGAGCCTCTTGTTTGTCCTTCTCACTATGTGCTGGCAGATTTTTTGTCAAATTATTATTTGTCTATTTGGATTGTGTTGGCCCGGCACACTATCCCAGTGTCCAACTGCCGATTTCGGCAAACAGCGCTGCTCTTAACTTACCAGTTAGAGGCCGATTGTATCAGAACAGTCTACGATCTGTCCGAGTCAACACAACCTTTTTTCAGTTGCACCAATCTACGGTAGTATATAGAGATACGTACGAACATTGCAGCAGTACTCGTAAAAAGCAGCGTTGGAACCGGCTCGTTAACGTGCTCCCTTACCATGGCCTGGACGTCGATGGAGCTGATGAACATGATGTCGATGGAAATGGTCACTTTGGTCGGTTCCGGTCGCTCTGCAAACCAAATACCATACAACTCTGACAGTCCTCACCGGAACGATTTCTAACAAAAACTCGACACGTCGAAAGGAAATCTGCTTAGCGTTATACAGTCATAAGTAAAATAATTTCTCTTACTTCGGCAACACGACAAATGTGCCTGCGCTGATTTACAGAATACAACACAAAGATTACTTGTTGAACATGGAAAAAACATGCAAAATGATTGCTACAGTATATATATATTACACAGATGATTGTTTTTAATAATTTATAATGACTAGTAGACCCCGCGCAAACTGCGCGGAATAAATCAGCGATTGATAAAATGCAAGAAATATATATAGAAGCTGACCGTTATTCATGAGTTTAAAAAAACATACTTTAAATACGTTGTAAAATTCAAATACATCCTACGTTTCACTGAATTCATTCATACTTATAAATTAACAAAATAAAAGTGCACATGCAATTTAAAATGAGGTGCTGCAGCACTCGTAGTCGTATAGCTGGATTCACTGTTTTACCGATCATTTTATCTTGATCATTTTGTGTTAACATTTTCACGTTCGGTGCAATGCACCGGGTGCGCTGCACACATACCCGTAATAAACCTCAAAACTTGCCGTTTATACATCTACTGTTTCATAAAACTTCCCTCGAATTTTTTCCCTCAGCAGGCATCAAACAAATTCCGTTCAACTGCTAAAAATTACCCATTGTTATTAGAATTCTGGTCTACCGCAGTAACCGCACTTATCAAGTAATTCATTCCATCATTATGCGCTTTTTTAATCTATCCGATGATTTCGATCACAACAGTACTGATTTGCCTACCGCTACTGCCCTTATCTCCGCTTAGAAATCAGAATATTATATTCTCCAATGTTTATTTTGTTTTTAATGTATTATCCTTTATACACGACAATGAACTTGCTGAAATAGCAGAATCACTTTAAAATCCAGCTCATTATTTTCATTTGCCTCAATTCACGTTTTCTCATTTCACACGGGAAAGGCGGAAACTGTTTTCGTGTTAGGGAGATCGCAATGTCTCGCTTATACAGTACTTGTCTGTATTGCTGCCCCGCGAGCTCCGCTCGCGCCGCAGCTTGGCGTCGCCTGCGGCTCCGCCTTCTGTCACAACTGAAACACTGCTCGCGTTCAACAAAAATGGCGTGGTAGATAACGAAGCATTCTACCATGATTCGCACCACATCCTAATACAGCCATAAAATTTGACCGCTAATCCGCTACTGCATAAGCGGTTCCACAATTATTCTGAAAAAGGTTACTGTCAAAACACCAAACGTGCAGTTTTAAAAAGGCAACTGCACCCGCCCTTGGAAGCGCTACTTTAAAATTGATCAAACCACTGCGGAGGACAGCTACTTGAAAAACTGGGGTTTTGAGTTGTCCCATACTCGCGGATTCAAGCTTCTTTGCCTGGTCATAACTTATTCAGCTCTTACCGTCTTTCCAAAAAAATTCTGGTAAAAAATGTATAAACTACGGCTTTAGGATGATACATGTCATTACACAATCATAAGAGTTCCACCCAGAAAAGCGGAGCTGGAAGGACAGCGTTTTGGCTGTCGACTCAAGACAGTGATGGGGTGGTCGGTTTTGCAGTGGTGGGTTCTTCACTTTTCCCATTAACTTTCTATGTTAGGTTTTCTTAAACTCTTCTTTTAAACTTCAGACTTTTTTCAAAAATTGATTCTTGTCGCGCCATCTGCAAGACTGGCGCTATTGAATGACATATGGACACCTAAGTTTGCTTTAGGGTGTCGCTCAGAAAAGGGATCTTTGTCTGGAATTTGCTAAGGCTTGTTTTATTAATATATAGAGATTATAGGCCACGATGCCCGTCGCCCGGTTGAATCGCCAAGGTTGGCGCTCAATTTGCAAGCAGTATTCGCTTATGCATTTATTTTCATTGATTTGGCTAACTGTACAATATATATATTTTTGCCCACATGCAGTGGAAGAGCGGTGAATAGTTATATATAGCTGGCATACGCACCGGCTTCCATCTCGCCCTCTTGGAAGGTGGGCCACTTGTCGAGGTCGTAGGTCTCCAGGAGCTCGTCCAGCAGGTTCTTCTTGTCGCCCACGCCCGCCGCCACGCCGCCCGTGCCGGCCAGGAGCAGGATCAGGATGCTGCAAAAAAACAGTATCTTCAGCTACTCTCTGCTGCCTCGATGCTGCCCCAGGAGGCTAGGACAAATACGGCTACATATACCGCTGCACGTATACAGAGTAGTTGCTGCAGCGCCCCGAAACCCTTCCAGCTAGACCACGTATAAACAGGGACCGGCTCCTTCGCCGGCTCCTCTTGTAATTTCCCCGGAATCCCTCCCTCGCTCTTGTACGCTACTCTGCCAGCATTATTCTCCGACCTACTCGCCGTACTCGTCACGCCGTTCGGGGTGGCGCTGACCTTTCTGGTCTGCCGTCTTTCTTGTCATGAAAAGCGTCCAGGAAGCGTCCACTGCCTTGTTGTTGTTTAGCTCATGATACGTTGCTTTATAAACATAACCAGACTGAACGGCTGACTGCTGAGCAGAGTGCGCGCTGCGCATGCCCAGCGAGCTTGATTAAACTGATTAGATTTCTTGTCCATTTAATCAGCGAGCGAAGTCGTAGGTGTGCCTGGGTGAGTGCGGAGAAACACCGCCGTCTACGTCGCCGCTGGATCAACAGTTCCGCGAAGACGTCTGTTGACGCGCGGAGAGCGCGGTGATGAGCCGGATGGCAATTAAGCAGCACTGCCATCCTGCATCCTTGCCTGCTCTCGCAGCAACGAGCCCATATACATATATGTATATTATATACAACGTAGGACACATGTTCCGCTTTTGACACATACTGCACTTTCCTCTCCAACAATGTACAACCGCATGTCGGTATATACTGTAACGGCGCACAACGGTGTGCATAGAAGAGGTCGCACCGTCTCCCTGATGCGGCAGAATTCCCGACGGGGATTTCTCCGGATCCCCAGTAAGTCGGTTGGCCGCTGACGGGGACGGCCGAGTTGCCATCGTTCCACCGGCAACCGGCAGCGGCTAAGTGAGCCATTTAATTCCCTGCCACAACGCTGCTGCCGCCGCTCTAAACTAACCGGCCCCCGCGGCGCCCTGTCCGCGCTCCCCGCTTGCCGGCATCTTCCATGGCAGCCGTCCCTGCCCTCTTCATGCACGTACGCTCCCGCGATTAAGGCCAACGCCGGCCACGACTCGCTTCAGTCTTAATTCGCAACCGTTAACATCTACACTTCCATTGCTTGTTCGATGGTCCTAGCTAAATGCTTCATACCGCCAAGAAAACCTTCAGCTGTTGGATGTTTTGGGCAATTTTGCAATAGATTTCCGATACATGCGCATTTTCGCGCAGCCGAGCCGCCACAAGTGCAGAAAGCATTCGTCCGGCTGACGGCCAAGTGCCGACGTCATAATAACCGCCATTTCCCTGCTCCTGCTTCATGCCTGCATTTTTAACCCGACTACTTATTTCTACTTATACCATCTTTGCAAGTGGTTCACAAAGGGTCACTTCACCGTTTTTTTTATCCAAACCGCAAATGTACTCGTAAAAGCTAATTTTTTGTGTGCGTCGGATGTTAAATTCACACTGTTTTTCGCCTGTTGCAAGAGAGCACTATGAACAGAAACAGCATCATCCCACAAAGCAGATAGCCATAAAAAGCCATAAAAAAGGAGAAATGCAACAAATGCCTTGACGTAGTCGCTTAACGGGCAAAGAAGCGAAATGTCACCTAAAACTGCTAGCACTGCTCCGGCCGAATGCCGGGAAGACCGATAGGAAAATTCTTCTCAACCAGCAAATATTTAAGCCTTTTTGGGAGCTGCTCTGCCAACTGGTCCCGCGTGAAAGCGAGCCGGGATCACGAGGCAACCGGAAAGGGAACAATGCTGCGCATACCGGAAGCAGCTGCTCGGGCAAAATTTCTCCATGTCAAGGTGACTGAGTACAGCGTACAGTACCAGTATACATATGTTGCCGGGAATGCGTTACATGCGCAAAAAATCGCAGAAACCGGAAGTGCTCAAAGAGGACCACCCAAGCTGTCAGTTGCGAGGCTGGCCAGGGATGGCTACAGTTACCTCCGCGTTTCCATTAACTTCTTCTAGCACAATGCCGGTCTTCTTGGTTTGCGATTAACGGGATTGCGATAGCTATAGTAATGTATGCTGTTCATACAACTTGGACATTTCGCTGCTGTTGCAGATGTCCTGCTAAAGACGCAGGGAATTAGTCAGTTAATTACAGCAACGCCGGCACGAAGCACTGGTCAAGCGCTCCAGGCCGCCAGTGATTTCCGCCTCCGACCGCCGCGTGTGCACCACGCACCGATCGGCACCTGCTCGGCTATTTCCGCCTGCCAACGGATCCCGCGCATTCTCCCAGCACATCCCTGGATGCGGGGAATGAATCTGTGTGGAATGTGTGTAATGAATGATGGACGGATGGATCATTATAATGATCCATTGATCTCCCTCAAACACTGCACGCTGCGCTCAATATAACGCCTATGTATACATAGATGTATTATATATAATATCTATATGCACTTATGTACAGCACATTATGCGGGTGCACGTATATATGTTCGATCTGCGAGGAAAACCTATCGCAGCGGGTGTACTGTATATACGAGTACATATATTATATATCTGTACATGGCAGTATAGCAAATAAATCTGCAGTCTTTTGTGGAGATTAGCAGGCGGGCATGCCCGGCGAGGCCGGTTGTTTGGATGCGGGGCGCCGTGTGACAAACAACCGACTCCTGCCGACAGGAAATCGATGCGGCACAGGAACAGCTCAGCCGTTTATCTATACTGCGCAGCAAAGAACGATGACCTCAACGCGATACAACTTTGTGATTTGCCGGAACGTCAAGTTTTCCTGCTGAACCATACTGCGAATAATAATAATAATAATAATATTCTGTTGCTCATCGAAGATACCCTCTCATAACGATAATCACGAGCTGGCGATAAGTAAGAAAAAGCACCGGCCCAGTTGAGCGGAAGTGCGCCATCTCTGACGTTATTCTTTATATAATACGCTGGAACGTTTAACGCTGATTGGCCCTTACGGCGTTAGCAAAAACAGCTTACCTGAGCAATAGGGAAAAGACTGGCAATTTGAGCAAAGGAATGGCACGGCTGTATCGCAATCTAAACCGGCAGCGGCGGCACACCGGCCCGGCTATCTCGGCCGGCTGCAACGGCCATAACGCGGCATCCTCCACTGGCGCTTGCATCTCGACTGCCCTGACCACTGCCGGCAATGGACAGACCGCGGGCGCTGCTCCCCGCCGTCAATGAGGTCAGTTACGCAACGCCGCCGGATAACACTATCCACATGGCCATCCGCAGCGGCACTGCGCTGCCCTGTATCAATCAGCCGGATCCGGAAATATAATAACAATATCAATCAGAATTAAGGGAATAATGCCGGCACAGAATCAGGCCGTGCGGCCCGCGCCAGCCGCAGCGAGTGGGCGCCTTAGCGGCGACATATGATATGCATGACGCAGGGCGTATATATGCTTATTATACAGCGCTCCCTCTCGCCATCCACGCCACGGATCCCGTAGCATCCCCAAGGGGCCGCCAAGCAAACATCCGCCGTTGTGCCGTATATATGCAGATGTCGATGCGGCCGTGTACGGACGGCGCTCCCGCAAACGGCAAATCTACTCGTATATCAGCGCGTGTAATCCGTAATCCGCATTGCGCCGCTGCACAAGACAAACGCGGCGCTGCCAGCTAATGCAGCAGCTTAACAACTGCCACCGCATCCGATCCTGACCCCGGCAACACACAACACACTTATCCCGCGTCGCCCTGATCCTGCGCCGTAATAACAACCACCAGCTGGCCCCGCTCGCCGCACACCGCGCCGGCCAATTATCGCCGACACGCTGCCGTGATAAGGGGCGCGTTTGGCGTAATGGACGCTGTCGTCCGGCTGTCACATGTGCCGGTGAATCGTGGCGCTGATGAATAAATTACGGGGCAGCTGACTTATTAATGCAGTTACACACAGGCACACAACACACCGGCGACGATTACACGACTGCCAGTTCCGTCAGCCGCAATCTGACTGGCGCGCATATATACAAATAACCACGCATCCAGGTACAAATGGGGAAAATGGATTTGGCCCGTGGCGGATATATCCGGATGGTAAGTGTACAGATCTGCGGACGGGGAAGAGCGAGCGAATGAAGCTGGCACACGCCGAACTAGCGCCACTCACTGGCTGCGGCATACAACCGGGCCGACGCTCGTACAACTACACGTACACCGGCGTTCAGTAGTACTGCGCGTATGTACGTACGAGATTTGCAAAAAAGGCCGATCGTTTACAGCGAGCGGATGGGAGCGCTGCGTGGTGGATGGTTTAATGCAAATGCAATCAAGGCGTGCGATGGAGAGGGGACGGAGAAAAGGTCAAGTGACCGGTTGCGGCGTTGGTGGCGCGTTAGGCGGGCTAATCGCGTTAGCGTTAGCCATAATGAACTTGCGCGCGAAGGAGCCGATCATAGCGGGCGCCGGCAATCCAATTGCCGGCGCTGCAGCACTGTACACTGTACGGGCGGGGTGTGAAGTGGCAGTGCCGGGATGCTGTACAGCCGGAGCAGTCAAGTGTGCCGTTGGCGCGCTGACTGGATGGCACAGCCCTCAAGTTGTGCCCGGTCGGGATAGGATCGGACGAGAGTGAAGACGGCGGAGAGAGGCCACTTTCCGGCCGTATGTACGCTGATTCCGCGGGCAACGCGCCCAAGATATCCTGTCATGCAGCGATGCAGATACAGCGCTGATGTAACGGCCGATGCAAGTCGGTCGGAAAGGCGCGCTAAGTGCAGCAAAAGGACACGCACGCCAAAGAAGAAACCTGCCAACGGAATGACACTGACCAGCCGGTGTGGATCGGCCACGTGCTTCTCACCCGGCACGCCGATAAAAAGCAGAGGTCAGCGTTAAATAACAACACCCTTCGACAGATCGCATCCAGCTGCTGTTTTTTACGCTTATTTTTCCAGCGGAAGTATGGCTAAGCTTATGCGCACCGGCTTGCCCACGGGCCGATCGAGAACGAGGCGTTGCCGCGCGGATAAGTGCGCGGAAGGATCCGGCAAGTGCAGCCGCTGCACTGATACTTTTCTTGCTTCAGCCCGTTGCCTGACGCAGGCAGGCCAATCTGCTGGGACGGCTAATTGGCGCGCTGCTGCTGCCTGCTCGCCGCTTGATGGCCGTTTAGACGGGCTAATCTCCTGCCCGCCACGACCCCTCTGCCACTCACTCCACCCAGCGCTGCCTGCTGCCGTACAGTGTTGCCGACTGCTCCGGCTGCAGCAGCGTCGTACGTCGATGGGCGATTAATCACCATGTTGACCAAGCTGCAGCTAGGCGTGTAATGTGCCGCTGCGATTACGCTGGCTTCTTTATGTCCCGTTCCCTTCCCTTGCTCCAGCACACAACCAGCGCCGCTGATCCCGGCGTTTCCATTTTCTTAACTGCCTAATTGACAGCGCCGGCCAGGGAATGGGACGCGGCGCGTAATCTCCCTCGGCAGCGGCGGAACGGGACTAACGCCGGCTATCAGCCGCGGCACAGGCCCTGCTGCATATATATGTTGAGCCGCGGCAATAAAGCGGCGTAATGACATTGGCAAATAAAAGCATTACACGTCTAACCGCCGATATAAAACAGCCACTTGTACTCGATCATGAACGCCATATTTCCAGCCGCAAGTGAGCGGGATTTAGTGTTGCCGCTTAATTTATGTACCGACTCCGTGCTTTGCCGGCGTCAAGCGCGCTGACGAGCAGTAGAGTTGCGTCACATCGGCGGTCGATACGAGCAGCCGGAAATGGCAGAGGCGATTATTGAATTTGCCGGCAAAAACAATTAGATGGGATGCGCCGGCGACGTGCCGGTACTGCGCCGCTGAGCATCGCCGCTCCGACCACGGAATTTTCTTGTGGTCAAGAGCCCGTCATCAGGGACGTTAAAGGGGCCGCGCGTGTCCCCGCGGAATTGCGCCGACTCATCATCCCGGCCACTTCCGCCGGGCGCAGCTGCAACTGCAGCGGAAACGGGCGCCGTTAAACGCACCTGTATGGGCAGCTGCAGCCGGCAGGTGCCGTGTATACACTGTAACCGTATCCACACACATCGGCAGTCGATCCCCTCTTGTGTCGTTTGAGCGGCGCGTGATGCGGGTGTCGATATCGATATCATTAGGCGCAGCTTACAACACGTCGCGCAAGTGTCAAGCGCTCGTCTTGCCGTGCGCCCATTGATCGCGCGGCGTAAGCTGTGTACCGACGCACTCCGGCTGTGTGCTGTACTGCAACACGCGTGTGTGCATAATCGGCAGTGTGCAGCATTACGACCCGTGTGTGTGACAGTAGCCGAGTGGAAATTGATGAGGTGATGAGTAGGAAAGCCGGCTAATGGGCACTATTAACCTTTGAGGACCCCTCACGCCGCTAATGGCTTATTTATGTTCTGTACGCCGGCCACGGTGCGCTCCCTGTAAACGCCGCCGAGAAAGCGTAATACGACGCTAGCGGTTAGATAACCGGGCCGGCGTGCATTAGCCAGTGCAGCGCGCCAAGTATCCTCACTCGCCGATGGCACTTCCATTTGCCGCGCGTTGAAACGATACATCCACACGGCCGGGCCGTTTTTTTTAATTAAAGACAACAGTCCAACGACCGCTTTAGCGCCCACACCGCAGGCGCGAGAGAGCGAGGTCATCCCCGAAAACAGCCAGGAAAAACGCTTTTCCGTTGACCGCAGTGTGCCTGATGTTGGTTTACTCGATTGAGCAAATTAGGTACAACGGCGCAGCGGAAGCGGGCGAGCACGGGCCGTCTCAACCTAAGAATCTATATCACAAAACCCAGTCCACCACAACCGCAGCGGAAGCGCAAAAAAGAGTGTTATGCCGAGTGAAAGCGGATGGATCAATGTCTACACGTTATCCCGCAAAAAAACCGCGTTAAAATCAAGTGGGACTGTGTATACAGGCCACCGACACGATTCCCAGTGTGACGTTTTATTCTGTACCCGGCACAAAAGAAACGCCTTACCGCCCAGGTGCCGGCTAACAGCCTTCCGTCTCCGCATTACACGGCCGGGGAAAGTGAAAGCGGAGCCGGCAGTGATGACGCAAGGCGTGCGGCGGATAGCGTGTAAGCGGAAGGAATGACTGTATGTGTGTATATATGTTTGACTGCGCTGTAAGCGGATCGGATGGGATCAATCTGACCCGTGGCTGCGGGCATTGTGCCGGCGATATATATACAGCGCCGATCAATCTGCCTAAGTGCATTTGTGGCCCGCTGAATGGAAGGGGAGCGGGAATGGATGGGCCTGCCGGCCAGCGGAAAGTGAATTGCCGTGGCGCGGTGAAAGCAGCGCCTGCAGCACCTGTGCACGCCGAGGCATTATACGGCAATGCGCTGCACAACGGCCGCATTATCGCTGCCAAGGGAAGACGCGTTGCTTGTACACGTATCGATCGCTGCGGCAGCGTGCCGGTCAACGATAACGTCAACTTTAGCGATATATTATATACATTGGTGTACATCGTGTCCGCCGATCGCATTATTGCCGGCATTATACTGGCTGCATGTACATGTTTCGCCGTCGCCGTATATATCCGATCCGATGCCGGCGAGGCGCGGCGGACATGAATGGGCCGGGACAATGGGCCATCAATCTGATGAGGGTGTAGCATTATCGCTTAGGAAATGCCTCATTAGCTCTGACGTCCGCTCCGGCCCGGCCGCGCTCCAGCAACAACGGCAGCTCCTATCGACAGCGCTGGCGGTGGCAGTTAGCGGGCTGCATCGCGGCTTATCAGGCAGTGCCATCGTGCCACAGCGGCATATACGCGCAATTGTATATACGGCAGTGATGCGTGTCGCTGCCCGACCGGCATCTTCGTCGCTGCATGGAAGAAGACAAAGCGCCTCTCATGCACGCCGCTCTGCGCCTCTTCCGGCCGGCCCGGCCCCGTCCTCCTCAAGGTGGCGAGCGGAGGAAGAAATACGGCCGCTGTCAGTGTCTTCCTTCGCTGCAAAGGGCGTTGTGCAAGCAATGCCGAGGCGCGGGGCAGGATGGTAATTGCAGCGTAAGGGATCACTTGGAGCGGAACTGGCCGTTAACGTTAAGATGACCCAGCCCGGCCCCGCCGCGGAGCGGGCATAAATCTTCCCGCACTTGCGCCGGCATTATGTAAACGCGCGGCACTGCAGGAGCAGCTGGATGCCGCCGGAAGTCAGCCAGCCGGCTCTGAGAGATAGATATATACAACGCTCGTATATATGCATGTACTCGTATACAACGTGCTTTGTTGTGCCTTGTGCGCGACAGGCGCTGCATGGCGGACGCTTTCTGCCCCTCCCGCGGCGAACTGTATGAATAAGGCTAATGGAAAGCGGAGCCCCGCTGGTCGGCGCGGCGACGGCCCATTGACCGCTCGCCGTCAGCGCGGCAGGTCGCCGTTGCCGGCAGTCAAAGCAATCCCCTCTTATCCACGTCTTACACAACGCGCCATACTATCCGAATTACGAAACGTGAGCGACTACAACATTACGCAGTTGTGTAGACTACAGCGCGGCAGCTGCGCCCGAAAAGGGCATCAACCAAGGACTTTAATTTTTTTTATTAATTTATTAATATTTTCACGGCAGTAACGTGTTATATATAGTGCGCTGCACAAGACAGCCAACTGCTGCAGTAGCAACAAGGCGCGCTGCAACTTTGCCGGCACGATTCCCGTTTCCAGCGGCACGCTGCATGCCCTGCTGATGAGCCGCTGGCTGCAGCAGCTGGCGCAGCGGAGACAGCTGTTGGTTAAGTGGAGATGAGCGATATTTCCGTCCCATTAACATCACGCTCCACTGCGCCGGACGCTGTCTTTCTCTTCCCGTTTTTTTTAAGTTCCCTTCCCCTTCCCTTTCCCCTTGTCCGACAGAAGACGCTGCCTGACTGACGCGGATGCAGCCGGCAACGCGATGAATGCACGCTGGCTGCAGCCGCTTCACTGCCTTCCTGCATATCCTGCCACGACTTTCCACATATTAAGTACATTATGCTCCCTCATGTCAGCCGATTCCGTCCGACGACAGATCGTGTTCTGAAGAAGCGTGTTTAGAAAATAAATTAACAATCGCCGCTAAAAGTGTTTTCGATAACGGTGACACAGGCGGTGCGCGCTGCGAAGTAAGCCGAGCGAGCAAGATGCGCTGGCGTGGACCAGGTCACACGCAGGTTGACCGTGGGAAAGCGGAGTCTCCACCGACTGCCGGCGAGTGTTTCTTAAAAAATGATTGTCGAATGTTAACACAACGTCAGCCTTTTTGTTTTATTAAGAAACACCATAATCAGAAATTCTATTAGCAAGCCAGAGAGAAAAGCACAGGAGATCCGCTGGCAGTTCAGAACGAGTATTACAGTCATAGCATGCAGTGGCAAGAATACCGGCAAATAGGTGCAGAAACGGCAGTTTGTGCTCATCGGTGCAGGCGACCGCCGGCTCCTGGCCAGCGGCGCCACATTTTAAAAGCGAAGCGGATGTTGAGACAAACGGCAGGAGAAGCGCCGTTCACGCTCCTCGCCAAAATAATCGACTAGGGAAGTGGCCGCCGCCCCGCAGAGGGCAGACGGATACTGCGGGTCAGCGGCGGCCCGGTTGCCGGCGGTGACGCCGGGGCATCCGCGGAAGTGTGTGCCGGGATTCCCTCTCCCTCCTCGTCCGGGGCGCGGTCCTTCTCCGCGTCCTGTTCTTCCTCGCTGTCACTGGCCGGGAAGGGCAGCCCGTGGACCAGCAGCTGACTGCGCCCGGCGGCCATCATCATCATCTCCGCCAGCTCCTCGTTGTCCTGCAACGGCGCCCGGGTCTCCCCGTCCTCCTCCGTCTTATGGCGGCGCGTGGCCGGCGTCGAGCGGGTCGAGCGCGTCGAGTGCCGGCTGCCGGTGCGGCTGCCGCGTGCCGACTGGCTGAACACGCTGCGCCGGTGCACCTCTCCGCCGGGGTCGTCCTGGCAGTCGCCGCTCGCGGCGCCGTCCTCCGGCGCCGGGCGGACGGCGACCTCGACGGCCGTGGCGTCCACCGCCGAGGTGGAGTAGGGCGGCGGCGGGGCGTAGCCGGTGGGATGGTCGTAGACGTAGGTGTACATGGGCGTGAAGGAGGTGCAGCCGAACATCTGCGCCTCGTCGTCCTCGTCGTCCAGGATGTTGACCGGGCCGCCGATGCACTCGGCGTACGTCGGCGGCGCTGCAACCAACAGACCGCTGTTGAATCGAATGACAAGCGAATCGTCGCGGCGGATACTGACCTTCGTAAGGCAGCTCCTCCTCCATCTCCAGGTAGGCCGGCGGCCCGGGCGGGCGCAGATGCAGCGTGTCGGAGGTGGCGCCGGGCATCACCACCGACAGACTGGGCAGCGGCGGACGGCGGCGCCGACAGGGCACGGTGCCGATGACCACCGGGAGGTCGGCGTAGATGTTGCAGGCGCCCGGCACTTGCAGCGTGATCTGCAATGGAACAGCCGTCAGTCGCGGCAACAACGGTACACATCGTGACCTTTATCGCGCCCACCTTGACTTGGTAGTCGACCTTGATGAGCTGGCAGTTGAGGATGGAGGGCGAGACGGCGGGGACCTTGAGGAGCTGGGCGTCCCAGTAACCGGTCTCGCCGGCGGGGATGCTGACGCCCGAGACGGTGGTCAGCTTGATGGCGCGCGAGCGGGACTTGCCGTTGGCCGTGAAGGACTGGATCTGGTAGAGGGTGGCGTGCGGCGTGATGTTGCGCCGCGTGCCGTTGGTGAAGAGGGCGCTGATGGCGATGGACTCCCCGGGGCAGTAGCCGCTGCAGCCAAAGCGCATTTTAACATCCGCCTCAATAAGTAAGGATATGTACAACATCTTATACACTTTAAAAATATAATAACATATGTAATATTTTTATATACAGAATGTGTATATATAAAATAAGCACAATATATAGTATATCTATATAATATAAGAATGATGGAATTTTACCGGCGGTCGGTGCGGATCTCGGCCTGGACGGGCGCGGACACGCACCACAGACAGCAGATCATCTTCTCCAGCGCCGCCTCGGAGGGCGTCCCGAACTCGGTGCGGTTGATGTCGATGGGGCTGGTGAAGGAAGAGGAGGGGTCAGTTGGAATTATTATTGACGGATTATGCGTACAGTAGGGACTACAGATAGTGACGCGTACGGTACCTGATGACGGTGAAGGGCTTCTTGGTCTTGTAGGCGAAGGCCCAGGGCTTGCCCAGCTCGGCCTTCAGCCAGTAGCGGATGCTGCCGTACTTGCCCTCGAAGGACGTGGCGATGGCGCTGCGAAGAGAGCACATCAGTATGGCAATTAACACACCGTACAGCACACGCATGACCGGATGTGCCCCTACATGATACTTCAGTATATGTACGAGTGTATTTGTGCATATTACGGTATTAGTCATCTTATATCTACACTGTAAGAGATATTATAGAAGTACAAATTGATCCAATTAGTCTATGCGAGCAGGACACCTGTTGGGGAGGGCGAAGGTGAAGCGGTACTCGTGCCTTCCCTCGGCCAGGGTCTCGCGCGACTCCCCGTTCTCGCTGCCCAGCAGGAGGAGCTTCTTGTTGACGTACTCCACTTCCGCCGTGAAGTGCTCCGTGTACAGCATCCCGTAGCCGCCCAGCCGCGCGCCGTTGTTCCGCGATTCTGCACATTAACCAAATTAACGGCACGGCACGTCTTTTCCCACTGCACATGCCATGGCCACATTTATTACAGCATACGTATACAGACAATGTATCTACATACATAAATATGCTCTACATTCGAACGCAGTCTACACTCACTGTCCGTTCTCATGGGTTAACAAAATCACAGCAAAGCTGCCAAAAAAAACAGCAGTCCCGATCAGAACTATATACACGAAACAATTAATAGAGCTATACATATGCCATAGAACTATATGTACCTGTATTTGAATAAGTATACAATACAATTATACGAATCATGTATTGTACATGTATTAGTGTCCATCTGTGCACTATTAATATTTATACATTACATTCTTATATAAATATCAATCTATCTACTCTGTATATATAGTATACAGATATAACACACTTGTACACGTATAAGTGTACAATAAATATGTTGTATGCTACATATGTTATGTGCCGGTACGGTAGTGCAAATGTGCAAATGTACCTGTCCAGTGGACGCGCGCCACGCCGCGGATGAGGATGCGGATGTAGCGGATCTTGAGGAGCTTCTCCACCTCGATGATGAGCTTGCCGCGCACCGTCTCGCCGCGCTGGAAGACGCTGCGGTCGCCCAGCAGGATGATCTCCAGGTTCTTGATGCGCCCCATCGATCCTCCACAGAGTCCACACCCTCTACTTCTGTTAATGGCCTCACCCCACCACTTGCAATCAATCCACGCCGCTGCAAACCCCCGTTTCCTCTCAATCCACTGTCCGGCCAAGGGTCAAAGTCAACCTGCAGCCAAAAACCGACCCTTACCGTTACCGGCTGCAATCATAACCGGCACCCAACGTCAACCGCCCGAATTAACATGCTACATGCAACGTTGCAATAATCCATTCGCGGTCGCTGTTTTTCCTCTCATTGTGGTTAATTGCGTGCGTGCCGCTGTCATATATCCAGCTGATCAGCGCTTGGCCACAACGCTGACGTCATCCGCTCCAGGAGAAGTGATGAATGGATGACAATCCGCAATCCGCTTTCCCGACAAACGCACGTAACCGCCGCCCGCGAACCTCGTTCGTTGTATATACTGCTTACAAGTTAGTGCTTACTGCTTACCTCTGATCTCCGGCAGGCTGAATATAGCTTCCATTATATGAAAACTGCCAAGAAGATTAAAGACACGGCAGGAAGCCCGGGATCAATCCCGTCTTCTTCCCAACCGACGGAAGTAATTAGGGAGATTAGGTGCTGGCGTCCACAACCGCTCCTTCGACACCAGCAGCGTCATATTACATAATCACTACAAACACTCTTCTCAGAAAGCGCAGCACTAACAACGCCTGATCACCGGAAGTCCAGGTGAAGTGGTGCAAATCAACACCAGAAGAAAGTCAGTCACCAGCTTCCTGCGTAATAAGGAATTCTGGTTAGCGAGGAAGAAGCTGTAACGTGCTGCGCGTTCCCATCCGCGAGTACATAATATTATACATAGAAGTATAGTTGTGTACCGATGCTGAAAAAGCGAACGGATAACGGAGACAGGCAGGCGCGGAGCGATCGACCCGACCCGCGCCCGAACGTGCGCGTATATGCAAGGAAGCAGAGGCGCATCTATATCGGCACCGGCTGCTGATCGACGCAAGGATGATATGTTCCAGCCGCCGGCGCGCACGCTACGCTTGCATTAACGCGGAATACGCTATATAAACTTCGTGTACATACCGCAGTGGACGTACTGTACTGTACGATAGCGTGAAGAGCGCAGCCGATTCTTCGCCGTAAATCCTGCCTGCTGTACATCTCTCACCACTGCGCATATATACGCGCATATAAATATATCCTAAACGGCAGCCGTCTCTCCCTGGCCAGTCACCGGAAGTGCCGCTGCCTCGCATCCGGTTGGCTTCCTCGCACACGGATGCTACACCGGCACTTACCGTGCATTGCACCACATTACCGGCAGCCAGGGAAATCACTGCTCCTGCCTGGTCTCTTCCGCGGCTCACTCCGCACCTAGCCGGAACACTGATACGGACAGACACCCACAAGCCGCAACCATCCCTGTTCATGCATATTCATGCTCACTTCCTTGTCTCCTTCGAACATGCTCTTATGATTATCCTCTTTGCTGGATCATATAATCCTTCTGTACGAGAATAACATAGAAGTATTCATATTTAATGCGATAAAAGAATTCGTAGTTTAGTATTATATACTATAGTGTAATATATACTATACACATAATATATACTACAAGAGTCATCTTCGGCTTCGCCTCAGATGCTCTTGTGGTCTGCAGTCAGTTCCTTGAAAATTAATTCTTGTTCATTTATTTTTGAAGCCTGGTTTGCGTGTTATATGTTTTTACAGTGTATGATCAGGCGCTGTTCGTAGCTTCAGTTAGCTTGCTCTAATCAGGAAATAGCATTATATAGCTGATCGGTTCATTCTATGTGAAACAAAATAGTTAATAGCACGACTAATAGTCGGAGAGTGGTCAGCGGTGCTAAGTTTCTAATAATTCTGCTTCGCTACTTTTTAATAACTGGTACGTCGAAACCAATTTTGATCGAGGACACGTGGAAACCAATTTTGATCCTTTGTTCAGTAATCAGTAGGCTTGGTCGGTAGATACAGTAATGTGAATTTTTTATATAATTCCATTCATTCAGTCGGCAGCAAGGAGTGTGTAGTGATAACGAGCAACAGAGATCACGTTGTCCTAGTCACCGAACATTAGTAACAGCAATAGCGGGTCCTGTAATTTCCGTTTACGCAGCAGCCCTGATTAGTGATACCTAAACACTGGTATGACCTGTGGGTTGTCTTTCTGAATTTCGATTGTTTCTGACAGAGATTTTAAGAATGTAATGGCGTTTGCATTTACACGGGATGTCGTTCTACCCGGTACTCGTTAGTTAACATTTTTTGTTATTGGCAATAGCCACTAACAAAATAAAAACTAGCCCTCGCGGTTACATTGTTTGTGGTAAAGGATGGTAAGGCCGGTGGTAAATTGAGGATCTCGGAGCATGGCCACCGTTCCCTTTATTTAGTAAGATTGGTCGGTGGATAGACATGCCAGCTTTTGCACAGTTCTGTTCGGCTGACAGCCGGATTACCGGATTAGCGTTGTGCTGGACAATGATAACGGTTCTGCTCTTATCTGGTCTAAGCCACTAACACTAAGATAATATCCCTTCCCTGAAACTAGAGCTTCCGTTCACTCTACAGGCCTGGTCGGCGGTCAGTATGTTTCCTGTAACTCAGTAGGTCTGGTTAGTGGATAGTGTAACCTTTGTGCGGTTCTGTTCATTCGACAGCTCAAGAACTTTGTTAGCATCGAACAGTGGGTACTGGGCAAGGGTTCCGTTGGGTTCCGTTCTCATATGCCGGTCTGGTCAGTGAGTTTTTCAATGCATAGGAAAATTCACGGTCAGTAAACTTTCGCTTGCAAACTATGCTGAGACATTTTGCCTGTTTTCTCACTACCACGACGAAGTGCGATTTCGCCTTCTACCTAATATGTAAAGGAAGTTAAGGACTATGCAGGTAATTAGGAATACGTTCGCAAACTTTCGCTTTCGCATCCTCAAACACTTTTTTAGTTTTATACCTTCCAATAATTCCATAATGATAACCCTATAGCCAAAGGATTTGTACTTTATACATCGGTGTGGAAATTGTTTATGAGATATTAGGAGAATAAAATTTTAAAATGTTTAAATGCATTCACGTGGCATTCAAAAGCCTCATTGTGAATCGATATCTTATCTTATCCCAAATTTTCATGTTAACGCGTGAGTATACCGTAGTATGAGTACTGAGATCGTTTTCACCGAACCAAACAACTTTTTTGGTATTTAAGCTAATTTTAAATTTTATGTTTATTGTAGATCTAAGTGTTTTGTAATGCACAGAGAACAATGTATAAGAACGCAGAAAGCTAAAAAGTTCCAGCGCGAAAGCGCTTTCCGGCTCCGAAAACCAAAAGAAAATTTCTTCGCTTTAGTGCATTTTGTTGAAACGCGACAAACTTGAAAAATTTTTCGAAGTTTATTTAAACAAATTACAGCTTTTTTTATTACACTACATACTCTGCATTTGAATATTAGCTGCTCCACGCAACAGTGTTTTATGTAAAAGGTCTTTCAAGGTCACCTTGAACTGATTCCTGTACCGGTACCGGCATCCGAGCGATGGTCCAGGGCAGATATTTTTGAAAACAAAATGCATGTGGGACCCTTTTGGAACATGCTGAGTTTGATGGTGAAATCGGTTTTTTAATTTGCTTGGCGGTTTTTTCTAGCCAAGTTCCACGGGGCGGCCGATCATAATATAGATCTATTTCCTTGATAGATATGATGCTTTTAAGATCTGCTGGTTAATTGTAGCTTCTTTGCTTGATAAACACCTTCCCCGTAGAAATTCCGCACAAAAGTGACCTTACTTCCTCTCTAACAATCCACGCAACGTTTTCTGGCCGACAAAATTATACAAACAATGTCTCAAACAGTCTGGTAAAAGACGTCTTTTTCAAAATCGGCTACCGTATGTTTAGGATAATAATAACCGTACAACGAGCACGAAGACGCTGATGGGTGTTTGTTGTAATTTGAGCGGGAAGGCCGCCGTTTCAAGCAGACACCAGAGTATCGTAGCATCGACACAAAGCCAGCGCCCGTCGCAACAACAGTCGACAGGCGCGGAAACAAGAATAGACTAACCAGACGGAGAAGAGAGCAACAAGGCCCACAACAACGTTAACCCCAAGCCCGGACCAACACCCGTCTCCTCACCGGGAACATCCCTTCATCAACACAACGCTCCCAAAGAGGCGAAAAAGGCGCCCCGAAACTCCCTCTTCACCGGACGATCATACTGTATCTCCGCACACCACAGACACGCACTCCACGACACGTCCATAAAATAAACCCTCCACCGATACTGTCTTCCATAAGGCCATTGCAGAATGAATAATCTACTGCGCCAGCACCTGCAGCTCGTTGATCCCGTTGGCGGCCATGCTCTTGTCGCGCAGCTCCTTGTCGCGCCCGTGCACCGTCTGGATGTGCCGGCGCACGTGGTCCTTGCGCGTGAACTTCTTGGGGCAGTAGGGACACAGGTTGGGCTTGATGCCCAGGTGCGTCTGCAGGTGGCGCCGCAGGTCCTTGGAGGCCGAGAAGACCTTCCCGCACGACGAACAGGGGTGCGCGGGGCGCTGCGACAGCGGGATGGCGCGCTTCCCCGGTGGCGGGGGCGGCTGGACGCGGACGATCAGACTGGGCGGCGGCGGCGCCACCTGGCGGACGGGCGGCGGCGGCGGCGCCTCCTCCTCTTCCTCCGGGGACGCGGGCGCCTCGAGGTGGAAGGCGGAGTTGGGGGACTGCTGGTGCACGGTGACCCAGTCGGGCTCGGGCTCCTCCTCCTCCTCCTCCTCCCGCTCGTTGTCGTCCTCCGCGTCCTGCTCGTCCTCCTCCTCGTTGTCCTCCTCGGCGTCCATCTCCTCCAGACTGCGGATGGGCACGGGCCCGTCGCCGCGGTTGGCGTCGCGCTCATGCAACGACAGGTGCTTCTCGTACGTCCACTTCTTGGCGAACACGCACCCGCACAGCACGCACTCCAGCCGCACTTTCGAGCGCTCGTGCACCTTCAGGTGGTTGTTCAGGTGATCCTGCAACCGATTAACATACTCAATAACCGGCCCACTCCATTACTGGTTAATTAAAAAGTAATTAACGACAGAAAATGAAAGAAATTCAATTAACTGATGAAAAATTTAACCACAAAGTTAGATAGAACATGGCCATCAAATGCGAAATATAATAATCATATTAACAGAAAAAAATATTAGAACTATCAGAAAATATTCTAAAAAATAATGGTAATATTCTTGATAGTTTTCGTACCTTGCGATGGATGAGTAAATAATTACTGATAAACGAATAATACCATTAAATAAATAATGGATATAAAATACGAAATCACACAAAAATTACTCTATAAAAATATCAGAAAATATTCTAAATAATAATACAAATATTCTGGATACATTCGTTATGATTCGTACCTTGCGGTGGAATTTTTTATGGCATAATTGGCAGTGATGGCGCTTCTCCTGCGAGTGGATGAGCTCGTGGCGCAGGAGTTTGTACTTGGAGCTGAAGTACTTGCTGCAGGCCGGGTATGAGCAAATGTAGGGCCGCAGACTGCCGCCCGAGGAGCGCAGCAGGCGCTGTTCCTGTTCAACAATAATCCCCGATTTATTCCCCGGCGAAGACTGCAACGGACACAAGGTATGTGCACACTCACCCTGCTGGAATCCTCGTCGCTGTCGCCCGAGCGGTCGCCGGGCGAGCGGATGCTGTCGGCCATGGATTCGTCGTTTGAGCTAATCACGATTGAGCTTTTCGTTGTTCCTGTTCAATAAATGCATTTTCAAAAATAACAAGCCAACAATAATAGTTGCAAAAAAAATTATAACAGCGAAATACATGAAATTATTTAATAAATTATCAATTATGCAGTTTATTAAATTAGTTTAACCGTAAAAATTACAGAAAAATGCCTAAATAAAATTAATAAGTAAACAATTTAAATAAACCCTACTTCTACACAAGAAATAAAATTCTTCAGTAAATAATGTAGCTGTCGTACCGGGCCAGGAGACGGCCAGACCGGGCGACGGCTGAATCCTGATGGGGGGCCGTTTCTGTACAAAGGACTCGCCGATGACGGGGATGTCGAAGGAGGTCTTGAGCAGGGACTGCCCGATCGCCCCGGCGGGCGCCGGTCCCGAGGTCAGCAGCAACAAGGAGGTGGGCGGCATCCCGTTGGAGGAGGGGTTCTCGCAGATGAGCAGGATGTTCTCGCCAGGCGGCAGCGCCGGCGGCGGAGGGGGCGGGGCCGGCGCGATGTTGGTCACGACGTGGCAGACCGGCGCGGGCTCGTCCTTGAGTATTAGGGAGACCGCCGGAGTGGGCGGCGGCGCCGGGACGGGCACGGGCGGCGGTGGCGGACGGTGCGGCGCGCGGCTCTCCACGACGGCGATGTGCGGCGGCCGGGTCTGCGGGACGCGCTGCGGGCGGGCGGCTTTGCGGCGCCGACTGCTGACCGGGTCGGCGGCGTCGCGGGTCTTCGGGGCCTCGTTGAGGAGGTCCACGCCCATCAGGCCGGCGTACTCCTCGGAGTACCACACGCGCAGCTCCGTTTGCGCCGGGATAAACTACGATCATACACGCACACGTTACACTTCCGTGCGTCGCCCGACCAACCAGCAGACTCACTCTGAAGGCAGCGAAATAGATGTCGTCTTCGTGCTGGTAGGCGACGAGGTTCTGCTCGGCCCAGCTGCGGGCCGGACGGACGTACATGAGCCAGTTGCACTCGGCTTCGTTGCTCACATCCAGGTAGGCACTCGATTCTCCGGCGCGGAATTTCTGCAACACGACAGATTTCTGTATACAGCTGGTATGGTATGGCCGGTTGCAAGCGGGAAGCAAGCGCGCCGTTTTTTTCCGATTTATTTCCAAGTTAATTTTCTAATTTATTTTTTCATTTTTTGTTCAATTTTTAACTGATGTTGAAAATAAAATGAAAGCCGAATCGACTTATTTTACTGCAATTTACAATAATCTGATTTATCAAAAACTTTACTCAATCTCAAATCATCCGATATTCTATAAGATATGCTTGCCATTTTTTTTTAAACTGAATGCATTGGGTACAAGAAAATCCGGTATTCGAAAGAAAACAGAACCGCATTTAAGATCAATTAAAAATAAATTTGAAAAAATCAACGACTGATTTTTATCTAAACTACAAGTAATTCGTTAACTGAGCGCAATTTTGATCTGCAAGTTGTAACTGACTTTGAGCAAAAATTGGTCCTCTCCCAGGCACAACGGCACGGACAGCGCGGGGGCCTCCAGGGGGCCGAACAGCGTCCGGGAGGCGATGTCGGCGCTGGCGAAGACACCTCGCACTGTAAGAAATACGCCCCTGATTAAGGAAATATACAGCAGCAGCCATCAAAAACAGGAATCGTACCCGTTCGTCCATCGGCGGCGGGCGACAGCCGGCGCACTGTCACCTGGGTGGGGGCGGTGGCGACGGCGCGCGGCGGCAGGGGCCGGTCGGGGATGTGGTGCAGCGGGCCGTGGACGGTGCAGGGTGGATCGCTAATTCCGCGCCAACACTCCGCGCACCCTGCAACACAGCAAGAAAAATTTCTTATTTCAATACTATTTATTTCAGTTTTTTTATTTTTTAATGGAGCCTGAACGGTGCAATTTGACGCTATACAGCACTGGTCCATAAATAAATTCCGGCAACGCTCAGTCTCCTTGGGGACGGTCTATTTCCCTCCCCCGGCCGCCGCTGAAGCGTTCGTCATCGGCACTATTTCCAGTGATTCTCTAGCGTCGAGCGAACGCGCTAGGCACTGCCTCGCAGTGACAAGCATACCCCGATTCCAACTGTCACTCACCCGTGCCCTGCAGTACAGTCTGTACAGATCACTGCACGTAAGCCGGCACACTGCGACAAGAAGTGAAAACGCGCGTTTTCAGGGCAGTAGCAGGCATAAGCCGCCGCAGTGAAAACGCAACCGGCATATGTTAGCCGATCCCCCGATCACCGATGCAGCAGAGTGAACAGACCACACACACCACGTGCTCACTTGTGCGGTGAATTCTCACTTGACGGCATCGGCACAGGCCTGGGCGGGGGCAAACGCGGTAAAAAATAGAACAAAGTTACAAACCAAACCGCAAAATGTGCTCTACACCGCTCACTGCTCACAGTGGCGCCGCGGAAACGGAACAACGCAGCCACAGCGAAAAGAGGCCACTCGTCCACTACGCGCCGTACACTGTACACTGAACGATCGCAGCACGAGCGCCGGACCGATGGCCGGCGCTCGACACTACTCCCTCACAGCTGCACAACTGGCAATACTCACCATCTCCTCGCGAAGATTCATACACAGGAACAGATTACCAAATTTATGATAAAAACCAGTTTAAGAAAAATTCGAATTAACTTACTAAGAAACATTAAACGAAAACGGGGAGATCAAGTAGTTAACTAAAGCACGGCCTCCAACCTAAGAAAAAATGAATAAACAATCCCCAAGCAAGTTTCCCGTGATACTGCGTGTTAACTGCTGAGCAGCTGGGATGGAGCGGAGCCTCCCCAAGATGAGGGAAAAGCGGGAGAAATAACAATATCACCAATGAATAAATAAATACAGTAAATAGACGAGCCAATTATCAGCCATAACCGACGACCACCGATCATCAGCCGCTAATCAGTAATCAGTAATCGCGATTAATCAGCAATTCAGCACTCACACTGCGACGCATCCGCCCCGGGCAGGGGGGCAGCGGGGCCGGGGGCGGCCGTCCTGTCCCCGTCATCCTCCCGCGGCGGCGACGCCCGTCCGCCCCACGAGTTGGGCTCCATCCCACCCTCCCCGGTTTGGGTAGTCTCCACAGGACAAGCAGTCCGGCTCAGTCTCGGCCACTCAGCAGGCTCCCTCCGCGCACACACTCAACAGCTCCAACACGTCTTCTTCCCCTCGCCACGCGTCCCCCGTCTTCCCGTCAACCGACCGGACCGCTCACTCTATCCTCTCCTTCATAGTATTCGGGCCAAGACTCAAGGGCTCCCACGACTGCCAGACCTCACCCACTCCCCTGGCGATAAGAATAGCGATCCCTGAAAACGCAGCACAAGTGATATTCTGGGGAACAAGTTACAATATTCACGACATACACCGTCCACTGCAGCTCACACTCAAACCAGTGCCTTTCTGTCAATTGCTAATTAACCTTCGTGTTACTGGTTACTTACGAATTACGATTACAGTACCTGAGTACTGTACCTGATTTTTCCCTTATCTTACACAAACAGCAAAGATACATGTACTGCCAAAGCCCACAAGTCCTGCTAATGTACCTTCAAAGAACTGAACACCTCCAAATTCCCACAATAAATCACCAACTCCTCAACGATATACAGTAGAAGATACGCTGCCTACAGTACCGTTTTTTACCAAAATCTCTTACTTTTAAAGTTTTAATGATATTGATATCCTTTCTGCATTTCAGTTTCCACTTGCCAGTACGCAGGCAATCGTACAATTGTAAACAGGGGAAGCAAACTTCACAATAATTAACTAAGAAAACAATCTGAAATTGTCAGTACGCTCATTTTTCTCTCACATTTCATTACGTACCTTCTCGACTGCCTCACACGTGCTGCAGTTGAATATTGCCCCTTCGATAAATCGGAAAAATGAGGGATGTTTATGATAGCAGAATAGAATAATCAATTCAGTCCAAGAATCTCAAAAGGCAGAAAGAGCGCGAGGCCCCCTTTTTCCTCAGCAGCAGACCGTTATAAATCACATCCACACGGTGCGTACAAGTGCAGCGGGGGGAAAAACGAAGGGTGCGCGGCAGACAAATCCAGGTTTAAAACTTAAAAACGTTGCAAAGCACTTGAGCAGTACTGCAGCGCAGACGCAGAGGGTGCTGCGAAGGCGCAGACCAGGGAAAAATCAATCAGCACGACGGCCGTGCGCATTCGTGCACTCCCCGCACGGCGTAACACTGCCCAACCAGCCAATCGCATCGCCGACACGCTAGCCCCGAAAACCCGTTTCCACTGGCTGGCACTGGCAGTTGCATTTGGCGCTCACGGCCTCACGCTCACGCCGCGGTTCCATGCCAGGCGCCGTCGCACTCACAGCTGTGCAGTGCACTGTGTTCACGGCTGAACGGACGCGTACGTACGTGCGCACTGCGCTGACGCAACGAGTACCGGCCAATCACAACAACGTGAGGCCGCGAGCAGCCGATTCGTGTTGGAGCATGCCTGCATGAGGCCCATTCAAGCAAGTGGCAGAGAAAGAAGAGGCGGAGCCTGACCCGCAGCGCGCACCGGCCCCGCCCACCTTCTTTTATGGCAACACTGCGCACTCACTCGCCTCAGTGTCTCACATGGATAAAAAATTAATGAATTATCAGTTTTCTCGCCACCGGAAACCACATAGCCCCTGGTTGAATGGAAGGACACTTAAACAGCATCAAAATATCAAATTATTACGAGCCGGCGACCAACATAAAAATTAATCATAAATAAACATTCAGTGTCAATAACCGGCACGGGTGTCGATTAATAAATTACCGATTTACCGGCTACAGTACAACTGTCAATTACTATGTCTGGGATTCGTACTGAATTTAAACAAAAAAATGAGGATTTTTGTCCACTTCACTAAAACGACCGCTCGACGTTCTACACCTTGCTATTACGTTTTTATTAACTTTTATTTAAAATACACACGCGCTATAAGCAACATTGCGCCGGCAGCATTGACAAGTAAAAGATTTCTGTATATAGGCTGAATACTGCAGTGATACTTGGTAAAACTCAAACAGAAGACTACGAGCCAGACGATCACGTGCGCTGCCCAGTGCCCACAAGCCAAGGGAACCATTCAACGAGCCAACATAAAAACACCCCCGATTTCCTTCCGCTCCCCAACGTCAACGGATCAACTACAGAGAAAACAACCGCGGCACTGTACACGTCCAAGCCATTAACAGCCACCTCCCGTCGGGGGGACACCAGCAGATCCCGTCTTCAGCAGAACTGCAAACAGACCACAATCAGGGAGAAAAATGCCCGGATAAAAGGATCAGCCGTCGACCCACCTTCCAGCGGTTGCCGCACGTCAGACACAGCGCGAAGGTCGTCATGGGCTCGTCGGCCGATCGCGTCTGCGCCTGGTTAACGCAAAAGACCCCCATTATCATACGTCAGACAGGCAACAACACAAAGTCAATTACGGCGTCCAACAAATGCCGTAATTCCTCAATGCAGAAAGTTGTCAAAGGGAAACCGCGCAAGGCGGGCGACTGACCTGCGTGTAGGTGCACTTGCGCTGCTTGCACTTGCCGCACTGCAGCAGATCCGACTCGACGCCCTGCTGCGTGGCCATCTGGCGGTCGTTGATGGCCTCCGTCGTGTACTTCTGCCGCAGCGTCTTCATCTCCTCACTGGCCATCTCCTACACACAAAACAACGCTAACATCAGCATCAACAATATTATCAACATTTTATAAATTAATAATAAACAACAAAATTAATGCTTGTGGTGCATACGTACGCGTACGATACTCCAAAGATCAACCAAATAAATAATAAACAAACCCCGCCAAATAATAGACATATAACTGATCATTAAAATACATCAACGCAATAACAACAGCAGAATAAAATCCAGAAAATCATCAACAAAAATGTAAGAAAATAATAGTAAATAATTCCGCGGATAAAAATCTGTATATTTCCGGTGCCAACCTCGGAAGACATGGTGGCGAAGCGCTGGCAGCTGATCATGCCGAGGAGGACGTTCTCGCGCAGACTGGGATTGCGGCTGTCCTGCAGGTTCATGACGCGGCTGCGGATGCGGTTCTTGTAGCGCGTGTCCACGCCGTGGAACTCCTGGTAGATGGCCGTCTCGATCTCGCCGGCCAGCTGACCGGGGTCCTGCGCGCCCTCCACCAACGCTGCAACCACACACCACAATCACAACCACTCTTCCTTACACTGTCACCCACACACTCACCCTCCTTGCTGAGCGCCTTGACGATCAACTCGCGGGATTTGAGCCGGTTGGGATCGCTGGTGTCCAATCCGCTGCCCTCGCCGTTCTTGCTGGACGCCGTCGCCGCCGTCGCCCGTCCATTAGCGTCGTTGGCGGGGACGCTGCCGGTGGAGGAGGAGCGCGAGAGACTGGCCGGCGTCGCGGCCGGATCGGGCGAGGCGCCGGCCAGGGGCGAGCGCGGCGCCCCCGACTCCGACAGCTGCGTCTTCAGGCGTTTGCGCTGCGACTCCGACTGCGCGGTGGCGCCGCCCGGGGCGGGACGGGCCTCCTTCTTGGCGGGCGCGGACTGGCTCTGCCCGGGAGAGTCGCTGCCGTCGTGCGGACTGCTCCCGCTGTTCACTGTGTGACACAAACAACCACCTGGTTCGCTTCAAACTCGTTACAACGCCAAGCAACCCAGTGTGCACCTTTGAGAAGACTCTTCCAGCTCTTGACGAGGTTCTTGCACAGCGAGGCCACCTGCTCGCTCTGTGTCTCCTTGCGCAGCGTGTTCACGCTCTTGCCGACGTTGGTGTTCTGCAAACACACCCAAACATGCACGTATCACTGAAGGGTGAAAACTGAGAACGTAATTTCGACATTTCCAGCTGAAACAAAATCGTTTCCACATTAAACGGAGTAGCGAGCATTTCTAAAAGTCTGCCATAAAAACTTTTAATTTTTCTCAAATTATTATACATACAAACATTTTGACCACAATAAATACTGAGTGGCGCATTGGAACCGTTAAAAATCACTACTATCAGTGACTATTAATATTTTATTTTAATCTCTGGTTTTTTTTACCATTTTTAATAGAAATATTTTCGGAAAATAAATAGTAAAAATTCATTTTTCAAAATGCCAAATCTAAATGCATTTCAAATCATGTCAAAAGACGGGGTAAAATCATTGGAATTGGCATCGTAGTGTACCTGCAGGATGTCGAGATCGATGGGCAGCTTCTCCAGCGCTTTCAGCAGCTCCACCACTTCCTCGCTGCCCTGCAGTGGCAAATGCAAATGCAATCAACTCATTTTCACTTATTCACATGTGTGTCAAAATGTGCACATGCTCTGTTTTATGTGCATCATTTTCTAATTAACTGTAATTCCATTGTAATAAACACGCAAGTATCGGGTGCAGACGGATGACAGATGCATGGTGAATCTGGCGTGTAAGAGTTAAGACGGCGGAGAACCCAGTTACCCAGGCAGACACGAAGCTCCGTCTCAAGGCTTCACTCCTGCACAGTGCACCACAACCACCACCAACCAACCGGATTCATTATAAAACAGCCACGTGTATCGTAATCGTGTGCAGAAAGATATAACAGCACTGGCCTAGGCAGCGTACCGTGCTTTTCTCCGCGACGAGCTTGTCGAGTTTGCTGCAGGTCTCCTGCACTTCGCGCTGAATCCCCGCCGTCTCGCGGCCGTTCCCGTTCACGCTGCCGCTCATTCTGCTGCCTTCTTCGATCCCCTGATAGCGGCTGACCAGCGGCAATACGATACGAGGCGGAGGAAGACGAGCAAGCCCAGCTGCAAATCCTCCAAGTTCAGCACAAAATCAGCTAAAAGACAAGTGCTGTCAGACTGTGGCTCAGTCTCCTGCTGCACGCAAAACAGTCGACGCTCTCGCTCATCAATCCTCTACTCAAAACCCCTCCGATAGCCTACCATACGGCCCGTTCCCGAAAAACTTCAGGTCTTGGGGGAAACTGGGATGAGATCATAAGAAACAGTTGAAAAACTCCAAATTAAAAGGCAAAAAGATGTCCCAGAAATTCAGCAGAGCGCGGTCTGTTGAATCAGTGTTGATCTGCGAACGGAAGCTGCCAGCGCGAGCACCACGGAGCTGTCACTCTGGCGGTTGATGCAGCGACAGCCACAACATCTTCCGGTTCGGGTTGACTTTCATCGTCAATTAAAAACGTACAGACTTACGTACAGACTCATTGATAATTTCATATTAAAAGTTATAATATTTTGCCAGTTCTTTTTTTCTGCAAACTTCCAGGAATCATTTTATTTATTCCTTATCACAATGCGCGTATTAACGGCATAAGCCATTTACAATAAAACTGCGTATTTTTCTTCCATTTTTTCAGCGTTTTGTCTTTGATTCAAGATATGCAGAACCGCCAAAGGATCTGGCAGATTTTTATTGCATTTACAGTTTGTAAGAAACAAGCACAGAACAATTCCAATAAGAAAATTCAATGAGCACCTTATAAACTAACAGGAAGCCAAACATTCGCGATAAAAATCACTGGAAGGAAACGCTAGATGAAAGGCCAGGTATCACCAGTTTTTTTGACAAAATAAAACATATTTCGGTTCTATAATACTAGTGGAATGATCGCTTGTGGTCGGTGGTCCATCCGCCAATTACTCCCCGGCTTTCTCCTCGCAGATGTTCTCGATTTCTACAAAAAAACGAAATTTGATTTAATTGCTAGCAGTATCAAGCGGTAACTGAATTTTCAATTAGTACGGTTTAAATGATTAAATGTAAGTTTGGTGAAATAATTTGGAAGTTTTATTTATTGGTCAGTTAATTTGTGAACTGATTAGGCATTGAAATGCCAACATGAAGCAGCAGTACAGCTGGAGTCGAAACGTGGAACGTACTGGTGGCGATTTGCAGGAGGGCGCGCGTGCTGGGACTGTCCGGCAGATCCTCGATGAAATTCCGTCCTTCATCGCAACAACGGCCTGCCCAAGCAATGTATAATGTATTGCCAGCAGGCGCAATAGAAACCCTACTAAAGAACACACTGACCGATGGCTGGATCGAGCGGCACCCTTCCCAGGAATGTCAAACCGGCTTCCTCGCACAGCTTCTCCACACCGCCGCTACTGGCCGGAAAAATCACCGAATCCATCTGCCGATTATTACAACATTATTCATTGAATTTCAATTACTGAATTTCTAATAAAACCTAAATTATCCAACTTGTCGACTAACTATTAATTTTCCATTTTGGTTTTTAATTAAAAGATGTTTTTAATCACAGTCACTGATTCCGAAATGCTACTTAATTAACATTCAATCTGCTACTTAATTAATTACATTAATTGAATGCACTAAAAACAACGAGGCGCGGACCTTGCACTTGGGGCAGACGAAGCGGCTCATGTTCTCCACGACGCCGAGGATGGGCAGGTGGACCTTGCGGCAGAAGCTGACCTGCTTGCGGACGTCCTGCAGCGCCACCTCCTGCGGCGTGCTGACCAGGACGGCGCCGTCCAGCCCGGCGGCGGCCAGGTAGCCCACCAGCGAGAGGTGCTCGTCGGAGGTGCCGGGCGGCGTGTCCACCAGCAGGAAGTCCAGCTGGCCCCAGTCCACGTCGCGCAGGAAGTTCTTGATCATCGTGTTCTTCTTCGGGCCGCGCCAGATCACGGCGTCGTCGCCGCCGCCCAGCAGGAACCCGATCGACATCACCGCCAGATTCACATCCGCGTACTACCAACGGAAAATTTATTTTTCATCTCGTCTGCCGATTCGCACGGGACAATGAGCTACGCACCACCGGTGACCAGCCCGAGCCGCTCTGGTGAACCTACGAATGGCCACAAAAAGTTGTAACCGCTCGCCAGTAATAAATTCATTTTTTAAACCGATACAAAAGTTCACTGAATTTTTATCCGATATTTATTTTGCCCTTGTGGATACCAGATTTTTGACATTGATGCAACAGTTCATTTAATTTCTACTTTACAGAAGTATCTATTTCGATTTTGTGAGCAATTAGCATACGTATTTTTGTATACAATTTAATTTAATTACAGTACATATTATTTTATGTTCAGCTCGTTCGATCAAGTACACCTGTTCGCCGGCCAATCCGAGCATCGTCGGTACGGACGGTCCACAGACGTCCACGTCCAGCAGCGCAACCTGCGAACAAAACGCCCATTTCGATGGCCATAATTATTCGGTCTTATTCAAAAACTTTAATGTCTGTGCAGCACGACCGTGTTAAGTAATCATTACGTACTGTGTACTGGTTCTATCTACAAGTAGTACTGGTGCAGTACAAGTGCAGCAGTGAGTTGCCAAGGGAAGACGGACGGGACAAGTAGCACCCGGCCAGCGCAACACAAAGTACGTACTGCATAAGGCAACTTCTGACATAGCTAGTCCGCGAGCGATACTAACGAAACCTCCCTGTGTCCTGTCTCAACGCGTCCATCACAATGAAGACGTTAAAAACAGGCCAGTCCCAAGTAATAGACCATTAATACAGCCAGTGACCGGAAGCCGTTCTGTTTCTTCATCAATCTCTCATTGCATCATCTTCCCCTAACCCCGACACAACTGCGACTTTGAAGAGCGTAAAAGGATTTCTGTTCTACCAGGGAAGGAGACAACGGATTATACGAATCTAGCTTCGGGCTGACGGCGGAGAAAGCGGACTGCAAGGCACGGCCTCCCACGGATCGCATCCGGAGCACCGTGACCAGACGGTGCCGATCCCGAGCCAGCTGACGAGCGCGCGGTTGCTGCTGGTTCCCTCAGCATGCGCGACCACCACCAGTACACCCTGGGCTGCACGCTGCGCAACGGCGAGTGCGTCGGCGAAGCAGTCCCGGAGGCGCTGTACAGGCCGCCGCCCAGGTATGTCCACTACACACGTTCTGTATGTTCGACCGACAAAAATCATCACTTATGACATTAGACACCGACCAAAGTTTCCCTTTAAATAATCTATGAATGTCCATTATCCCTATTATTGTATTACTATTATCCAAGTATTTCCCATAATTGTACTCTCAAACAAATCCATGAATTTTTTTTAATTTAAACACACTGCTAAATGCTAATTACAGCAATAAATATTAGCCATAATTTTGGCTAAAATATGGACTCGCGAATAAAAATTTCCAAATAAACTGGTAATTTTGCATGATAAAAACTGGCTACAATTTCCATTAAAGTGAGGGGCAGTAAGTCGCAGCCGGAAGTGTAGATGAAAATGCATAAAACTATTATTCGGCGGAAAATGTCAGTGACTAACCTGTTTCTGCGCGTCCCCCAGGCCGGCGGCGGGGGTGCGGGGGCGCGCGAGGGCGCGGGCCAGGCAGGTGGAGAGGGTGCTCTTGCCGACGCCGCCCTTGCCCGAGAGGATGACGAGTTTGTGGCGCACCTGCGCCAGCCGGACGCCGATCTCCTGCACCGCTAAGCACAACACACACGCTGTAACCGCCAGCAGCACGCTGAAATATCAGGGTACAAATAAGTACACAGTACCTGGGTCGACTTGGCGCGCCTCCCCCGAGGAGCACACCTTCTGGTTGGGGCAGCCCGCGCAGGCCGAGCTCTTGCCCGCGCTCTCGCTCGACGTCCCGGGGCAGTCTGTGAAGTAGACGCCATCCGTCAATAACTTGTACTCGTGACTAAAGTAGCAACGTGCAACAGCAGAATACTCAGCACAGATAACTTACGCTCAGGGGCGTCCGCTGGAATCTCGCTCATGGTAGTTTTGGCAACCTTGTCACTCTCTCCCGAATTACCCTGTCCAAAGCACATTGACTTCGTCAGGCTAAAAGGAAATCTCAAAGTCCCACAGAGTCGCACACAGACAAGTTTCAGCCGTCGAAAATCTCGTACACGTACACGATCACAACATCCAGCACGTCCACGGTCCACGTTCACAACAGCCAGCACGTCCACGGTCCACGCAGACCGATAGAACTCGTAAACCGTCAAATGAAGATGAAAGCAACTCTGTAAAAACTACAACACAAGTTTACAACGTGATATCTTCGAGATAAAATCAAAAACCAGAAGATTAGACGATCTGATTCTGGGAATCGGAAAAATCAAAAATGAAAATTGCCACTTCATGTTTGCTCATGAATCATCATGCTCAACTATCAAACCGTAAACCACCCGTGGGCGGTAGCAGGTATCACTGGCCAATACCACAAGCAGCCGCCTGAGCAACCATCGATAATTTTACCAGAAGCTAAAATCGTCATTTTACTTATGTCCAACGAGCGTGTGCTTTTTTGTTTTGCTAGAAATAAAATCTTTTTTAAGAAAATCTCAAGTTTACAAATTTTTAAAAAGCTTGGTTTTGGTTGTGGCAGAAACTGCACCCTCCTGCAGCACGGCCAGTCGGGCTGCAGCCCGTACGGCGACGGCGTGAACTACGGGCGGTTCGGTCCGTTGACGCAGAGCGGCGTCTATCCGCACTCGACCGAGTACCAGCTGGCATACAACCGCGGCCCGCTGTCCCCGCTGCAGACGGTGTACCCGCGCAGCTGGACCTACAAACCGCACTGGTCGACGGCCAGCCTGGCCAACAGCGACCTGCTCAGCCAGCTACCGGTCCCGGACCGGCTGCGCTTCAGCCTGGACAACCCCTTCCCGCAGCGCCTGCCCCCGGCCACGCCCACCATGGCCAGCAACATGACCAGCGTGGACAACTTGATCACGGCCAAGCGCGACGCCAGCGTGCCGCAGTGGATGCTGCGCGACCCGTACCGCGTCAATCTCCTCGACACCCTCAACGAGGACCCCACGCGCCTCAAGGCCACCACGCTGCGCATGTGCCAGCAGGAGCGTACGTAAGCTGTCCACCAATCACGTGCTTCCCTCTGCAATTATGATGAACTATCATTGGCTGCTTATATTGCCTGCTAGTAATGAGCGATTCTGATTCGCTGGCTTAATCTGCAGATCAGCTGATTAACAACAAAGAAAGCGACGTCAAGCAGAAACTGGGCGAGCGAGTTAACGTAAGGTCAATACACCGGAATTCGCCTACATTTTTATATATAAAACTTGAATGCAGTTATCATGATAAGATTAAATTATGACCAGATTAAATATTAACGCTAATGCTCTTAATTTGTAACACAGGATGTGAATTTTTGGCGGCGGGAGATCGTGGCGGAAGCGGAGAAGATGGAGACTGAGATCCGCGCGGTGGACCGGCTGAAGCAGCGCATCGACCGCGAGATCCAGGAGCTGGAGGGCCCGCTGAAGGTGTCGCTGGACTGCACGGGTGTGCGCCGACTGAAGCTCAGCGGCAACGCCATCATCTACCTGGACACGGTGGATTACGAACTCAGTAAGGTTTGTCGCTTGCATGTCTCTTTCATCCCGGCTAAATTCATATAAGGCTATATATACCTGGCACATCTTTATTATTTACTACTGCATACAGACATGTACAATTTAATAAATTAAAATGGAATTAAATGCCGCTTATTGAATTAAATTGCGCTCTTATTTTGTGTTTGTGCAGGAGCAAGAGCTGATTAGCAACACCCGCGACAATCTGCGGCATGTGTCGGCCGCACTGCAGGCGCAGAACGGGTCAGTGCCGATTATATATGCTGTGTTAACAGCGGCGTCATTAAATGCTTACTGAACGGCAGGCGCAACCGCGTGGCCCTGGACGAGCTGTACCGCGACAGCGCCAACAAGCACACGGCGCTCAGCATCGACCACCGCTGCTACTCCATGCACCACACCTCGCCCGAAGTCCGCGCCTACCCCGGCATCGAGACCTTCGACAACACGTAATGCGCTACTAACAACAACCATTTCAATTAATCAATTTACTGCCGTTATGAGTAGCCAGTCTTAATTTTTTAACATTTATTTTCTATTTTTTTAAAAGGATTTTAGCGAACGAATTCAGGTTGTCCCAGTTAACCATAGTTAACACTTCGTTTGCTGCAGCATTTCCACGCCGCAGAGCTGGGCGCAAATGTCCAACAATTTAGTGCTGCGCGCGCAAAGCACGCGCGCCGAGTCGAACCGGCTGCGGCAGGACGCCGAGCAGCAGTCCAAGAAGACCGACCACGACTTGTGGCTGCAGTGGTCGCGCGTCAACGAGGCGCTGCGCGTCAAGATCCGCCAGCTGGAGGAGTTCAGCCGCCAGCTCCACCACCGCTACACCATCGTGCGCTTCGGCTTGCACTTTAATCTTAATTAAATGAAAACAAATTTATTTATGCAAAAAAAATTTTATATAAAATATATTAGTGTGACCTTTGTCAACCGCAGGTCAACCAGGAGCTGTGCGACCTGATGCGGGACGCCGACCTGCTGAAGCGCAACATCGAGGACAAACGCCGGCCGCTGCAGCTGGCCCAGACGCGGCTGCAGTGGCGCTCGCACCGGCCCTACATGGAGAACTGCTACGACCCGCCGCACCAAGGGTACGTCTGCCGGTCGACTGATTCAACGCCCCGGTGATGACCTTTCCATTGCAGACTGCGGGACGAGCTGGGCGACATCCACGGCGCGGTGGAGCGGCTGCAGAAGCAGCTGAAGGACGTGGAGATCAGCCTCAACAACCTCAACTACACCAAGGTGGCGCTGGAGCAGGAGATCCGCGCCACCGCCGAGGCCATCCACCGCGACCGCGACCGCTGTCTGGCGCCGCGGGAGGCCTACCCGGTGCCCTTCCGGCCCGTTGTCGTGTGATCCTTGTGCAAGATCAACACGCCGGCCGGGTTGTTGCAGACGCTCCAAAAGCTGCTGTGCTTTCTGTGATCAGTGACGGCTTTGAATAATACGCACAATTAACTGCCTTAATTCTTTTATTAATTCACACTTTTTATTACTTATATTTTTGATTAATTTTTAATTTTTGTATAACCTAAATTTGGAATTTATTCAGATTCAATTTATAAACCACTTTAAATTAATGTCAATCAGAGCGAAAATTTTTGAGAATTTTCTTGAAACTGTTTTTAAAGTTTTAAAAATGTTTCGCTTTTAATTCAGGTACTCGTACAGTAAGCGCCACAATAATTATTGCACAATTAGTCAGTACAAATTTACACATTTACCGCTTCTTCCTTTTACTAAACGACACACGCGACTGCAGTGCATACTACCGACTTCCGGTGGCGACAGGAGATATTAAGTCACTCAAAAATCTGGCAGAACATTTGACACACAATTTCCACAGCGACTGCTAAATTCAGTAAATTGCTAATTTTCTCAAAACACTAAGGAAAATGACAATCCCGCAAAATACGCAAAATATACACATCCAGAATGACCCACTGGTCCGTTCGGTGGCAGCCGCTAGCCGACGGGCGGGCGCCAGGCGAAGCGCGGCGGCAACGGCAGGTACTCGTCCGGGATCTTGCCGGCCAGGAACTGGCGGGCGCGCTCGTTGTGCATGCACACCAGCCGCTCCTTCTGCAAGCAGAGGACGCATTAGTCAATGACCAATCAAGCAGACAGTGCAACTGACCGTTTTGCGGCGCGTGACGCACTCCACGTAGTCCTCGTACTCGTCCTTGCAGGTCTTGCGCCAGTTGGGCACGCCCGCCGCTTCCAGGCACTTGTACAGCTGGATCTGCAGTGCACAACACACTCCATCTAGTTCCATATTCCGATGTGTAAGAAAACAAGGTGGCAATAAAATCGCAAAGAGTCAACACTCGCACTAATTCATACTCGATTTACAGATACGTCGCATTTATCTGCGCGTCGTCAAGTAAGGTTGGTTTCGCATCAGTCTGGCTTTAAGCAGCGCATTTAACATTGAGAATTCATAATAGTATTACTGCAGTAATTTATTCTTAGCTGATTAATGATTTTTTATCATTTTATGGCGCAAATCAACAAGGAATTTTCTTTCAAATTGTACATCACGCTGCCGCACTGAGCGGTTGCAATTGCGTCAAGCACCGGAAATCTCTAAATTTCCTGCGTTTGGTATGATGAGGATAGAGCTTTTCGTCAGACATAAATCATGTTCGATAGAAAAATTATTTCCACACGAATACCGACCGCTACTCTGGAGGAGAAAGCCCGTACGCATTGGGAATTCTGCGTCTCCCAGGCATGCAGGCAGTCAGAGTAGTCACTAGTCACTAGTGCCAGCTGATCAGCAGAAATTTCTCCAGTCACACGCGACTTGAGCCATAAACTATTCAACTGATGCTTCACTCATTCGACCCTAATTCAGCCATGTCTATCCAGAATTTCGCTTACCTCGATGGCGCGGCACAGGGGGTTCTGGCGGTCACTCTGGAACGTGAACATGTTCCCGCTGAGATCCGAGAAGGGAGTCCTGATCAACGACATTCTCCCAGCGATTCCTTCCGCTCGCTTAAACAACGGACGAACGCACTTCTTGACACACCCGGGACACGATTCACAGGCTAAATTGATGTGCCGTGGACGATGCAGTTACATAAACTATTCAAATCCGCCAGGCACTTTTCCAGCAATATTCCCACGAAGAAATTTGTAAAAGGCGCTGCAAATGCAAATCCAACAGCAGGACTGCGTCACCCATTAGTCGAGCCAGAGTAGTATAGGATACGCTCTGCAATCAAAACACGCTTGCTCTGCTTGAGCGTGCTTTGATTGCGAGTGCCCTGTCCCGTTCTGTGCGCCCCACTGCTAGAAAAGCAACCCCCTTACTACTGCTGCCTTACGAATATTTCCCGAATGATGATTTTCCATTTTTTCCAAATTTAGATTTTAGTATCATTTTTGGCCTTTTTACTGAGTTTTTAGTTTCCGCTTTTGACACTCACGTCTGTATGAGGGTTTAGTTTGTGGCTTGCCGCTGTTTGTCTGTGAATGACTTTGGCTGTACTTCTGTGTTTCGACTTGGATTGATCTGGTTATGATTGTCAGTGTTGACTGCTGACTGGTGTTCGCTGGTAATAATTCGTGTTAATTTGTGTCCTCCCTGCAGATTTGCCAGGTTCCTGCAGATCTACTCGTAGACTGTTGATGTTACTACAGACTCTGCACGCGTACTGTACGTATCAACAGCACTCCTGTACTCGGTGATTTGCAGTCATCATTCAGCAACTTGATATTATTTTGTTTTATTATTATCGTTTTGACGAGTGCGCGATTACAAGGTAGGAACAGGAAGTCTGAGAATCGTACTGTAGCCAGTTATTTTCATAAAACGATAATAGCGTAATTTGGTAGTCACTTGGTGACTAGAGCAGCATGCTGTACTGTAAGTACTGTATTTCACCTGCGAGCTATCTGTACACTTCACAACGTACACGCAGTCAAGCGCCAGCAGCAACTGGCAGCTTTTCGCAGACTCGCAGGGATCTTCCTGTGTATGAGTGCGTGATTTCCTGACGTCTTGACAGTGTTGTCACGCTGAATAGTTGATTAGTGCATTTAGTCGTTACGTGGTCCAGCCTGCAGGTCGCTAGACGCTACTCTACAGTCTACCGTATACTCGTACTGTACTAAGAACTGTACAATACTCAGTACTGTATCATCCAGGCTTCTCGCAACGAGGTTTTCCAAAAGCAAAAAGTAGTGCCTGCTGCGCAATGCTCTGGATATTCAATTTTTGAAAACGTCCGTAAGTGTATTGTGTATGTACAGTACTACAGAGTACAAGTACTGTATGTGGATGCAGATTATTACGGAGTAGTGGCGGAAAGTACTGCTCTAATCGCTAATGATTTGCTCCGCTGGAAAGCTGCCATTTAAGATTGATATTGCTCCCTTGGTTGATTTGGGAATGAGGGATTATTAGATGAGGACCGTAGCGGAAACGGCAAATGTGAAGGTACAACTACAGAAGCGCAGGTAGCGATGGCACATTCTGCGGTCCTGAGGATGCACAGTGCAGACTTGCCACTGATTACAGACAAGTTACAACTGTACTTATGTACAACTGGTCAAGTTTTTTGTAGACGAGTACGTGCAATTAATTAATACGATCATAACATTTATCCTCATCGAACAAATTTGGCGAGAGCGTATCGTAAGGAAGGAGCGAAGACTTGGAGAAATATTAGTAAAAACATGCCAATATTGCCAACCATTACGAGTACTCGTAGAGGTTTGTTACGTGCAGTACTTTTATAAGTTGCAACAAACAAACTACATACCGTATTTATTTTGTAGTACGTATTTACTATGTAATTTAGTTCGTAATTAGGTTGGATGGCTTACCAGTTAGTGAAGCGGAAAATTTTAATTACTGTAAGCGTATTGGATACTTCCGGTAAAGTTTTCGTACAACTCGTACAATACAAGCAATTTTTGAACGTATTTTCGTCAAATTTTGCGCAAAGTGCTACAGTACAGAGTTTGTAATAATTATAATATTATTATCTCAGGCTCTTATCTACACCTGTCTTTAATAATGCACTCGGCATATGGGTACAGAGCGGCAGTTAATTGACTCCAGATTCATTATGTACCTACATAAAAATATATATTAATCATTCCATTGCATTCGCACATGGTACTTGTGGTTAATCAGCGATGTCATCGCTTCTTGCAGATTGCCCAGTGTGACTATTAGGACCATTTCCCGTGACGTGGACTGCACGGAACGCGACCTGACCGGGATCGGGAGTGCCGGAAGTGGTGGATCGCGGAGGTTGCTGTTTCGTCGTGGTGGTGGGAATGTGAGCGGGTGATCCCGTCAACGTAACAACCCCCGCCGCCGTCACGATGTACTGCCTGCAGTGGCTGCTGCCGCTGCTGCTGGTGCCCAAGCCGGCGCTGCCGTACCTGCTGGCGCAGGTGCAGTACACGGCCTTCTTCTCGCTGTACGTCCTGGGCTTCATCCTCAAGCGCAAGCCCTGCATCCTCTGCACCGCCGTCTTTCTCCTCACCTGCCTGCTCGTCTGCTGGAGCGGCCTGGGCCACTGCATCTTCTGGATCGCCGACGACCAGGACGACCAAACCACCTGCCGCCCCGCGCACCCCAACCACCCCCACACCCTCCCCCTCGCCATGCAGCTCTGAAAGGGACCGGCGTCCCCCTTCGTCGCCGGCAGAACGATGATTTTTTCACCATTTTCACGCTTTCAGCGTTGGCGTTTTGGTTTACAGTGTCGCCCAACTGGCTGCACAAGCGGCGTTATTCTTCAGTTTTACCGCGCGATATTGTGTTAGTCGACAAAATGGTTTTTTTGAGTTTTTTACTGGCGTCCATTTTTTCCATATTCTTCACATTTCCCACGCTGTTCCGGTAAAGTAAGCACGTTTTTGATCAAATTACGCGGTTTTAGTTGAGCACCATTTTGGCTGTGCGCCTTACGGTCGTTGTTTTTGAACGGGAATAAAATGTTGGGAAATTAGCATTATTTATTTTGTGAACGCTGTTTTAAACATGCAGAGAAAATAGATTACTTGCAAATTTTACCAGCGCAAGTTTATTATGGGAGCGGCTACTGCCGGATGAAAATTAGTATAGGGAAAATAAAAAACGCCTACGTGGTGCTAGTGCACGCATGGGAGATTACTACAATATTCTCGAGGAAAATCAATAGGAATTTAGGAACTAGTCGGGAAAAATAAGTACTTACAAGTATCGGTCGCGCTAGCGCGCGACCAGTTGTGTTTGAGGTATGGAAGAATGAAAGAAATACAAAATATACTTCGTAAAGCAATAAAAAAGATTTTGAGAAATATTTCAAATATAAAACCCAGCGAGGCCAGCTACGAAAATATTTTAAACATTTGAAAATGCGGAATTTTTTCAAGCTTTCCGGTTAAATTCGACCATTTTCTGAAAACCGTGAAAGCCCCCGTAAGTTTTTCTTTTTTCATGGTTCTTTATCGCGTTTTTAATGTAACTTTATATCACCGATCTAACGAACTGAAGACTTGAACTTTTTGGTACCACAGAAAATATTTTAACGATGATAAAATGGATTGAGTGGGGTTATATATCTGCACACGATGCCCATAAAATACCATTTTTTTAGCGCAGAATTAATGGAAACTTGCGGGGAACAGTTAACGGTCGCCCAAGGTGTCCTTGCAGGCTGCATCTGTAGATACTAATTGTAAGATTTTGTCAGCCATCAGTCAAGCTCTCTAGTATTTATTAAAATAAAATTAATCTATGTTTATTAGATTTCGAGGTTAGTGAATGCCCAAGCTACCACCAGTACCACAGAGCCGCCATGTGATTGAATACGGTAAACGGGCCGCGGGCCGGCTTTTAGATATTTAAAGGCTTCGTCCCTTTTCTAAAGCGTATCTCGTTGCAATACAGCACCGTATCTAGTTTCGCTACAGTACAAAAATGGGACACTATTTGGTGCGCACCACCAAGATGCAGCACAGGCTACGCATATCGAAACTGGGCTCGCTCTCCGTTTCCTGTATCGAACCTTCAGCTTTGGCTCCGTATCGCTGTATTTGCGTCCCATCGCGTCGATCACATATCGCTTTGTTTACCAGTTTTTTTGTGCTCTCGTGGGTTGTTGGAAGAATTCTTGTGCTGCTTTTATGCCCTCATTCTAGTTAGTTCCTAGTCTGAATTGCAAAATGTTGTTCCCTGGATTGAAAGTTTTTGGCATCATTGTTCTTACTTTTTAGCTGGTGATGAGTCAGATCAGTCGCACCACCCGCGCAATTATTTATTTTGGCCAGCATGCTGCAGTATAGTAATAGCGTTAGAGCAGCTACATAAGTACGTAGTACATACGGATCAAAATTTGCAAATTTAGATCTTCATTTTCCGAGCGCTCCTATTCAGTATTCAATGTGGTAAAGAATAGAAACTAATTTCGTATTCGAAAACACACTCGGTCTGAATAATGGTTTTTCGAAACCGTTGTTTTTCGAAACCATTCCACTTCTCTGTAGCCGCATGATGTTGTAGTACTTAATTGTAGTTATATGGTATTATTTTTATTGTTTTGAGCTGGTCACATTTCCTGTTTCAATTTTTTGTGCATTCAGTTGGGTTTTAAAATAATTAGAAATTTCATAAAATTTAAATAACTCACGAAAAGAAATCGTCACACAATGGCAATACTAAAAAATGCTTGCTCATCAACAAAAAGATACCAGGGAAAGCCACCTCTGGAGGTGGCTTCGCGTACCGTATCGTTTTTCTTTGTACAAAGGCCATTTCAAAAGTTTCTTTCCCTATTTTGCCTGCGTGCCATTTCAAGTGATATGCAAACGATATATTTTTTATTACGTAACATGTTCTCTGAGTTATCGAAGAAAAGAAAATTTTTAACTGTCGATGAAGAACTGCCCAGGTTAAAAATCATTTAGCCGGTGGTACTTCTGGCAGCCTAACCACTATCCTTCCAAAATTTCAGCTGTAATGTTGTCACTTCTCTCCTTCTCGATGGTTTTGAATAAAATTTATAATAGTCAAGGCTTACTATGTACTTGTTATTTTCATGATCATGAATCATTTCCAAACTTTCACAAATTAAAATAATAAAATTGTTTTTACAGACATCCGTTTTTTTTGGTTTTCCGCTTTCCTGCTATTCCAAACTTCCAATTCTTTTCCACAATAAAAACTGTATCCTTGACCCACCTCAGCACAGACTGGCTATGATTCAGTTTATCGCTAACCTGTTTGCAACAAATTGTTTTCCGGGTTTATTAATATTTTTGCCGTCTGGAAACTGGCAAGCCTCATGTTTTGACAACTGGTCACTAACACTTCCGATTTCCTTCTAAAAGCAGAAAGGGGCGAATCTTTTTGATCTTAATTTGCACTGTAAAAGGGAAGACTTCTGAACATAAAACCGTTTTGTGCTTCTTGAAGTTCGAACGGGGAAAATGCTAAAAATGTTACAATCTTGCGAGGAACCCGGAAGATAGGCTGCCAGACACCGCTGAAAGTCTTTTTGGCGAATTTTCCCCTTCCTCTTTGAACAGGACCAAGTTTAAATTTTTTAATAATCAGTTAGTAACTGGCATTAGTAAAAATATGGGTGAAAAGGGCTAAGTGAGTTTGTGGGGGTAGATAAAAAATAGGGAAAGAAACTTTTGGAATCGCCTTTGTATTTCAGGGTATGCGTAAAAAGCGCGCGTAAAATTTTTGGTTGATGTGAGACGCGGGGTTGGTACGGGTTCTGAGATGCGGTTCGCAGGATACCGTATCCGAGAGTTGTGGAAACGGGACGCCTTCGGATACGCAGCATACCCCCGTCCCGAATCTTTGCACTGATAACCAGATACGCGAAGCGAGAACCGACATACCGTATCGCGTATCTCCTATTATGGGACGGTGGTGTCCTGTACCGTAGCTAGATTCGTTACAGATTGGGGACGAGGCCTAATATTTAGAAATTACATATAAATTAGACAATTAAGGGATTTGGCCCGGCACATAGTACCAAATTCGGGTACATACACGGGAACTTTCGCTGTCGCGCAATCCTATACACTTTTTTGCATGGCTAGGTATGTACCTAATATTCATAACGGCTCTCATACTCATACTCATAAGTCATAACCCTACTCCTTTAATTCCGAATCCATACTCATAACGGCCCACATAATCATAATCATACTTTGGTCCTACCGGTCATCAGATTAATTTATTCATAATTATAGCTCATATCTTAACCATTACTCATGCTGGTGTGTCAAAATGTAATATGCAATTACAACTATGTGTTCATGTAAGTCTACTCAACCGTCCGCTTTCATCCACTCGTAAAAATTATTTCATCTTAATTAGTAGCGAAAAAATATTTATTAGAAAATGGCTTCATTACAAAATGACTTCAGCAAACTTGAACTGAGTAACGAAAGCTAAGTAGTTTAATCTGCATATAAAAACTGAGCAAGAAAATCTACCATTGTCCACTTTCGTCCATTTTTTAAACTAGTGCTAATGATAAAAAAACCTGAAATGTTAATGGGCTTACTACGTAGCTTCCACCAAACAAAAAGTGAACGGGCTGTTAACTTTTCATTTCCACAAAACTAAATTTCGACAAAAGCATCGTGTACACTGTACAGCAATAGAACACAGGAAGAGTAATAACAGAGTTTAATCGTTGCTAGCCAGGACAAAAGCAGATATCAAAAAAAATTTTTAAAAAAATTCAAGAACGGTGCACAATTTGCGCAACAGCTATTACTACTTAGTGTCAATAATACGGTTTTTACGATTAATAAACAATATATAATGTTTTTACTAATAACATTAAGCGCAGTACCGCACTGGTATGAGTAGCGGTAAAGGTTTGAGTTATGATTATGAACAAAAATATGATAACCGGTAGGATCAAAGTATGATTATGATTATGAAAGCCGTTTTGAGTATGAATTCTGAATTAGGAATAGGGTTATGAGTATGAGGACCGTTATGAGAATTAGGGTTTGGGAGCGCGCGACAGCGGAAGTTGCCGTGGATACATACAAATTTGGTGCTATGTACCGGGCCAAACCCCTTAAGACCGCGAGATATTGAGGTACTCAGACATTTCTAGACATTTTTAAAAATTCGAAACTCTGGAGGCTCAGAAAATTAGAGGTATCGGTCGCGCTAGCGCGCGACCAGTTGTGTTTGAGGTATGGAAGTATGAAAGAAATACAAAATATACTTCGTATAGCTATAAAAAAAATTTTGAGGAATATTTCAAATATGAAACCCAGCGAGGCCAGCTGGGAAAACATTTTAAACATGAAGAAATGCGGAATTTTTTCAAGCTTTCCGGTTAAATTCGACCATTTTCTGAAAACTGTGAAAGCCCCCGTAAGTTTTCCTTTTTTCATGGTTCTTTATCGCGTTTTTAATGTAACCTTATATTACAGATCTAACGAACTGAAAACTTGAATTTTTTGGTTCCACAGATAATATTTTTACGGTGATAAATGGATTGAGTGGGGTCATATACAGGTCGATCACACCAAGTGTGGGCAGTTGCAAAAAATAAATTAAAAATATTTCTGTAAGTCGTTTTATTGCTTTTTCGGCATATTTCTAATAAAATTTTTTTTTGCGAATCCAGCACCATCAAAACTAATATCTTTTAATGTGCTAGTATGCAGCCGAGCGGTGTTTTTGGGGAAGGGGCAGCGTCAGTTTTTTTATGGTTGTAACTACCCTTGGGAAAATCTCAGCGTTAAGATTGCTGCCTGGAGTTTTCTGGAAGTTATTGTACAGCCCCTAAGATGTTCGTTACGCGTTATTAGCAAAATCTTGCGTGATCAGTGGTCGAGGGATCTCGAAGCAAAGGGCATCTCCCATAAACTTGTATGGTAGAAAGCACCTACCGAGAAATGTGGTTGCCTAGCGCAAGGAGCGGGGAATCTCAAACTAATAATTTCCATGAATTAGACATGGACTACCTGAGTTAATTTTGGGGTATCGACAAATATCTACAACACAGGAAAGGAGATATAAGTCCTGGACGAATGGAGAAAAAAATTAATGAAGCGATGACTAAAAAAAGTCATGACTGCTGGAGAAAGTGAGCGGATTGGAACGTCTCGAGCCTTTTGTTTTGATGAAAAGTTTTAAGCGGACAGTGAACACTTTCTCAACGTGATTTTGTCAAGAATGCACATTTGAGACACTCCATGGCTGCACTGAGACGGCGGAAGTGGGGTTGCCCACCCTTTTAACGGTGCCCGAACTGACTCTGCAAAAGTCAGGCGGGTTTGGTGAAACTCGGTTCATGGCAGGCATGTTTCGCAAGAGTATTGACTGGGCAACAGCCCAAACTTATCACTGTAGCGATAAGACGTCAACGAAAGCTCTAAACAAATTTAAAGTCGGAAGACTGCAACCACGGCCGATGGGTCAAGCCCCATTTGCAAGACGGTCGGAAACAATTTCGATATCACTGGGATTCGAAACACGTTCTCAACAGGGCGATTCAAGTGCAAAACATGTTAGACACATGCTGCAACCATGTTAAAATGAAATAATTATTTATTTGTTGACGGCTGACATTTTATAATTTTTTTGAAAAAACTGCAAACACTTGGCGCGATCGACCTGTATCTGTACACGATGCCCATAAAATACCATTTTTTCAGCGCAGAATTTATGGAAACTTGCGGGGAGCAGTTAACGGTCGCCCAAGGTGTACTCGCAGGCTGCATCTTTAGATACTAATTATAAGATTTTTTCAGCCATCAGTCAAGCTCTTCAGTATTTATTAAAATAAAATAAATACATGTTTATTAGATTTCGAGGTTAGTGAATGCCCAAGCTACCACCAGTATCACAGAGCCGCCATGTGAGTGAATACGGTAAACGGGCCGCGGGCCGGCTTTTAGATACTTAGAAATTACATATAAATACTTAGAAATACTAGAATAATATTAGAATTACTACATATAAATACTTAGTAATACTTATAAATTACATATAAATTATTAGACAATTAAGGGATTTGGCCCGGTACATAGTACCAAATTCGGGTAAATACACGGGAACTTCCGCTGTCGCGCAATCCTAAACACTTTTTTTGCATGGCTAGCCAGGCTAGGTATGTACCTAATATTCATAACGGCTCTCATACTCATACTCATAATCCTACTTCTAATTCCGAATTCATACTCATAACGGCCCTTATAATCATAATCATACTTTGGTCCTACCGGTGATCATATTAATTTATTTATAATTATTGCTCATATCTTAACCATTACTCATGCTGGTGTGTCAAAAATGTAATATTCAATTACAACCATGTGTTCATGTAAGTCTACTCAACCGCCCGCTTTCGTCCACTCGTAAAAATTATTTCATCTGAATTAGTAGCGAAAAATATTTATTAGAAAATGGCTTCATTACAAAATGGCTTCAGTAAACTTGAACTGAGTAACGAAAGCTAAGTAATTTAATCTGCATATAAAAACTGAGCTAGAAAATCTACCGTTGTCCACTTTCGTCCATTTTTAAACTAGTGTTAATGAAAAAAACCTGAAATGTTAATGGGCTTATTACGTAGCTTCCACCAAACAAAAGTGAATGGGCCGTTAACTATTCATTTCCACAAAACTAAATTTCGACAAAAGCATCGTGCACACTGTAAAGCAATGGAACACAGGAACAGTAATAACGCAGTTTGCTACCCAGGACAAAAGCAGATATCAAAAAAATTTTTTTTAAAATTCAAGAACGGTGCACAATTTGCGCAACAGCTATTAAAACTTAGTGTCAATATTACGGTTTTACGATTAATAAATACTATAATGCTTTTACTAATAACATTAAGCGCAGTAGCGCACTGGTATGAGTAGCGGTAAAGGTTTGAGTTATGAATATGAACAAAAATATGATAACCAGTAGGATCAAAGTATAATTATGATTATGAAAGCATTTTTGAGTAGGGATTCTGAATTAGAAATAGGGTTATGAGTACGAGGACCGTTATGAGGATTAGGGTTAAGGAGCGCGCGACAGCGCAAGTTGTCGTGGATATATAGTATATACAAATTTGGTGCTATGTAGTATGTACCGGGCCAAATCCCTTAAGACCGCGAGATACTGAGGTACTCCGACATTTCTAGACATTTTTAAAATTTCAAAACTCTGGAGGCTAAAAGTTGCCGTGGATACATACAATTGCTAGCCAGGACAAAAGCAGATATCAAAAAAAATTTTTAAAAAAATTCAAGAACGGTGCACAATTTGCGCAACAGCTATTACTACTTAGTGTCAATAATACGGTTTTTACGATTAATAAACAATATATAATGTTTTTACTAATAACATTAAGCGCAGTACCGCACTGGTATGAGTAGCGGTAAAGGTTTGAGTTATGATTATGAACAAAAATATGATAACCGGTAGGATCAAAGTATGATTATGATTATGAAAGCCGTTTTGAGTATGAATTCTGAATTAGGAATAGGGTTATGAGTATGAGGACCGTTATGAGAATTAGGGTTTGGGAGCGCGCGACAGCGGAAGTTGCCGTGGATACATACAAATTTGGTGCTATGTACCGGGCCAAACCCCTTAAGACCGCGAGATATTGAGGTACTCAGACATTTCTAGACATTTTTAAAAATTCGAAACTCTGGAGGCTCAGAAAATTAGAGGTAACGGCCCCGCTGCGCGGGGCCGAGTCGAAATATTTAGAAATTCTGGAAATGTAAAAGCTTTGAAGCCGACTTTGGAAAAATTAATAGTTATTTTGAGGTATTCGAACATGTTTTAAAAACATGGTAAAGGTTTCAAAAATTTAAGAAAGTTATAATTTTGATGGAATTGACAATTTAAATAACATACACAGATCTGTAGTTTAGGTTGCTAAGCTGCGAAACAGACTACAACAGTACTACAACAATACAGTACAGTACAGTACAGTACAGTACTACAACTGTAATACAGTACAGTATACAGTACTGTAATACAGCTTTTTAATATTGTATTAATACGCTGGCGATGAAGTGATAGTAGTACTACATTTAATTGCTACAACTTGCGTACTGAGTACTGTAAAGTACTCATTCATTGCCAAAATAAGTAATTTAATTAGTAGTACAGTACCTTTAAGTACTAACAACATTTTAAGTACTGTACTGCAACATTTAAAAATTTTTTAAGAACTGCTTTAAAACTGATAATTTTTTTAAAGATAAAGGTAGGAACGTTTGTGTGATGCTCAATTTTATAAAAATAATAACTTTTTGAAAAGGTCAATGTTGATTTAGGAGATAATTTCCAAAACTAACAACTTTTAAGTACTAAAAACCCTTAAGTACTACAACTTTTAAAAATTTTATTTAGACTTTCTCCAAAACTTAAGATTTTTTAAAGATAATGGTAGGAACGTTTGTGTGATGCTGTATTTTATGAAATTAATAACTTCTTGAAAAAATCAATGTTCATTTAGGAGATAATTTCCAAAAAATAAGGACGTAAGGATATATGAATCTATTGACATACGCACGCACGGTACAAAGTACGAAGGCCTTTTTGGGAGCGTTATCGCGTTACCTAATTCGTTGATGGGCCCTAACGCCTACGGCAGTGGCGTAGCGAGTCGAACAACTTTAGAGTTTTCCCTTGTGCGAGGAGTCCGTTTGAAATGCGCGATGGCCCCTTTGTAAGTATGCTCGTTACACCAGTGGCCTACGATTTTCTCATCGCAGCCGTTGTTGCAGTGGGGAGAATCCTTCGTTTCTTTCGCTCGAGCTGAATTTTTTCCAGCTTCTTTGCTCCGATAGGATCTTGGACGTACGTGCCCATCTGATTGCAGCTGCAGCAATTGTTATTAAGTATTTGTAAGTGGTCGAATTGCTCCTGATAAGCATTAGTCAAAAGTCTCTCTTGCTTTCAAAGAGTGAAAATCCGTCTGTGGGTTGCATCAGTTGGAAGGCACGCCGCACTGAATTAGTAATCGTCGCGGACTCGCCAAGTGATTCATAACAATTGCACTGACGTCTTTCGCACAATCCGATCAGTATTTTCGTCATCCGGAATCGACAAACTGTCCAGTTCGTTGCACATTTTCCTTGGATTCTCACATAAGCGTGCTATGCTGCTGAAACGCGTTTGAACGTGAAACTCCATCAGCTGACTGAAGCCTGTATGGAGCCATAGCTTCGCATTCCTGTTATCCGTCTTATTTCTTTTATTTGGTTTGCCCTGCCAGTGCGTGATTGGAAGAGAGGAGATTTGTGACGTTTTTATTGTGATAAGGGAAGCGATCTGAAGAGAGGATGGCGGTGGCGGAAGCGGTGCAGGAGGGCCTGTCGCAGCTGGGTCGCAGCAGCCTGAGCAGCGGGAGTCTGCTGCGCTACAGCGTCAGCGCCGCCACGCTGACGGCGCTCAGCTACCACGTCTACCGCGAGTACAACACCAAGAAGACCACGGGCCAGTCCTGGAAGGAGCTGGCCAGGGAGCGACAGCGCAACGCCGCCGCCGTCTTCTGCGGCTACGTGCAGGCCTTCCAGCACGGTCTGCGCACCGCGCGCGAGCACCTCCACGCCGGACGCGTTGACGAGGCCATCGCCGTTCTGGTGAGTCTGCGGAATACCTTGCACCCTTTCCCGCAGCAGCTACAAATTAAATAAAATCAATTTCAGATTAACGACATTAACGTTCACTAATTCACTCGCCGCAGTTTAGTTTATCATTTATGTGCGCGTCGGGAAGCCTGTGTTAGTTAGTCTGCTTTCAGACGACGCATTTACACCTTGTTATTGTTCCTTGTCATTTATTTTTAATTTTTTCAAATTAACGCAGACAAAATTTTATTAACTTTATTAATAATAGCGCAGAGAAATTGATTTCTATGGCGAAAAACTAAAAAGCCAAAAGGAACCGAATGGAGATTTTCAAAAATTTCGCATTACACTGCCGCACCGAGCGGTTGCAGTTGCTGTAAGGACCGGAAGTTGCTGAAGTTCCTTCATTTGCAGTGTTTAGTTTGGAGGTTTTCGTGAGATGTTTATTTCTTTAGACGGGAAAGTGATTTCCGCGGGAAAATAATTTATCCTGAAGGGAATCGCTCATGTACATTCGGATTTAGGCGTCTTAAAATGACTCTATACTGCGTATACAGCGTCAACTGAAAAGTGTTGAAAAAAGATGAAAACAAAATATTAGAGCATCGTCAATAAAAACGATATAAAATTAAAATGAGAATATGACAAGATAATGAATGAATGGATATGTTGTAGACGGGCTGCCTGCAGCAGTGGCAGTTCCGGAAGCAGACGCTGCGCGCCCTGAAACGCCACCTGCACCCCGAGTTGTTCGCGCGGCTGGTGAGCAGTCTGGTGGAGCGCCGGCTCTGCGACTGCCAGGACGTGCTCAGCCACCTGTCGGCCGCTGCGCCGCGGCCCCCCGCCTCCCGCGTCGGCCTCAACATGGACCTCCAACCGCCCAGCGACACCGCCGGCAGGGCCTACCAGCCCCCGGCCGGGCTTCCCTAGAGGACACCTAGGGTGCTCCTGTTCCACGCTGCTGTTGCAGCGCTGCGTTTCTGGGTGTTTGTCAGTTGGCGGGTGATATTGGGTATTTATTGCTGCTTGGTGTCGTTTCCAGATCTGTGAACGCCTGAACCGGGTTCCTGTTGCGTTGTGGTTGGTACTTGGTGATGTTGTTGTTTCCGATTCTCCCGATATGTTATGGATTGTAGTCATTTTGGGCGGTAAATGCATTATGAAATGCTGCATTGCGCGCATTCATCATTAAAGAGCCTGGCGGGATTTATTGTTAGCGTTGTTAGGATCGCACAGTTGGTGATGGCTCGGTTTATACCAGTACTTTCTGCGTGCCGGTACAATCACAGACCGAACAGCAGCACGTGCATATCACAGGTATTCACCCAGATAGAAAAATATCTTAACGATAAAATTAATTATATATAGATACAGTACTCGTTTTGTACAACATTTAGCATGTAGATACATTGTAGTATCATAATTATAATTATGTACTTTTTTTCGTAATTAAAACAGTGCCGTACTACGACGCAAAGTATATTCAAATTTAAAATCATGATAATACGTTCTACGGTTTCCACCTACCCGGTAGAAAAAAATTGAAATGTTAAAGGCCGATCGGTGACAGTGATCTCTGTTTAATTGGACGTAAATTGCAGTTCTCCCTGCGGAAATAAAATACTGTAGATAAAATGAAATTAATATTGACTTCCTTCTGGTGTTGTTAAATTATTCCGTAAGTCCGAATTCTGGAAAACCAAATTAACGCATTATAAGCAGCCTACTCGTCGAGTACTGCTCCTGGTAAAATTTACTTCATGTGAATCATGTCTCATGATGTGCATTAACGTCGAGATACAGTATCCATCCATTGTTCCAGCATTATTACTTTTATTATAACCTGAATAAGTAATATTAGTATGCACGAAATTCTGATATACGTAGTGTTACGTACTGTAAATACGCACATTAATTACGAGTATTAACAAAAGTGCTTGCATAAGTGTGCTGCGCCGGACGACATGCAAAGTCGCACATACATTTCCGAGCTGTGTAAAATTTTACCGCGAGGCGACTGCAATGATGCCGCGAAACATCAACCGTTTTGAGATTTATATCAGCAGAATTAACAGCAATTCGTGTTAGCTCCATGTGATTTCCTTTAAGCAGTGATCATGAGTAAGCTTAATGCAGGATACCAGCCGGTACTGTACATGTACGTTAACCAATTAAACCAGTACCGTCGATGGCACGCACGCGATATCCCTCGGTTATTTTTCCATCGTATATAAGCCAAGTCTCCCCGATGCGCTGTTTATTGACCAAAAGTCACACCAATTTTTATTGTTTGCCCGAAATGTTGCTGTGAACCTGTTTACACTTTGCCAGTCATATACAGTACATAATTAAGCAATCAATTGCAAAACAAATCAATTTCGTTATTATTTGGAAAGACAGAGTTGACAGGAAATAACTACATTTAGTTTTAATTCTTGCGGCTTTTATTATCGCTAAACGGATCCTGGAAGTCGGTGTCACCTGCCGCGTGATTGCCGGTCTGCATCCGATCACCGCGAGACGCTCGCGTCGACTTTTTTGCCTCGTACAATTTACCGGTGACGGTGCATATACACGGTCATGCGCAGTACGCCACGGTTGGTGTTTTAATACGGTCATCGCGAGAGAGAGAGCGGCGTATTCGTAATAGTTGATCAGGTAACCTTCTGCGCGTCTGACTCGAGCCCTCCTCGCCTTGCATCGCACGATCAGGTTGCAGTTTGGCAGAGCTGGTTTCCACAGCTGAGCGCTCGCCGCCACTCGACTGTGCTGTTGTGCTGGTTGTTACTGCTGGCTGCCGTGTTGCGCGGACAAACGGACCGGAGTGCGTATTATTTGTGTGAGAAGAAAGCCAGCCCTTATCGGTGGTGGAAGGAAAACAAGCGGTTGTCCTATAATCGCCTTGGGAAGAGCAGGACGGATCGCTGGATTAAATTATTAATCCCGTTGTACGGCACGTACTCTGTATGTACTTGTCCTCGTACGTACTGAAGTACAGCGCGTGTACCGTTGTACGTACTGACCAGTAGCGCTTGAGAAGTGCACTGGCCTGTGGCTCTGACCCGACCCGACCCGGCCCGCCTCTGCTGATTGGTCAGCGCTATCACTGACCGGCTGTGTGTGCACTGTGCAGCGCTGTATGAGTCAGCGGTTGTATCTATCTGTACGAGCGCTCTGATCCTTATCGCGGCCTCATCCGGCTCAACGTAGAATTTGCCAAGCCAGCCAGCGCGTTCAGACTTGCACAGCACAGCACAGCGTGTGGATGCACACTGGATTGTTCTCGGCAGTCAATCGTCAGTTCGTCGTGCCAGCGACAGTAATTATCCACTTGTTGTTGTTTCCGTGCGATTCACTCGACCCATGCCTCGCTAAACAGTCAGCGCGCGGCGTCGGCAGAATAATCTTGTGAGTTCAGCTGCCTGGCCAAACACTGCAACACACAGCAGCGCGTCTTACCTAATTCTCCTTCACGCGAGTGCACAGCTGTTGAGATTGCACTCGATTACGCCGTGTTTCCTTGAGCGCCGTGACGTCGTTCCGCGGGATCTGAAGGACCCTGCCGTGATTCTCTGCATCGGCGGCGGATTGCCTATTTTGCCTGCTCCCGCATCACGGAAATGCCATCGAATCTGACAGCGACAGACGGACTGTGGACTTCGGCCGGCGGTCGCAACTCGAAACCCCGCAAGTCAAGAGGGTAAGGACAGGCTGTTCGCCAGGTTATCACCGTAAACTACTGTTTTATGGCGCTATTCTCCGCACTGGCAGTCATAACAATCATTCTGGCTAATTATCAGTAGACCGCATTCCGTAGTAATTGTCAGATTGTTCCGTGTTATCGTGCACGTAGTGTGTACGGAGGAGAAGGTCGTTTCCGGAAACTGTGTACTCTGTAGTTGATGCAGGGAGCGTTGTATAACTTCCCGTATCTTATCGGGAATTTAGTGAGGAATCTGTTGCGAAAGAGGGCAACTGACAGCAGCGCGATAGCCGTGACAGCCATCCGTATCGCTGTTCCGGATTGATAGTTAGTAAAGGCAGCTGCTTCACTGCATTCCCTGTACATTGTGTAGCGCGCCGTGTAGATTAACAGGGAAGCGGCCAGGCCCGCCGGGTTCTGTACTGGCTTTGGTTTCGTAATCATCGCCTGTAATCTGTCATGCTGTACAGTATTTTCCTTCAGGGAAGACAGCGAGTGTTTTCCTTTATTAATCGACAGGCGTCCCACAATGCCGGCTTATCGGAAGAATGCCCGCATGTCACTGGCACCAGGCTCGCGGTCTTATCGCTGCAGTGCGCATTGATGCCTTATCAGGCAAATTGTACTGCCAGATGACTTTACAAGTCGTATAATTATAAATATTATGTAAATTGCCCGTATAAATTTGCCAAGCCTAGCCTAGAATGTGAAAATTGTGTTTGCTTTGCATTATCTAACGCTACTGATACGCACTACAGCCGTAGTTTTCTCATTTACGGATCGTAATTATTACGTAGCACGCAGTGAGCAGTCGAATTATTTTTTAATTAGTTGAGCTTTGAGGATACGGCAATCGGTTTTTCTTTCGTGTGGAACAGCGAGTGTTTTTGCGTATATTATTAATTTTTCGCTGTGAGGGTTTGGCGGGTAATTGATGCGAATTAATCATGGCAATTCACCCGGAAATCAGTCCGGACAACGCGGCGAATCCGGCTGCAGCCCCGACCATGTACGTAGATTTTATCATCTTGTGCCAATTTTTCCATCAGCTTTTCACTGTCCCGTTTATGACGTTAGGAAATAATTTTTGTAATTATATTTCTAATTATGTCTTTATCGTATACTTACTTTTTCTAATCGAGGAGTTATGAGATTAGTAATAATTATTATTTTTCAAGAATACGATCTGCAAGATGTTTATTTCAGTTTAATTTTTATGTGGGCTGGGTGACCCGATTTGTATCTGTACTCATGCATAATCTGTACAGTTACTTGATGCTTTTATCGAATCTGTAACGGGGCTGTATTATTTAATTTGTCAACGCCGTTGATAGTGCAGGCACAATTAAATAAACAGTAATCACTCGTAGGAGGTCATTGTGCCCTGTCTGCTGAGCGCTTTGTTTAACTGTATCGGCGAATGATTACAGTAAACCAGATTCTGCGTTAGAAAATAACATGCTATTTGTCTAAATAAAATAAAGCGAAATAACGTCGGCTGGACGATGAGTGGGAAAGGTGACCTCTGAGAAAAAAACCTCCAATGAGAATTGAGAATAGGTTTATTATTGTCGTTAATTTTTTTCAAGCGGCAATTTCTGGGATTTATTTGTTATATGGCCAGTGATTAATTTGTAAATGGCTTTGTGCAGGAATGTGGTGAAGGAGCGGCTGAGTAACCTGTCGGACACGGACGACTCGGGCAGCGTGTCCCTGTCCGGGTCCAGCTCGCTGTCCAGCGACAAGAGCGCGGCCATCGGCATTCCCGGCCACAGCGCCTCCAGCTCGCCGTCGCCGACGATCCAGTCGCAGAGCTCGCTGGACTCGGGCCATGGCAGCCTCCCGGAAGCGGCCTCCCACATGGCGCCGCCCACTTCGCCCACCGGACCGGCCGCAGGGAAGAAAGCCGGCATTTTCAGCCGTTTGAAGAAGGTCTCCCTCGGCACCGGTCAGTACGCGTTATATCTGTATTTGTCTTTTAATTCTGAATAATTTACACAGATTTAATACTCTGTATTCAGTTATAATTGCAATTAATAATTTACTTTTTCTTTGTATTTTGTTTTATTTTGTTGAATACGGGTAATTCTAGACAATTTTACATGTAAACGGCGTAAATAGTTTATTTTTTAATTATTATTAATTGGAATTAATAGTTTATTTTAATTATAATAATTGAAACTAATAATTTATTTTATAATTATGTTTTAATTTTATTTCGTTGGAGTTTGGTTGATTGCGGCGGCCGCAAGTGTCCGTATTCGGTAACTAAGCAGCGCAGTTTTATCGAGCGGGAGCGTCGATTTTTGGCAATCAGTTTGCATCATGTATCGCTAAGCGTATCGCACGCGACGCACGGTGACCGGCAGTCCAGAGACTACCGCGAATGTGTAGATTGCCATCCCGATTGCGCGACTAGTTAGAACTGTGAATCGAGTTAGCGGGAGCGCGTGTTTGTTGTGACTGGGATGGGCCGGCGACCTTCGCTCCCTGCCCGTCTGCCGGGAATGCCCTCTGCCCCGGCAGCATGTGCTGTTCCGAGTTTTCCCCGCGTCGGCTCAGCCGCAGCGGGCGCTTCCGTGCAGCGCGTGTCTGCGACGCGCTGCAGCGTGATAGTGATATTCGTGCAACGTTCACAGCGCGATGGAATCGATGGTGTTTTTTCGGCTAAACAGTAAACGCCGTGTCAGCCGACTGGCGGCACTCGCCGATCCTGTTTTGCAGCTGATCATGACAGTCGTTAACGACCGTATCTCTGCGTGTTTTTACTGGCGGGATGCCATCGTTGTTCAGCTGATCGCGAAAATTAATGGTGGTGAGCAAGGTGCAGGTTTTTGCCATGACGCCGATGAAATTTATGAATGAATGAATTCAGAATTAGGGTTACAGCAACGCCACTGAGTGTCCGCTAAACTTGATAGTTTGTCAAGTTTATGCTGATTAATATTATTATTGAGGACAACATTTGAATAAGGTTGCTATAAATTATTACACATGCAGGCCTTTTCAAGTATAGACGATCCAGATACATAGATAACTACGAAGAAAGGAAGTGCTGTTTCTTCAATCAGATACCACTGCTTTACGAAGAATTTGCCGGGTGGAATAAACGTTTTAGGGATTATTATTATTTGGGTGTACATATTTAATTACTGTATTTATTTTAATATTATTTATATTTATTGCTAATAGTATGGTAGCAACTAGCAAGTTTTCACTTAGAAATATTTCGGAAAGCGAGGGATTTAATTAGTATGCAGGGCACGGTTTGAGAAGGCGCCAAGGAACGGTGCGCGTGCGTCGATGTGGTTTTGAGTCGGGTGTTTGGAGGTGCAGGACGCTCTTGCGGGTCAATGGGAGACCTTCGGAAGGAGGTCTAGCTCGAGAGTCGGCGCGGACACGCAGCGCCGTGTCTTAGGCGGCCTAGCGAGTGAGTGGCTGCGTCTTGTCGGGACAGTGAGGACACGGGGCCTCGGCAGTCGGCAGCGGGCTTTGTCGGCCGTCGAGTGTGGAGTGCGTCTCACTTCCCTCTCGACACCTGCTCGAGTGCGCCGATGGCCCAAACAGTACCGTTGTCTGCAGACTGCAGTCACACGGATGCGCCGCTGATGGCCACGGCGCACCGCGGCGACACGCAACTTCTTTTCTTCCTTATTCCTTGTTCTTGTACAAATAAAATTACAACTGAACATGAAATAAAAGAGAATTAAGGAACCAAATCAACCCGTTAAAGAATTAAATTAAAAAACTTTTAAATTCGGTGCTGGAGAACTTAAAACAGAAATTAAAAGCGAATTAAAATAATGAGTTAAAAATTAAAAATAAATAAGTTGAAACAGAAAATAAATTCTCCTTGGGCTCGCTGCTGAAGAAAAGGTCAGCATGTGATGTGCGTCTAGTGACTCCGTTCACAGCCGCTGCCGTGGACGAATGTTGGCCGGTTTTTTTTATTCTTTGCCGTTAATGAGCGTCATGTGCCGCAGCAGCTGATACTGTACGTTGCGAATGATTGGACTGTTCGGAGAATAAAAGTGAGGCTGACTGCAGCAGCAGATCACACCGCTGACGATGAGCGGAGCATGTGAGTTCTGCACACCGAATTGCCATCGAACGAACAAAAATTTCCACCGTGCAGCTGCAGCAGCAGCAGCAGCTGACCGGAAGTGGAAATAGAACGTCGAGTTCAGCTGTGTGTCGCGACGATTAGCGGCTCGTAATTAACGCTGTGAAGAAAACTTAAGCTGGCGCAGCGAAGTGGTCGCGCTGCTGAGTTTGGAGGGTGTTAGAAAAGCCGCGTATGTGTGTTGCATCAGCGATGCTTCGGTTATGAGTTGACGCCGGAGGGGATCGAGTAATGCAGGAGCACATGATTTTTCCGTTTTGGCGTTTGCCAGGCAGAAGTTCAACGAACAGAGCAGGAGAAAAGTGTGTTTACTGCTCCTGCGGGTGATCCGCATGGCCGCGGGTCAGGATCGGAATTCGGATAACTGCTTCTGCCGTTTTGCGTATTCCGCTCGCAACCCGGCCATCCACCCGCTGTTGTGACTGTTCAGTCGTTTTTTCGCTGCAAAGAAATCTTTTCTCAGCAAATACTGGCAGCGGCATAATAGCGCATTCCTTGAATAAATGCGACATGAAATCTACATGGCTGGCGCAGAAGAAAGCGCTAAGGCGCTCTGAATAGGCAATGAGCCGGCAACGCGCTGACGCAGTCGTCTCCGCTTTGGCGCGCATCGCGGCGCGGTGTGTACCGTCAGCGTAAAGCGGTAGCCTGTGTCAACATGGCGGAAGAATGCCTGAATCGCCGTATTATTGCCGCGGAGCAGCCACTTTGGGCTGATCCAGGCTCAGCTATGTAACAATATTGACATAAATTATACAGAAACTGGGAGCGCTTGAGTCGTTTCCGAGGAAAGGCGCGGCATTGTTTGAGTGTTGATTTTTTAATTTTTAAGGGAAACATTCCGCGTAGAATAATAATTCAGGGTAAAGTTAGACGATCCCGGAAAGAAGCCGACACGCACGCATAAGCTGCAGTGGAAACAATAATATTGGTTGTTAATTGACCGTTCGTCGGTACGCAAGCGCAGTTGGCAGCGATGCTGATTCGGGTGTTTTTCGGTGCAGGCCCGAACGCGGCGCTGGACGTGTTCAACTTCGAGGGCGACGGCGTGGTCTTCAAGGGCAAGTTGGTGGGCATCGCCGACGTGGAGGGCGCGCGCGGCGACGACATGTGCCAGCGCGCCATGCTGGAGCTCAACAAGGCGCTCAAGCTCTCCAAGGAGCACAAGGCCCGCATCATCGTCTCCGTGGCCATGTCCGGATTGAAGATTAAGGACGAGAAAGATGCGGTAATTATTCTTCTGTTGTATATGTATTTTATTTTTTTTATTCTTTTCTGAAATTTATTTTATGCGGTGATTATTTTAAAGTACTTATTTGAATTTTTCGTGAGTGACGAGTTGTCGTTTGTAGACCGTTCTGCATCATCACCCGGTGCCGAAGATTTCGTACATTTGGCGCGACCAGTCGGATGCGCGCTCTTTCGGCTATATCTGCGGCACACCGGATGTCGGACACAAATTTTATGCGCTCAAAGCCGACAAATCGGTAAGCCAGGAAGCGGCCATCGTAGCCATGTCGTGGATTTATTTTCCGTATTTTGATTAATTTGCGAATGTATTTGTATGTTGATTTGTTTCTTAAATGATTTCACACGAATTTTTGTTTGTTGTGTGCAGGCGGATGCCGTGGTGGGCGCCATTCATCGCTTGTTCCAGCTGGCCTTTAAAATGAAGCAGCACGAGATCGATCAGCACCGCAAGACACACGCAGGAAATTCCACCGGCGAGCCGATGCCCACCGCCAACGATGCAGCGACGGTAAGCGGATTTTTACTTTCATTCGTTTTATTTTTGTTCTGGTGATGTTGATATTTATTTTAGTTTATTGCATTTATAGCATTTTCTATGTTTATTTGTTTTATTTACATTTTATTTTATTATTGTTTATACGGTATAATTTTCGGCCAGTTTGTTGACGTTGATTGGTTGGGCAGGGCGGCGCGGGCAGTGTGCTGCAGACGGAAGAAGTGAACCTGCTGGACCTGGAGTCGGAGCTGCAGGTGCTGTCGCAGGGCATCCAGCACATGCAGACGATGCAGTCGCAGGCGGGGACGGCGGCCGGCGACGCCGCCTGGGTGGCGGACTTCGGCAGCGAGGCCTGGCCCTCACAAGCCCCTCCTCCGGCCGCCACTGCCGTGGAAGCGGAGATGTCCTCGGCCTCCAGCACCAGCTCCTCGCAGTCGGACCCCTGGGGCCGCGGCGGCACCCCGCAGTCGCAGCGCACCATCACCCCGGACCCCTTCGACACCGTCGGCGCCATGGCCGCCTCGCTGGCCGCCGACCCCTTCGCCGCGCCCCTCCCGGCCCTCGTCGAGCGCAGCGTGCCTACCGCCGCCGTCTTCACCCCCGCCCCGTGGTCCCACCAGTCAATCCCTTCGCCGGGGACGTGCATTCCGATCTACTGGCCAGTATTCCCCTGACCGCGGTCGAGCCCTTTGCCTCCGTCTTCGACACGCCGGCCCCCGTCCCCGCCGACCCCAAACCGGCCCTCGTGGACCCCTTCGCCACCGCCGGGGTCTTTGACGAGCTGTGCCCGCCGTTGAACCAGCTGCGCAGCCGTCAGCGGAAGATCTCCAAGGAGGACTTCCCGCAGCCGGTCAAGCCGACGCTGGGGGATCTGCGCGGGGAGAAGCCGGTGCTGACGCGCTCCACCAGCACCGTCGACCCCTTTCTGATCAGCGCCACGCGCCTGGCGGTGCTCAGCAGCGAGCCGGAGGTGCCGGTGCGCCGCGTGGGGGTGGTGGGGGCCCCCGGGGTGCCGCCGCGGCCCCTCCCGCATCCGCCCTCGGCGCCGCTGCTCTCGGAGGTCGGCCCGCCCACCGTGCCGCGCCGCGTGACGCCCCCGTCGGGGTTGATGCAGCAGGTGCCCGTCAACCCCTTTCTGACCAAACCCGAGGACCCTTCGCCGATAGCTTCTTCCGATGAATGTGAAAAGTGAACGATAGCCCGTCGTCCGTGATAATCAGGCCGCGCCCGGTGATAATTCTGCGTTCTGTCTGTCCGACTCGTGTCTCGGCTCCTCTCTGCTTTATTCTTAATCGAATTGTAACCGATTTTGATTGACCGCTTTTTTTTGTACATTTTCTTCCGTCGCGCTGCTCTCTTTTTACACTCGGGCTACTTTTTTCTCCGTTTTTATTTCTGTTTTTATTACCGTTTTTTTCTGCTGTTTATACTTATACTGTACGTGTTTGTACTGTAGTATCTGCTCTGTATAATTCTGATGCTTCCCAGTGGAATTTAATTTTTTCTCGCTGTTTTCTGTTGCGGTAATTGGGTCAGTGTGTGTGTTTGTGGATTGCCGGTGAAATTGTATGCGATATAATGTTAACTCAGCGTATTTACGGGAGTTGTTTTAATGGGAGAAGAATTAGTTTTAACAAAATGTACATTGCAATTTGGGAACAGAGAGTACTGTGCATACGGAACGATAGGAAAATTATTAACAATAAATAATAATACAGTACATACACAGCATACCCATAAATAAATATGGTCTTTTGAAAAATTAATACGATACGGGAAATCTCATTTTATATGTTTTTTTATGCTAGGTATGGTAATTTATTTCTCATCACTTGCATCAGACATCAGTTAATTAGCATTTATTGAAAAATTGTGTATTCCCGATTTTTATTATGCAGGACCTGCGGAGTTGTAAACGCTTCTGCGTTCTGGTTTCCCCTTATGTACACGACTAGCAAGAGATACCGTACCTATCTGTATATCTATACTGCATGCGGTATACAAATAAACTACCAGAATACTTTAATTATTCTGAAATGTCGAGCTGTCAACGACTTTGTACTGCTCAGCACGCAGTGGTAAAATGATCCACTGTTTCGACATCCCCATACATGTGGAGTGTGGAAACCGGCGGGAAAATGCCAGATCGACCCAGCCGTCACTTCCGGTGCGTCTTCCCAAGCCGGTCTTCTCCTCTGTATTTCGTGCTTCATTTGTCAAAATAATGCACGATCTTTACTAATAGTTAAGCCTCGATGAGAAATTCCGGCTTGTCAATTTGCATAGTTAATAAGGCAACTTTGAGTTAATTTTCCACGCCGTGACCCTTGCCCTGTTACGCAGAGTATTAATTATACAGTACTGGTACAGCAGTAGCTGTAATAACAGGCAATGAGTGTGATGAAACACGTTATTAATTATTATTATTACAAGAAAGTTCTGTACTTCTATACATCAATAAAGACGTAACTTCCGCTTGGATGCTGTTAAGGGAAGGCCCGGTACATGGTACCAAAATCGTGTACATGCAGGAAATACAGATATTTCACATTCGCGCACTCCTAAACCCTTTTTTCTCTTGTTTTATGACATTCTGTAGCCAGATGATTCGTATACACTGGCGTGAAAACCGTTTGTGCGCGCAACATCCGGTTCGGGAGTTATGACTCTTAGAAAATCCCAAAAAGTTTAAATGCATTCAGGTACATTCAGGTGTACCGGAAGTCTCATTATGGACCGATCTCCTTCAAATTTTGCACGTAAATGCACATGGCAATGAAGATCGTTTTTACACCGATCCACTGCTCTAACATGTTTTTCAAATTTTAAAATGAATTTCAAAAATTTTAAAATTCATTTTAAAATTTGAAAATAGTTATGGAACTCTGGATCTGTGCAAAAACCATCTTCATGGCCATATACATTTACGTGCAAAATTTGAAGGAGATCGGTCCATAATGAGACTTTTGGTACACCTGAATGTACCTGAATGCATTTAAACTTTTTGGGATTTTCTAAGAGTCATAACTCCCGAACCGGATGTTGCGCGCACAAACGGTTTTCACGCCAGTGTATACGAATTATCTGGCTACAGAATGTCATAAAACAAGAGAAAATAGGGTTTAGGAGTGCGCGAAAGTGAAATATCTATATTTCCTGCATGTACACGATTTTGGTACCATGTACCGGGCCACTTCCCTTAACTGCACCTTCGATTGCCTATTACTGCTGACAACTAGTACTCACCATCAGACAAATTGTCGTAGGCGTATGTTTGTGTACAAAACTACGCATAATGTTATACCGAAGAACGGCGGTTATAATTAATCGTTGGCGGCTCATCTACGTAATTATATCGGTGTATTCACGCTGAATCACCGGATGCCGATTGCCGGTACATCAATCAAAAGGTCACAATAATACGCGTATCGTTATTTGAACTCGTACGGTCCCTGTTAATTCCTCCTTTCGCACAACTCCGATTCCGTTCTTGTGACTTTACTGCAGGAGAATAACCGAACCGAACTGAAACCGTTCAGTGTTTGACCGAGCATTCGCTGAATCAGTCCCCTCGGAAATCCCTGTTCCAGCACCACTTCCCTATGCCACGGGAAATGTGTGAAAAAGCGAAACTTTCTCGTGCTGGCGTATCCGGCGCGTGCCGGTATCCGTAACATGTTCCGAGCAAGAAACACGAGCGCGTGTTCAGCGCGAACCCGAGTGGGCATAATTCCCGGGAATGTACAGTACATGCGCCGCTTGTCAGGATCGCGCTCTTCGCCACAGTGGCGGATGTGCTGGCGCAGCGTACGGCGGCGCTAATTGTCGTCGGATGGGATATCAATTGCCGCTGTGTCCCCTGTGTCAACACTTATTCGCAGCTGCCGGCACAAAGCACCTCTCCATAAACAAACAACCACCTTCTTCCTTATCGATCTCCAGGCGAAACGCTTCCTACACAATGCCCGCCGTTAATTCTCTGGGCAAATATTTTCCCGGCTTTTCGCCCGAATCCATCTTCACCGGCACTTAACCTTGGCGCATGTATATATAAAGAAGCACTTTCCCAGTTGACCTTTCCCGCGACAAACACTGTCTGTGTGCCGTGGCGAAAAGGCCGCTGTTTGCTCAGCACACACGGGCGTTTATCCCGTTTATCCCGGCCGCGTCGCTCGTCGCTCCAGACGCGCTATGCCCCACATCCGTCCACCGACGGCGTCCCGCATTTATCCCGCATCCTCCCTGCCGCGTCGCCCGTCCGCTCTGCGCAACCGCGCCAGGATGATCATGCAGGAGAAGCCGCCGCCGTCGCCGGAAGTGAAGTTCTTCCCGGACGGCAGCCAGCCGACGCTGTCCTTCCTGCGCCACCTCAAGCTGTACATGCGCTTCATGCAGTGCTTCGGCCTGTGCCCGTACCGCGTCGACGCCCTCCTCGACTACCAGACCGCGCAGCTGGACTGGCGGGCCGCCGCCTGGTCGCTGCTCCTCTTTATCTCGCTCGGCCTAGTGCTGCTCCCGTGGCCGGTGGCCGGCTACGTCCTCATCTACCGCGCCGACCTCGAGCGCCTCGAATTCTTCGCCATCATCAGCTTCCTCTTCCGCACCGTCATCTTCACTCAGGTAAGGCACAAACACGATCATTGCCGAATACATCGAGCGATATGTGCCAGCTCCCGAATCTTATCCCCCTTTACATTACCGTAACATCAAAATCTAATACATATATGCTGGCTTAATATTTTGTAGGGCCTTTTCACGTTATAAGGTAATGTCGAGAGATACACTTATAAAAATACCGTAATACCCTTGGTTTGAAATACAAAGTAGCAAGATACCGTATTTATACATACGTGCATATAAGTAAACGACTGTGTTTTATTCGACAAGAGCCAGTGCACATATCGGTATGTTCCACAGATTTACACCAGTGAAAATTATTAAAATTTTAAACATTAAAAGTAAGCGACATGTGCCCCATATTTTGTAACGCGTGTTTATATTAAACTGACACCGAGCGGCGAAATACATATCTATATGCTTCGCTCCCGTATTTTCCAGTCCTCCGTTAGATTAACATTAACGTACATCGAGCGATGTACAATACGATTGTGTTTCATATAAACAAACGATATAATATAATATGCCCTGATTTCACTAAGCCCCTACATATCGAAGCGATGTCGAGCGATATAATACTGTATTATGCTAGGTTTAATATTATTTAGGGTCCCTTAACAATAACATGGCGATATACAGCATGCAAAGATATATGTCCCGTATTTTAAAGAGCCCCGTGATATAAAACGGCATCGAGCGATATACAGAGTATGCCAGCCCTCGTTTGTTGGAGCCCTTTAATATTAAAGGTGTAAAGGTGTTTCCACCTCATATACTAAATTGGAAACGATGCAGAGAAGATTAGCATGGCCCCTGCGCAAGGATGACACGCAAAATCGTGAAGCGTTTCCAAATTTTTCCGTTTGGTTAACTTGTTAATGTTTTTTGATTTGTATATATGTACCTCGTTATCATGCAATAAAACGGTAATAATAAAGTGACATCGAGCCATATATGCTAGCCCCCGTTGTACAGGGCCCCTTAATCCTGGCCATCACCGTCACCAAGCTCCGCCACATCCCGGCGGTGATCCAGCAGATCCAGACGGCGCTAGCCGGGACGCAGAACACCCATTCCAGCCGCACCATCCACCTGACCACCTACGCCGTCCTAACCTGGAACTTCACCTTCGTCCTCAGCTGTCTCCTGTCCTTCTACTTCAGCTTCCGCGAGATCTCCCCCACCTTCAACGAAATCGTCCAGGCCTGGCTGCAGGGCATCCTCGGACCCTCCGCGCACATCATGCCCTTCGCCTGCTTCCTCATTAACGGATTAACTTTGGCCTTCTGCCTGTGCTGCGAGGCCTTTCCCCTGGGGATCCTCCTGGTGTTCCTCTTATCCACCGGCACCGGCTACGACAAAATGAAGGAGGACCTGGCCGGCATCCACGCCGACAGCCAGAGCCGGGAGCCCGGCCGCAACACCCAGGTGATCGCCGCCCTGGCTGGCATCCGCCAGCGGTACCGGCTGCTGCAGTGCTGCTTCGTGGAGATCGACGGCATCTTCTCGCACCTGATCCTCATCAGCGCCCTGCGGGAGGTGGTCGGGTTCATTGCGCTGCTGGGGGCGGCGCTGCAGGTGGAGCGGCCGCGGGAGTCCTGGGAGGAGTCGCACGATACCGTCTCCGTGGTCGACCGGACGTCAAGGACGCTTATCTTCGCGTTGGGCGGACTGGGACTGGCCAATTTCGTCATCAAGGTGTGCGCCACGGTGTCCATCCACGAAAAGGTCAGTAACACCGTGGTCACCTTTCTTAACCAAATAATATTAAGAAGAATAAAATAAATATACAATAAAATGAATACATATAAAATTAAACATACATCGAGTATTGAATTAGGTACAATCTGTGCGTGACGACATGAAGCGTATCGCGGCCGACACGGACATGGAGGACGTGCGTAGTGAGTGCGAAGTGTTTATTAGCCGGTGCGACTACAAGGACGGCTCGGTGTCGGCGGGCGGGTTCTTCCACATCACCAAGGAATTTATGTTAACGGTGAGCACGTTCAACACTCCGGCTGTGCAATAAGTGTAGAGTGTAGCCGCTATACGCTGTATTACATTATAGTGGGCGGAGCTGATGATCACGTACGCCGTGCTGATCTACCAGACGCACGACACCAAGACGGACATGCGCGAGCTGGCCTCCAAGTCGCAGCTGCACGAGCTGCGCGTGCAGCTGGAGAAGCAGGCCGAGCGCGTCAACCAGTGCACGCTGGACCAGGCCACGCTCTCGCAGCTCGTCGCGCTCCTCCGCAGCGCCCTCCTCGACCCCGGCCTCAACCTGTCGGCGCCTTCCCTCGACACCCTCCAGCCGGCAGACCTGCACGACGTCGTCGTGGACGCCGGTGACTAATCTGACACCAGCAACGTCCCTTGGCGTTGTGTCATAGTCGACGCTGGTGGCGCCATCCCACTGAATTATGGCAGGAACAGTATTAATTTTAATTAACCGGTTTTATGCCGAATTATGTCATATAAATCGCTCTTAATTACAACTGAATAAAGAATCGCGCTATATGACAGTGACCTTTATGGAGGTTTTGTATATAAAAATGAATACATGACGGTAACCTTTATGGAGGTTATGTATATAAAATCGCAATTATTATGGCAGTTACAACATATTCCCATAATGCATTTTCATTAATCAGGACAAGGAATATATAAAAAATTACAAAGGCACGTAAATTTGTCGGCAATTAAGGGCGCGAAGCACCGGCTTGGTCAATAAACTGCAGCAGCTCCTGTAATTCCGTCTGTGACGTCCCGCCCTCGTCCAGCGCCGTGTCGATATCGGCCTTCAGCTGCTGCGCCGCCGCGTAGTACTTCTCATTCCCCAGGGCCTCCGTGAGGGCGGCGGTCACCGTGTCCTCCGGGACGACCTCCGTACTGGAGCAGCTCGTCCCGGGGATCATCGTCCCGGCGCCCAGCTTGACAAACATCTCCCCGATGGCTTTTTGGTCGGCCCACATGGGCCAGGCCAGCACCGGCACCCCGCTGCTCATCGTCTCCAGCGCGCTGTTCCACCCGCAGTGACTGACGAACAGGGCCGTGGCCGGGTGCGCCAGGATGGCTTTCTGCGGCGCCCACGGCACCACGACGTACTTCTCGTGCAGGACGTCCTCCTGCAGCACGCGGCGGATCCCCTCCGGGAGGTGCTGCTCGTGACCTTTCCGCAGGGACCAGATAAACGGGCGTCCGGTGGCCAACAAGGCGCTCCCGATCCCGCGGATCTCCTCCGGTTTGGGAACGGCCATGGAGCCGAAGGAGACGAAGACGACGGAGCGGGCGGCCTGTTTATCCAGCCACCCGGTGATCTGGACCTCCGCCGCTGGTTTGGTGGGCCCGGCGCGGGCGATGAAGGGCCCGAGGCAGAAGAAGCGGATGTGGCGGAGGCGCGCGTCCTTCTGCGCCTCCCGGAGGTCCTCGGCGTCGATCTTCCGGAAGCTGTTGCAGATCATCCCGTCGATGTGGGACAAGTACTCCGCGATGGGGCGGATCTCCTTGATATTCATCTCGGACTGCGGGAGGAGCTGCTCCCCGGGGGCGGGCAGCGTGTAATACGGGTCCTGCTCCTCCAGCGGACACACTTGGACGGGATCGTTGTAGAGGACAATGTAGCGCGGGTAGTAGGCCGGCGAGGGGTTGAAGTACAGGTAGAGGGCGTCCGGAAGGCGGGTGCCCATCACCGCCGGCGTGATGAACATGTCGAAGATGATGGCGCGGGGCGGCGGCTTCCCCTGGAAGACGCTGGCGGCGTGGTGCTCCCCTTTAGGGTCGACGTACTGCTGGATGAAGCGCGCCACCCCGGGGCGCGTGTAGTTGATGATCATGTCGTGGGCCTCGAGGAAGTCGTCGGAGGTCATGTGGCGGTCGGCGCGAATACCGTCCTCGATGGCCACCAAGGTCACCGGCTCGTCGGCCTGGAGGGAGGCGAACTCGCGGGGGCGTAGGGTGTCGGCGACACTGCGCGAGACGGCGTAGGTGATGTCGTGGTGTTTGGAGAGCTTCCGGCAGCACTCGAACAACGGGATGGCGTGGCCCAGCGCCGGGAAGCTGATGGCCAACAGGTGCAGCCGCTGAACCGACATCCTGAACGGTTCAATTATGCAGGCGATTAACACAAACGGGAAGAAGGCAGCGCGCACGGAGGCTCGTTCCTTCGGTGCCTAGATTACAGCGTGTGTGATTATTCGCTCGCAGTCAGCTGTTGAACTAGCTTTGCCAGCAGCAGAACCGGCCTCTCCGCACTGTCTACCGTGCACTATGCGACGAGCGTGATGGATTACATAATTCTGTCTATGTAGTATGTACGTTTATATATGCAGCGCTGCGGTTTGACATCTATTTAAGCTGATATTTATTCGTTAATACCAATAATGTACAGGAATCGGCAGTTTTTATCTTCATGTAGTGTCATACAAACAGCGCAGTCTGCGCACAACGTACGCGCGTAACCGCGTTAGTGCCGGCATCCGCACAGTATGTATGTACTGAAATAATTGATGAATAAAATAACAATTATGTGTACAGATAAATTCTAATAAATAAAATAAATTCGCTAACATACAGAATAATAATAAACAGAAATAATTGTGCGTAGTGTATGTAATTCGTACAACGATTCTCGGCTATCAGTCGTATTATAATACCCGTATCCGGAAACGCATGTGTAAGTACTCGTATGTGCAGTACGGCATTTGCACATGGATTTTCTCTAGGTAACGAGTTCATTTCCGGCTGTACACACAGTACGGCCGGTGCCGTGCCGGCAGGCGAATAGCGCTTGTTGACTTGGCAGTACATATTTTTACTGTGCTTTATGTACAGAATACATTAGTACATACGGCACGTAGAAAGTAGTCGCTGAGTTGCAGCGGCTGAGAAAACAATCACTTCCTTTCGATTAGATAAACATATGCGACGTTCACGGTTCTACTTAATTCCCTTCTAACATTAGTTGCTGTCAAATATGCTACGTATTGGGACTCTGATGCGAATTGTATCTAGGTCAAAACTCTCGAGTGCGCAACAACTCACGCACTGATTTGTGAGTCAGACAGATTCACTGATAACGCCGCGCGCATTGGTCAGATGGAGAATCAGTTGCTGAATTAGAAAACCGAGCTGTTGAGCTCGGTTTTATAATTCGCGCTCACATTCATGACCGCTTGTCAACTCTTTAAAATTATCTTGCGCTGCTAATAAACGTTCGTAGTGATCCAGGCTGCATTAAACTGCATGTAATTACGCTGTACTTACTGTAGTTCGTCATTAAGTTTTAAGATAATAAGGTTTAATTAATTAACCTTATAATTAGTAACTGAGCGAAAATTTGATGAACTAACTAGAGTCATTCACGCCTAATTAGCACAATTAGCAGCTAATTAATTAGCGAATCTGCCCCGAATTAGTAATTTCGCACCTGGGTTTTTTTAGCACCTAATTAGCAAATTTATTACACATGAAAAAAAATTAATTACATGTCATTAAGCTATGTGGGATTATTTTTCTTAACAAGTTTGCGCTTGTTGTGTTGCGTTATCCATGGTAGGGAATGGCATTGAAGGCAGATTTATTGCAGAATTCACGGTGCTGTCAGATTTGGTGTTTATTTCTACGAGTGTATCCGTTATCAGTGATGGGAACACGTTTCACTTTTTTTCTCTTAGTCATAGCGGAAAAATGAGTAACCGATACGTGCGCAGCAGTCGTGCCGCTGATACACGCGGGCTGCTGATATTTGACAGTCCTAATTGTGGAAAGACCGGCTTCATCTACCGATCACAATACGAAAAATCAGACATCTTTCTCTGTGGGCTGGTATACGGCCAGTGCAGCGCATTATGGTGCATAAGTTATGATTCATAGAGATAAGAACGGGTATGTTGAAAAACGGAGCTGTGCAGCGCGGTATCTCGAATACGTGCGGTATGGTTGTTTTGACCATTCGGAGCGTAGATAAGCTCCGGATCGTGATGACACACGTTACCAGTCGTATCTACTGCGCATAATGCACAAAAAACCTACATAGGCGTTGGAAGATACCCGAATGTCTGAATCTGCGTAATAACGGTTTTATCACGCAGATTAGATGGTTGTATGTCGATGTAACAGTTCTCTAGAATTTTTTATGCATGTTGCCGTTCGGCTCTACCTGTTAATGTGTGACTCGCTGCGGGAGCTTTTCACTTCCATTTCATAATCCGTGCTTCAACTAATTACTAGTATTACTAAACAACGCGTGCATTAATTATTACGTGTACGTACTCTGATTTGCGTAACCAGAGCGAAATTGACAAGGGCATTTAAATTAAACCATCCCTATCAGTAGTACCGAACTACGCGTACCTCGACATTGAATCATAATGCGTTCGCTGCCGGTATTTTACTAATCTACTATACAAATTTACCGTTCAGTGTTCACTATAGAGTATAGTATAAAAGACTGCGGATGTAGAATACATGTTTTGCCAAGAGATTCAAATACGATAATTGCCCTGCTACGCTGAAGCTTAGGTTGTTTTACGTATGTACATAATATTATATTATCATAATTACTGTGTTTATTACATGTGTTACAATAGTGTATTTTTGGTTGTATACTGGAGGTGTGCGATCCGTCACAGACATAAAGCAGCGGCGAAACCTTTGAGAATTTAGGGGTGAACAAAACGCCTTTGAACCAAACTGTATATTAAGTAAATAAATTAATAAATAGAAAGAAAACGGTATTTGGTCAGTTGGGAATTTGGTCGACATCGGCGCGGTTCCAGAAGCGATGGAAGCCGATATTGGTAATAAACTGCTGGTTAAAGTCGGCGCCCGGCATCGACGCGGCCGTCATGAGGACGCCGTCGGGCGGCGCCTGGCTGTCGGACGCCGGGACCAGGCCGAGACTGGCCAGCAGCGTCTTCCCGGAGCCGGCGGCGGCCAGCGGCTTGAGGTAGGCGTACGTCTCGTACAGATACTGCACGTAGCTCCCCTGCTTCTCCAGCGCCGCCGCGTCCCCGCCGTCCGGCACGTAGACGGCGTCCACGACGATGCTGGGCGTGTTGGCCAGCGTCCCGTCGGCCACCACCGCCGCGCTCCCGGCCGCCACGGCGACGCTGCCCCAACCGGCTGCTGAGGATCTTCACGTAGGCGCCGCCCGCCACCAGCGCCGCCTTCATGGCCGCCACGGCGTCGCCGTTGACCCCGTCGGCCACCAGGACGGCCACCACCCGCGTGCGGATAGTGTCGTTGACGGTGTTGAGGATCTCGCTCAGCACCGGCGACGGGCTGACTGTCTTCGGGAAGTCGGCGGTGTTCTTCGGGGGGAGCGCCATGTTGAGGTTGTGCGCCACCGTCGCCGCCAGGCCGGCGTCGACGTTCTCCAGGTTCTGGACGACGGCGTCACGGATGGACTGGTAGGTGACCTTGCTCAGTTCGAAGGAGAAGGCGGAAGCGATGTGGTCCTGCTCGGGCTTGGTCAGGCTCTGGTAGAAGAGCGTGCACTGCGAGAAGTGGTCGTCGAAGGTCGGCGAGCGGACGCGGATCTTCGTGCCGGACACCAGGGTGGGGTAGGTCTTGTAGCCGCGGCTGGGGCTCTGGGCCGGGACGCCCTTGTTTACGGTGTTCACGTCGTAGTTGGTGCGGCCGACGTTGATGGTCTCGCGGTGGAAACCGTCGCGCTGGTTGTTGCGGAACGGGCACACCGGCCGGTTGATGGGGATTTCGTTGAAGTTGACGCCGCCCAGGCGGGACAGTTGCGTGTCCAGGTAGGAAAAGATGCGGCCTTAAAAAAATTAAAGGTCATCGCTCATATATAGGTAGCACTAAGAAATTTCGACGCATGCATATAAAAGACAATCAAAGCTTAACTCATCGTTCTTATATACTGGTATATATAAAGCAGTGAAGGTCATCGCTCATATATAATAAAAGACAGCCAAAGCTTATCATCGTTCGTATATATAAAGCAGTAAATGTTATCGCTCATATAAGGTCAACGCGTATACTCGTATATAAAAGATTATCGTTATATACTCGTATATATAAAAGCTTAAAAAGGTCATCGATCTTAAAATAATTCAAATTAACTTAATTTAACCTTGCATCAAAGGATCCTCAGTGAAGTCGATACCGGGCACCACGTTGCCGATATCGAACGCCACCTGCTCGGTCTCGGCAAAGTAGTTGTCGGGGTTGCGGTTGAGCACCATCCGCCCGACGCGCATCACCGGCACCAGCTCCTCGGGGACGAGCTTCGTAGGGTCCAGCAGATCAAACCCGAATTTGTTCTGGTCGGCCTCCTCGATGACCTGCAGCCCGAGCTCCCACTCGGGGAAGTTGCCGGCCTCGATGTCGTTCCACAGTTGGCGCCGGTTGAAATCGGGGTCCTTCCCGTTGATCTTGGCGGCCTCGTCGAAGAGCAGCGAGTGCAGGCCGAGTTTGGGTTTCCAGTGGAACTTGACGAAGCGGGAGGTGCCGTCGGCGGTGACCAGCCGGAAGGTGTGGACGCCGAAGCCCTCCATGTTGGCGTAGGCGCGGGGCAGGGCGCGGTCCGACATCAGCCAGAAGATGGCGTGCATCGTCTCCGACTGCTGCCCGACAAAGTCCCACAGGGAGTCGTGGGCGGAGGACGCCTGCGGGATCTCGTTCTGGGGCTCCGGCTGTAAACAACCCCGTTAAGTAAAAGGTCACGGAGGTTCTCCGCCCCCATCACCACCCCTACCTTAACCGAATGGACAAAGTCCGGGAACTTGATGGCGTCCTGGATGAAGAAGACCGGCGCGTTGTTCCCCACGATGTCGAAGTTGCCCTCGTCCGTGTAGAACTTGGTGGCGAACCCGCGGATGTCCCGGACGGTGTCGGCGGACCCCCGATTCCCGCCGACGGTGGAGAAGCGGACGAAGACCGGGGTCTGTTTCGTCGGGTCCTGGAGGAAGGCGGCGCGGGTGATGTTGGCCAGGGAGCGGTAGACCTGGAAGTAGCCGTGGGCGGCCGCCCCGCGGGCGTGGACGACGCGCTCGGGGATGCGCTCGTGGTCGAAGTGCGTGATCTTCTCGCGCATGATGAAGTCCTCCAGGAGCGTGGAGCCGCGCGGACCGGCTTTGAGGGAGTTCTGGTCGTCGGCGATGGGGACGCCCTGGTTGGTGGTGAGGACGCCGTCCGCCACGGTGTCGTCCTCGCGGTAGGCGGCCATGCTCTGCACTTTGGCGTTGTCGCACACGCCGTTCAGGCTGGTGCCGTGCATTACGCATTGGCCGGTGTTCCCGTTGTTCCCGTTATTCCCGTTATTATTTCCGGTGTTCCCGTTATTCCCGTTACTGGAGTAGGACGTCTGCTGCGCGCATACCACGCCGATGAGGAGCAGCCAGCCCAACGGCCGGCACAGCCGAGTCATCTTCGATCAGCGTGCGTCTTCGTTTGCCGTGCGTTTCCGGTGACAAAACACGAAGTTGTTACTGCGTTGTAGCGAAACAAAAGTGTCACGCTGCTGATTAGCTTGTCGCGGTATTTGTACGGCACAGCTTGACTTCCATCACAACAACAACTTTTTCACCGCTCGATGACCCCGACCATATATGCCGCCGACATATATGTAACGTAATGTGATGCCGGTACATTTCCACTCGGTTGTACAACAATTAATGCGCGCTTACCGCAACAAAAAATCAATAATAATGTTTACTGTGTAAAAAAACAAGGGCTGATTGATGGAAGTCTTGTACGGTACCTCAGGGCGGTGGCTTAATTGGCACGTTTGCGTTACGCACTCTGATCAGCGCAGTGCTTTAATCAGCGTTTACATGGAGAAATTAAGTCAGCACGGTATAATTATTAATTAATAACTGGGTTATAATATTTATCAATATTTATCGTGTTATGATGGCGTATAAACCTAATGCGGTGTGAGAAGCGATGATTGTAAGAGTAACGAGCAGTGCTGCCGCGGGACAGCGCCCGGTAACCTTCAGCGAGACGATCATACATGCCGCTTTATCCATGTAACGTTAATTACTCGTATTACATATCTATAGTTTCGCTAACAATTAACGTTGAGAAAATATTAACGCGCGCGCCGTCGACAGCTAATGTGACTTGTGAGTGACTGCTTGGAAGTGGTTACAGTATCACTGCACCACCGATATAATAGTGTATGACGCAGAAAATGTATCCCCACATAAAGCTATGACCGCCGATCGAAAACTATCAATGATTTCCAGTCAATCATCCAAATCATAACCGCACCGCGTAATGTCGCGTAAACGTATGCGCACTGACCGGAAGTACTGTACTGTATATAGATATATACAGTATACTGGCCACCAACCAATGTGTTGTACTCGCATCGCCCAGCTGAACAATTAATTTTGTACACAGAGCGAACTAGTCAGCAGAAAACAATCCATCAGAGTTTTCTTTTTGCTGCTGTGCATGTGCAACAGTGCCTGCAACATGTGCCGCATTCCCACGCGTACTCGCTCTGTGCAAAGTAAACTACGGAGAGAAGCTACTGTGCGGATACTCGTACAAATACCCACTAATTACCACACACCAACAGTTCAAAAAAATGCAGCGCGTACCGTCAACAAGCACCGGAAACAGGCTGCCGCATTACCGCGAAACATTTCTCGTCTGTTTGACCTGTATTAATGTATATTTGTATGTGTACATGATCGCTTCTTGTAGTGTGTGCAAAGCAATACGGCGCAGAGCAGACATACACGGTTTTCTCGATACAGATCGCTCCGAATACACACGAGCCATTTCCTTCCGAGTAGCGTGTATTCCCGCGGAAATCACTTTGCTGTCCAACATAATTTATGTTGCACGCAGTCCTTGAAGCTGAACCTTTCCAGTGCAGGAAATGCAGCCACTTCCGGCGCTTGACGCACCTGCAACCGCTCGGTGTGGCAGATTGCGACGGAAAGAAATCCCTGTTAATGAAACGGCGATACTGCCGACACTGCAAAGGTCACCTGATTAACCTGTTGTACTACTAATATTATACTGATAACTGCGGCAGGCAAAACTAATAACGTTGATGTTGGCGCTTGCCAGCAATGGCACGTGTCCTGGCTTATCTTATCTACTGTACGCAGAATGCATATAAGCATTGTACTATGCCGGCTCCATGCGGCAATTTGGCAGCAGGTTATCACTTCCCTTTTCTTATCTTGGTCAATTAATTAAGCGAATTGTCCAACAATGCCGGTATATTGCACGTACATGCTCGCTTTTCTAGAAGAAACCATTTAATATGCAACCGCGTGTTAGTCCGACTGCGACAGTTTGCATTACAACACATCGCCGGCAGCACGCTGCACTGCTTCCTTAATTAAACTTTTTTCGCGGTGTACAGTATTATAATTAAGCGGGGACATGGCGCGCAAGCACGTGTTGGTCATCGTGATGCCGGCGTTCGGGCACTACATCCCGGGCCTGGAGCTGGCCAAGAAGATCGCGCCGCACCACGACGTGACGCTGTGCATCTCCGGCTACAAGGTCCCGGACATTAAGCAGCGTGACCTTATGCCGCCCGCCCCCATCCGGCTGCACGGCGTCGCCGACCACTTAAACTTCAACCTGGACGAGCGCATCCACGAGATGCGCGAGAGCTTCCAGGCCATGGCCGACCTCGACCCGCACTACGAGGCCTTCATCCGCGCCCTGGGGGACCCCTCCGCCGCCGGGGTGGACCTCCCGCCCGTCAGCGCCATCTTCGTCGACGCCACCTTCCCGGCCTGCATCCGGGCGGCGCACGCCCGCGGCCTCCCGGCCTTCGCCTTCAGTCCCTTCTCGCCGGTCTTCCTGGCGCACTACGGCGACATCGACGAGGACACCCCGACCATCGCCGCCGAGTCCTTCCTCGACGGCTCCGTCACCGACCTCACCAAGGTGGCCATCCCCGACTTCATGAAGGCGCAGGCCATCCGCAACTACGACGCCCTGGCCCTGTCCACCGCCATCCTCTTCAACTCCTTCCAGGAGCTGGAGCCCCACGTCATGGACCTTCTGGGGAACAGCCGGCGCTTCGCCAGCGTCCCCATGAAGTTCATCGGGCCGATGCTGCCGACGGACGAACACCTGGACCGCAAGAAGGACCTCCTGGAGCACCGCATCCTCGACTGGCTGGACACCCAGGCGCCGGCCTCCGTCACCTACTTCTCCTTCGGGACCGTCGCCGTGCCCAAGCCCGAACAAATCGCCCAGGTCGCTGCAGCGTTGACGTTCTTGAAGCGCCCCTTCATCTGGGCGCTGCGTCCCTTTTTGCAGGAGCACCTCCCGAAGGAGTACACGGTGTCCACCGCCGACTCCCTGGACCCCGCCGCGCCTTATTTAATTGTGCCGTGGGCGCCGCAGAAGCGCGTCCTGGGTCACCCGGCCGCGGGGGTCTTCGTCAGCCACTGCGGCTGGAACAGCAGCCTGGAGGCGGCGTCCTACGGGGTCCCGGTGGTCGGTTGGCCGATGTTCGGCGACCAGCACGTCAACGCGATCATGCTGGAGCAGTTGGGCGCCGGGAAGACGATCAAGGGCACCGGGGTCATCGGGCGGGTGGTCCCGGCGGAAGAGATCGTCGAGGCCATCCAGACGGTGGCCGGGTGGAGGGAAGCGGGCGACGGGAAGAGCCCGTACCGCGAGACGATGGGGACGTTAGGAGAAAAGGCCCGCGCTACCATCGGGCCCGCCGGACAGTCCACCAAGAATTTGCACAGCGTTCTTAACCAGATTTAACAGGACGTACAGTATAACAAATTTCATTTGGATTAGTTTATTGGGCAATAGCCGCCATAACAACAAAAGTGCAAGCGCCGGCACACTACTTTACAGTTAAAATTTAAACATTAAAAAAACAACCAAAATCTCTATCCAACCAAAATTTCATTTGTATGACAACGTTTTATTTGGCAGTTTTGGCGAAATGATGATATTCTGATTTAAAATTAAGCCGAATTGCTTATACCGTTGATTGTCTTGGGAAAAATTATCTGTGCGGCTCTGACTGCGAATGAACGGGTGTGAGTAAATTCCCACTGACAAACATGATCACTTCCGTTCGATAAGGCGTAATCGGGGCGCACGTCCCGGACTTTATCGCCGACAAAACGGTGCGTCGCGTGCCAGCGCGCTTAGTTGCAAACTTTGTCAGCCAGGGACATGTTCCGCCAGCGGAAGTGGTTATTGGGTAAGAAGAGGGCGCACAGAAGCGGCAGCTGGCGTGCCAAGACGCCGTTAAACAACAGACCGGCTTTTATGCCGGTATTATCTGTACATACTCACTTCAGTCACTTGTTAGCCGGTAAGAATAAGCGTCGCGTATAAAGCGCACTAGACGTAACCTAAGCCCACCTCCCCGTGGCAATTATGCCAACAAAAACCTCTTACACTAGTGAGTCGGCGATGTCCGCCTGGGGAAGCGACCGGGCGCCGTAAAACGCATTTGATCAAGGGAGCAGACAGAAATTCGTTAGACACACGCTCTGTCTAACTCTGCACTTTTGATTAAAAGCGCTGCCCGTTTTACGGTTTACGGCGGACATCGCCGACTCACTACTGACCGATCCCCGGCCGCAACCACATACAATGTACATATCCGCCGACTTCCTCCAATGTCGACAATTACGTAGTACGCTTTTGTATATGCATCGCTTCCCTCGCTCGGCCATCTTCCCTGTACTGGGTGGTCCGCAACCCATGCGAATTGGTCAACTGCTGCATAAAGTACGGATACATCAAACAGCAGTGACCGCGTTGCGCTGAACTTTGAGCAGAAAGTTGATACATTTCAGTTGATAATTACGGCTGTCGGCTTGATGGTCCATGTGGAGTTGGGTAATTTTATCATCTCCGATTAATCGGCAGTGAATATCTGTACATAATCGGTTTAAAAAAAACTCCGCTATGCAGTTAAAAAGTTTGACAAACGATCCCCTTAAGTTTTCTTGCTTACACAACCCTGTTGCTTTAAAAAACTTACGTAAGCTCATACTGGCTTTGCGAGAAGTCAGCTTTTGCTTGTTATTAAGAGTCCCTGCTGGATACAAATGGCGGCGTTCAAAGTTTTAGTCTCGTTTGCATCTGTTTTAAACACCATAATGCTCCTAAAAGTACAGCTTGCTATCGTGGTAACATGTTTTCTTTTTGCCATTCCAGACATCAATGCGATTATACGAGTAGGTGGCGGTTTTACTGCCCCGTTTACAACTCCTTATCAAGTGGCAGTGGTCATAAACTCCCGATTCCGTTATAAGAAGTTGCTTGAATGTGGAGCCTATATAGTAAGTTGCCCACGTATTCGTTATTATAGTAGAACAGTTAGCAAGCTAAGTGCAGTTAAATTCGTGGCAAATTCCCTGTACTGCTTTGTTAAACGTCGGCTCGGCCCACTTTCTTTGTTGCGCATGAGAGCGTTTATGTTGCCGCCGGCTGTGCACACGGCCCGATTTTTTTTTTGCTGCTCTCTTTCTGTTCAGTCGATCTGACAATCTGATACGTTTCAGTTTGCCGATTTAATCCTCTGCTGTTTTCGTTTATCCGCTGTTTTCGTTATCCTGCTTTCGAGATTTTTCATTCGGTTTACAATTCAGATTTTTTATTTCGTTTGTGAAATCCATTAACGATGCCTCCATCCACGAGGAGCAAGAAGACAGCCAAGAATCCGCGTCGTGCCACTGGAAAACCTCGTGGCACAGCGCCCACGAAGCGCTTGAAGAGCGTCATCGTTCGCCCTGAGCCAGCGGAAGTTCAGTTATTGGAGCCCACCCTTCAGTCCATTTTTCAGCAGCAGCAAAAGCACCAACAGCAGATGGACTCGTTGATTGCCATTGTGAGAAACCAGCCACCGCAGGCTGCCCGGCCGCTTTCGCCCTCATCTAATTTGCGGATCCAGCTTGGTGACGACTTCGGGAGAATCGTGCACCAGGTGGACTCCCCGAGCAAGGCAGACAATGGAAAAGAGACGAAGCGTCGGAAGCGAGGTAAGGAAAGTGTTTCCTCATCCTCCGAACAGGGTAGCGACGACGAGAGCGTGCCAGAGTACAGTGCAGTACAGAAACACCATGGCAACCGCCCCGATGTGTCTGGCCATCTGGGACAACCTTCTCTGCAGGCATCTGTCTCCGACCAGACAAATCACCAGCTCCCGGCCATACCGGATAAAAAGTTGCGCAAGAAACTGCTGGACCTCACTGAGTACGTGGATTTCGACTTGCTGCTGCGGCGCAACAGAGTTGAGAAGCCCAAGAAATTGCAGTCAAATCTGAGCTTCGTGGATGGAAAGATGACCATTACCCCGGAAGACGGCAAAGTCAGTGTTGACTCTTTTTCATCGTGGGCAGGTGCATTTTCTGTGTTTTCTGAATATCGTATCACTGTTGCCCCGCAGTTAAGCGCTAAATTCTTCAAGTATTTGGCTATTATTGCGTCGTATGCCGAGCGCGGGGTCCCGACCGCAAACTGGCTGGAGTATGACAGGCAGTTCCGTGCATTCATGACCAGCCACCCGCGGGAGTATGAACTCTGGGCACATCAGCACGAGGACACATACATCGACTGCATCCAGAATCCGCTTCGCAACACCTTGGATGCTCCTGTCCGTCACGAAAAAGAACGCACGGATGTTGGTACCCGTCAGGACAAAAACCGGAAAGCGGACGACAAGTGTCGCAACTGCGGAATGTCTGGCCACTTTATAAAAAGCTGCCCGCTACCGCGTAAAGGACAGCCGGGTTACGGGCAGCCCTTTCGGAACGCTTCCGCCGCGGACGGAGAAATCTGCCGTAACTTCAACTTCGGCGGCTGCACCACACCTTGCAAGGCTGGCCGGCAACACTCCTGCTCGCGATGTGGGGAGTCAAACCACCGCGCTGTCAACTGCACCAAAGGCGGCACTTGAGGTGACAGTGCCGGCGAGAGCGACCACACCACTGCGCACCACCGCTTTCGCCGGACTGCTTACCGAGTATCCTGATGCGTCAGTAGTGTCATTTATACTAGACACGCTGGCAAACGGTGCGCATATTTTCCACAATGGAACCCAGAAAGAGCGGTACACTCCTAATGCGGCAACTACAAAGACCCACCACGCCGCCGTAACTGACTACATCACAAAGGAAGTAAAGAAAGGCCACAGTGTCGGACCGTTCGTATCACCTCCACTGCCTCACTTTGTAACGAACTCTCTTGGTGCGCGGCTAAAGAAAGACGGTACTGTTAGAGTTATCACGGATTTATCGCAGCCCACCGGGGAAAGCGTGAATGACGCCATCGATGTCAGCCAGCTCCCGTTGGAATACTGCTCCGTTGACGATGCTGTGACCATCCTGACCAACCTTGGCAGGGGCGCGCTGATGGCAAAAATGGACGTTAAGTCAGCTTTTCGCCTCATCCCGGTCCGGCGTGACCTTTGGAACCTGCTCGGGTATCGCTGGAACGGTTTGTACTACTTCGACGTGGTACTTCCATTCGGGCTGCGATCATCACCTTACATATTTGAGCAGTTCGCCAAGGTTATCGACTGGGCAGTGCGCAGAAGAAGCGGTCTCAACTCAATGCTTCACTACGTGGATGATTACTTCTTTGCTGGTAAGCCCGGTAGCGTCGACTGCAGCACGTTCATGAAAACCATGTCCCAAATATGCAGTGAGCTAGGGGTCCCTTTGGCGGAAGACAAGACTGAAGGACCCGCTACTCAGCTGATATTCTTGGGCATCCTGATCGACTCTGTGAAACAAACCCTCAGTCTTCCAACCGGAAAGCAGAATCAGATACAAGCGGCTCTTGAAGAATGGTCATCTCAGCGTTTCTGCACCCGGCAACAGCTTCAAAGTCTGCTGGGAGTCCTGCAGTTTGCATCGAAGTGCGTGCCAGCAAGTCGACTTTTTACTCGCCGCATGATCATGTTGTTATCGACTCACCGGAACAAAAAAATGATCCCACTAAACTCCGATTTCCACAAGGATCTGGACTGGTGGCGTGAGTTCCTGCCGACATGGAACGGCACCGCATGCTTTTTACAGCCGGACTGGACGCGGTCGGATGTGCTGCACCTGTACACGGACGCCTCAGCAACGCATGGCCTCGGCGCTTACTGTCAGGGGGCGTGGTTTCAGCTCCACTGGCCACCGTGGATAACTGAACTGCAGCCCTGCATTGAATATCTCGAGATGGTGCCGATACTGCTCTGCGTGATCGTCTGGGGAAGGAAGCTAGCGGGCATGAAAGTTGTCTTCCACTGCGACAATGCTGGCGCCACGCATGCATGGGAGAGTCTCAGATCAGTAAACCGCGGGGTGTTAGATATTATGCGTCGCCTGGTTAAAGCCGCGGCGGTCGCTGGCATGACGTTAACGCTTAAACACATTGCCGGAATTAACAATGAAATAGCTGATGCGCTCTCTCGTTTCCAGCAAAGCCGTTTCCGTCGGTTAGCGCCACAGGCGGAGCAACTGCCGGTGGACTGTCCCGACATCTTCCCGGACCTCAAGGCAGCCTTCTGCAATCCCCAGAGCTGAACGAATTGCTGCAGGCTCATATCGCTGAGTCTACTCGGGCAACGTACAACACTGCCTTCAACCAGTTCAAACAGTACTGTGCGGCTAAATCGCAGCCATCCCTGCCGGCTACGCCGGGAACTGTTGCGGAATTTGTAGCGAAATTATATGCAGATGGTAAATGCTATCGGACGGCCACGGTTTACCTCGCCGGCATCCGGAATCATCACCGTGAAGTGAACGCAGTTAATCCCACAGACAACGACATCGTTTACCGCGCTCTTGAAGGCTACCGCCGGTTAGCAGCGCCACAGAAAGATCGGCGACTTCCGGTGACACTGTCGCACATGCGATATTTGAAAGACGCCTTAAGAGCGGCCGGCATATCAGAGTACGAACAGCTCCTGTACTGGACGACGTTCACATTCCTGTTCTTCGGCTTCTTCCGTATTGGAGAAATAACAGCAGCCGCCGCCAACCGTTTTGACCCACAGCGGATTTTGTTATGGGGGGACGTAATGGATGCTGGCCACCGCCTAACGGTGCAGCTGAAGGTCACAAAGACGGACCAGACGGGGCAAGGTAGTTCTGTAGCGCTGACGGCGACTGGGCGTTCAGTCTGTCCCGTGCAGGCATACCGGAATTACCGTGCTCGCGTTTCCGAGCCTGCGAACGAGCAGCCGCTGTTGCAGCGCGAAGATGGCAAGTACGTCACGAGGGCAGATGTGGAGAAATGCCTCAGCCTCCTCCTCAAGAATCACCCCGAGAGAGAACGGTTCAACACACACAGTTTTCGTATCGGCGCGGCAACGACGGCCGCCGCCAATAACGTGCCTGACCACGCCATTCAACTGGCCGGACGCTGGCGGAGCAACTGTTACACCCGCTACATTCGCCACTCCGGGCCACCTGTGACACTGAATCCCTATCGGACCGGATAGATTGTTTGGGGGCAGTCGGGCGGAAGTGGGGATACCGGAGACTCGAACCGGTGAGGTCATCACCTGCACCTTCGATCTCGTGTATGCCGCCGCGCCGTCGACCTGTTCTTCCCGCAAACGCCCAACTCTGTCTGCCGTTCGAGTGTACGGAATTTCCACAAGAATTTAACTGTACTTATTTTGCTGATATTATAACATGGTTCTTTTATGTATAAAAGCATACCGTGAGGCGTGATAAACGTAATTTACTTGGATTGCTTTCAACCCGCCCGGCGTATAGGCAACTTTCGAGAAATTACGTCTTTATATTTTTAATTCTTCCTTGAATTTCTTTCCGAGACTTAAATTTTTCTAAAAAACCTTGAAGATCTTTTAATAACGAACAGCGTACGTTCATTACAGGCCAGACCAAAACCGGTACTTCGTAAATTAACTTGAATTTATTGTGAAATGATTAAAATCTCGCATATAAGAAAAAATAATAATGGGCGACTCCTTTCGTAATTACTACTTGTTGCCCTGTTGGTATTTGTGAGTTTTGGAAATACAGTACAGGACTATAGGTTATCCGATCCAAAGTTTTACTTACCAAGCGCAAATGCACGACGAATACCTTTTAAATTGTAATTAATACTGCAATTATTATGCCTACTCTCTACGTAAATTCTCTCTCGAGATCTGTGAAGGTCATTAATATGTATAACAGCTTCGCTGGTCGCTGTACTGTAATTAATACGTAATTGTATTGTAATTATTACCGTATTTTATTATTAATACCATATTATTATTATATTAATTTATTAATTGGTATTATAACTGTTATTAATTATAGTTAGTTGTTAAGATTATTATATTGTTGTGAGCTGCAAACCTTGTACATTCTTGCGATATAGCCAGCGTTATTTATTCCGCGTTCCGCGTTAGATTACCAGGAACTGGATCGCTACCGCTGCCCACTGCTGCCAGAAGTGCCAATCCAAAAAACGGGGCTGCTCGCTTTTAGTAGGGACGTGGGACACGAGCCTACGGTTCGAAGAAACAGCTGTTTTAATGGATATTTTCGGTTATGAAGTCCATCCGTCGTACATAACAGAGACCGGCATAAACCCTGTATATGACGCTTGCTTAATAAAAACAAAAGAGGTACGGGTAGTATATGTATATATACCTGTATAAAAGATTAATGGTCAGGTTATTTGAAGCTGTTGACACTGCGTACGCTAAGTTAGGTACTCGTACATTTATTCTGTAGACGATTGAATACAACGACCACGTATGGCCAACGTGCATAGCGGATCCGTCCGTTACAGCCTTTGCGCAGCCAGGACACTCACCTGTGTGTGTAATCGCGGGATGGGGCCGGGCCGCCGGGGGAAACGAAAGTGGAGATATCTGGTGTTTCATCAAACCACAGCAATAAAGCCTATGCATCAGGTGACAACCTAATTTCTCAAGAAAGACAAGATAACCTCCTGAATTCCTCCTACCGAAATTTCTTCCCCAACCGAATAATAGCTCCCTCAAAGAAACTAAAATTGCTACTCGCGGAAAAGAGAACGCCTGACGATTGCCAGAACCGAGGCATGCCTGCAGGCCAAGCATGCGCGAGAACGCCAGTGGGCACCGCTCCCTGGGGTGGCGATCGATTCCGGTGGTCCGTTGATCTGTTTGGCCACGAATGGATTTCAGTATGCCTTCGGGCATTTTATCAGTATTAGGTAGGTACTCAGTACTAGCTACCGTAAGTTCCTGCGTTTAATGCAGTTTCCTGATGTTCCTTCAGTTTCGACTTTCGAGTAATTATCATTGCGGGCGGTTTTGTGTTTAGCGGAAGTCATCCGTTATCTGCCATCGGGCGTTACTTTGACTCACAACTACGTAGACTTCCAGTGGATTTCAGACACCGTCAGTGTCGATAACCCTCAAGAAATCAACGCATTTTGCCGGCCTTAGTCCAGCTAAGAGCTTTTCTCGAGGCTCGAGCTGTAGGGCATTGTGATTGTATGATTTTTAGTTCTTGTGATTTCCTTACATTTTTTTTTATTTTCTCACCTTGTAAATTACTCTTCTTTCTTCTTTCCTACCTACGTTTCTGATCTTTCTTGTACTTATAGCTGCACTCAGTACAGATATGTTTCTGTTCTGCATCAATACAGTACGTCCCGTCGGTAGTTTGCGCTTTTCAGCATTGTGAAGAACGCTGGCAATGATTATAGCATGCCGCTGCCGCCTAGCTGACAGAACTAATAAGTCTAAAATTCGCAACAAATGTGGCGCATATAAAGACCCACAGCACGTTTCGGAAAATGTGAAGAACAAACATTATTGTACAGCAGCAGCATTGCACAACATAAGTAAACGCGCAAGAACTAATTGGCATGCACTAGCGATGTGGGTTGTTGTGTACGCTTGAACTGCAAATTCAGCAGTAGTAATGGGACTTTCGACTGTTATGCCGCGGTGATAACCGAATTTATTATCACAAGAATTTTCATATGTTAAAAAAAATTGGGAAAGTGCCGGCGGCGCGGCGGGATACATGTCAAATATGCGGGCTAGAGCATAGCGCCGCGTCCCGCCACTACGGATGGGATTGCGTGGCGCGCGCGGTTTATGATTAGTCCCTAACGTTCCCCGAACATTAACACGTACCTATACGTCCGTGTGGGCTGCGTCAAGTGGCGCAACGCATCACATTGACGGCGCACGTAGCTGGTACTGCGTATACTGGCACGTCGTGGTTGACGGAAGTGTTGGTTTGACAATGACCGGCTGGGCATTTTTCAGGGAAGCTGTGAGTTGTGGGTAATACATCCGAGTATATAGGGAGAACTCAACCAGCCGCCACTTGATCATGCACACGTCCTGCCGCTGTTCACCTTTTTCCCATAATGCAGCGCACCGTGGGAACGTCGCTGCGGTGTATGCAGAAGGGGATTAATCAACGCGCTGTGCGCTAAATTTAGACCGTACCGTGTATCGGGGGCAAAATTTACCGATTATTCTCAGGTATAATTAGCGGAAATATTTTCGGACTCTTATGGGCAGCAAAATTTTGAATGAAGAAGAAAACTTTGGAATCGGCGGTGAGCCAGTCAGCTAGTACTCAGTGGCAGCACTGGCAAGGAGAAGACAGTATAGATGCAAACATGCAGTACGGCAGTAATTGCAGCCAGCGTCGATATTACGCAATACGACTCGCCCGTATCCATGTGTCTTGCACGCACCTTCTATTAGCCAGTCGTAAAAGGTCACCGGGAAGAACAGCGTCGGGTGCGTTCACTGCGTATAGCTATACGGGCGGTGTCAGCGGTACACAGTATTACGTATACGGAGGACGAGATAGTCGAGCTTGGCGAAAGTGGAAGCTTCGCCCATGTACACGAATTTGGTACCATGTACCGGGCCACTTCCCTTAACATGCCGCTTACGAAACGAACGGACGATGCAGTTCGCATTTACTATTTACGACGTCGTGCATCTCTTAAATACTGGTATGCCGGTATGTTTATTGTTTATTGAAGCGGTAGGCAGGTAACCCATTAAAAACTAGGATCGTATTCTAGCGTGGGAATTTAAACCTGGCTCACAAGAAAACACAAATCTGGCACGTGAAGGAAGTCAGAGAAAGGCCATACAGATCGTAAAAAAATGAAAGTTACGCAGCAAAGTTAAAACGTTTAAGCGCATTACGAAAAACAAAGAGAGATGCACTATCAAGGATGCCGTTTCCGTTCGCACACAGTTGGGTACGGATGTTGTTGAGCCTCAGGCCAACGTGGACTTCCCTATCCTTGTTGCTGCTTCCGCGTCAATGTAAGTGCGGTTTCCGTGACGAAGGTTATACGCGCTGGACGAGTGCTTCACGACGATCATTTCGGTGAGGTAGTGCGGCACTTGAAACTTTTCAGGATGAAGAATTTTATACAGCCAGGTTGCTTCCTGGTGTTTCCACCGTTCAAACAACGGTGCATTTCCAAATTGTGCCATCAACTGGGCAGCGGATGTTTCAGGAAAATTGGCAATGGCTCGGACAGCTTTTCTTTGCGCGACAGCCAATGGCTCCAGCGTGGACGCAGGCGCACCACTCGTTTAGTTTAGTTTATTCAAGAGCAGACAAACCCTGAGGCACTCGCTAGTCTGGTCATGTAGTTAAACAATAAGTAGAACCAAAACACAACACAAAACAAAATACACCGATAACGGAAGGGCCGAGATACGAACACCTAAAGAAGATTATTTGACTGCAACATAGCCAAGTACAGATCCACAGAACCACAGTTGAACACTTCTTCCCTACGTAGTTTTTCAACAACACCATTAGTAGTTTTAGTGAATACTTTTCCCGTTATTTTATCAAACAATTTCTTCAGCCTCATCTTTAGGGTTGTCTTTCCGATGTACAGCCGCGCGGTGGCATCGATCCGCTCTGTCCGGCGAAGTTCGTATCTCGCATTCGTTTCCTTGAATGTTAGCAGGTTGCACATATATGACGGCACGTTGAAACTGCTCCGGTTACGAATCTTAAACAGCCATACCGCTTCCTTTTGGCGCCATCGGTCGGTCGCTGGTGTGATACCCAGCTGTTTGTACAGTTGCGGAGTTACCCGACAACTGCCACCGGTGATGGCCCTTAGGGCCGCGTCTTGCCGTTTTTTCAGCTCCTTCTGCTCTCCCAAAGACGCCGTCGACCAAGCCAGTGCATAGTAATCCATGTACGGCTCGACGAATGCGTGATGAAGGGTGGCTCGCTGAGGGATGCTGAGGCCGGGTCGGACTCTTTTGATCTTCTGTATGCCGTAATTCATATTTCGCTTCACTTTTCGGAACTGCTTGTCCCATTTAAGATGTTGATCAACTTCCACTCCCAAGTATGTCACGTGTTGTTTTACGGCCAGTGTTTGACCGTTCAACATTATTACTGGGTCACTCTCTTTGTTTCTGTTTTTGGCACATACAAAAATTGCCACGCATTTCTTCACGTTCAGTGCCAGGCTGTTATCGGTAAACCACGCTGAAACATCTTTCAGTGCTGCGTTCAGTTTTTTAGCAGCGATGGCTTTTGTTCTTCCACGGCAATGTACAATGGTGTCATCGGCAAACGCTTCAATCTCATAATCGATACCTAACTTCTGCAGGAGGTGATTCAAGTAAATAATGAACAGAATGGGACCAAGGATAGTACCTTGCGGTACGCTGGAAATAACTGGCAAATACTTTGATGCACGTTTGCCGGTTTTCACACGCTGCTGACGGCCCGTGAGGTACGAATAAAACCAATGCAATACAATGCCACCATGATGCCCGCTTTCTCCAACATCTTCATTAGCCGCTGGTGGTTAACTGAATCAAAGGCTTTCTTAAGGTCAAGAAAAGCTACTGCCG